CTCTGTTGTATATTCATGAAATATACCCAACTGAATATTCTGTGCGGTATATTCATGAAATATACCCAACTGAATATTCTGTGCGGTATATTCATGAAATATTCTCAACTGAATATTCGGTGGTGAATATTCATGAAATATTCCATGAATATTCCTTTGTTTCTCAACACATAAATACAATTTATTATTTCAGAGATATGAGTATCGAACATCAATTAGATGTAAGGGGATTTTGAAACAAAAAGTATTTATGATCCGATTTCGAACAATGCTCTCACAAGAACTTGATATGTATAACATTATTCAATTCGATCACTGGCCTAGTGGTCAAGGCGTTGCTCGACCAAAGAACCACAATTAAAAGTAACATCCTGAAGACAGAGATAAATCAAGAAATGGAAAAGCTCATCCTAAGCATCACGATGGCCAGAGATGCCACCACGCGACTGGTCAGCATTGACTCCAACAAGGACGAACTCCCGGAGGAAGTTCTTGAACTCATAGCAGAAAAGAAGGTCCTGAGGCGTCGCTGGCAACGGCTTAAAACCCCGGAAACCAGAGGCGCCTTCAAAAGAATTTGTAATGAAATTGAAAACCAAGTTCGTGAGTTCAGGAACTCCTCCTGGAGAGCCAAGCTGGAGAGTCTGGGCCCTCGCGACAATACTCTATGGAAAATGACAAAAAGGTTAAAGAAGAAATTCACACCCATACCTACCCTGGAGTATGGGCGCGAGGAAGCGGTGTCAGATCTGGAGAAGGCGATAGTGCTTGGGAAACACTTTCAAAAAATCTCTAAAATTGACAAAAGGCCAATAGGTGCGGTCCAGGAGGACATGGTGGCAACAGCAGAGCAGATAAGATCATCGCCGGACATCCTGCTCCCGCGACAAGCCCTGGGGAAAAGCATAACATCCCCAAAAGAAATCAATGAAATCATTAGGTATATGAATATCAACAAAGCCCCAGGGCCTGATGGACTTGACGTGGTTCTCTTAAAAAACATGTCGCGCAAAGCAATTGTACAACTATATTACATTATAAACGCTATCATCAAATGCCAGCACTACCCAGAATGCCTCAAGACTGGGCTTGTGGTACCTATCCCAAAACAGGGCAAGGACCCTAAGTCCACCAATGGCTACCGCCCCATATCACTGCTTAGCGCCGTGGCCAAGGTCGTGGATAGAGTCCTCTTACGACTCATCACACACCACACTAATAAGCTGGACCTCATACCAAAGGAACAGTTCGGGTTCCGCAAGGGGCACAGCACAGTGTCCCAAGTGGCCCGAATTGTTCACGAGGTTAAAGAGGCCAGCAACAACAACAAGAACACCGTCATGGTCATGATGGACGTAGAGAAGGCACTGCATAAGGCAAGAATGCCGATTTTTATCATTAAGATTATCGATGCATATATCAGCAACAGGAAAATCCGGGTCAAGGTCAACGAAAGTATATCAGGAGATTTTCCACTCGAGGCAGGTGTTCCGCAGGGGTCGTGCCTTTCACCTCTGTTATATACCCTATACACACATGATTTCCCTGTATTCGAGCGGACGAGTACAGCATTGTATGCCGACGATACGGCAATATATGCTCACTCGGACGACTCGAATATCGCCAGGGCACAGATCCAGATTCATCTGGACAGGGGAATCATACCGTACTTTGACGAGTCAAAGATCTGCATAAACAGCGCAAAGACTGAGGTCATCAATTTCCACAAAAAAGTCAACAACTCCCGACTGAGCAGACCTTTGACCGTGAAAGGGGTTGAGGTGGCAGACACGACCACCGTGAAATACCTGGGAGTCAAATTGGACACCCGTATGAGTCTGAGAAAGAATACAAACTACCTCATCCAGAAAACCCATAATGCCATCAAAAAGATGTACCCCTTGATATCCAGGACCTCAGCTCTCTCGCAGGAGAATAAGGTCCTGGTATACAAGCAGGTCATTAGGCCAGTGATGACATACGCGTGTCCAGTGTTCTGCAGCATCTCACCTACTCATATGAATAGGTTACAGGTGCTGCAGAATAAAGTACTCCGTATTATCACTAATGGTGATAGATACTCTCGGGTGGCAGATCTCCACGAGAGATGTGGTAATTTGCCGAGAATCGACGAATACATCTTGAAAATCTCTAATAGATTTTACAAATACCACATCGCTGGAAGTGACCTTACCCGGAATATGACAACAGTCAGACAACACCATAACATCCATAAAAAACACGGACTGATATATGCATCAACCGATGTTTTTAGGGAGCCTGATAATCTATAGTCGGGAACATCCCCGGGTGCTCGGACATGTCCGAGCCACCGAGGAGACTCTAGACAGCACTATATATCTCCCAAGCACGAAAATAACATAGTGTCGTAAAAGACACTGAACTCGGTCAGAAGTGCCCATGTGGAAACGCATGCGCACAACTGCCCGAGACAACCAAGAAGGAGGTTTTTTATTTTATTTTAATTTTATTTTTCCTCCAACGACTCAGCAACCCTTTCCACTCTGATCGCGCACGAGCAGCTCCCCCACCCTATGGGTACCACCAGCGAGATTACCTGTATAAAGGGCCTAGCCCTAGGAGATAGGTCACTGCGACGAACACCTCACATATCCTCTCATATTCCTTGGCTAACACCAGCCACCTCTGCGACTGCGGAGGGACGTTCAGTCATACTCACAGATATGTCAAGCCCATTATACACAAATATGTTGATGTTATATGTGTTCTATTGTAAAAACTGTGTCAACGAATAAATGAATTTAAGTTTTTTTTTTTTTGCTCTGATAGTCTTGAGGTCACGAGTTCGATCCCTACTTGGGTAACTTTTTTTAATTTTAGAATATGTTTATTGGAATATTCCAGGAACATTCAACATAGAATATTCTTTTGGGCATATTCTATGATTATCTGAGGAATTCCCATTCGCATATTTAGAGAATATTCCACAGATATTCCGGAATATTCCAGATTATTTCTTGAATATTCCAATATACCAAAAGGAATATGATAGGGAGATTCATGGAATATCTGGTGCTGTCTGGGAAAGAATACCGAAAAATCCGTACTTTCTTTACACCCCTGTATATGATATAAAGACGAATCGTTTGAAAGTGGCTATTTCTCAGATGTATTCGTAAAGAATGAAGCTACAATTCGTGAAAAACAAATTTGAATCGAGTGATCGGTTCGAGAGGAAATTGATGTCAAACTTAGTGTAAATTTTACCCGTTCCCCTAATTGTGCCAGTGTGTGTAGATAAAGATAACCCAACCGAATCCTCTACCAGAAATCGCCAAGACCCGTCAATTTGTATATTTATCGACCGAGAGGTGAGTGACCAAAAAAATGCAGCAGTTTTCAAAAGGCTTAAATTTTGATATTATCCTTGATTATATACACTAGTGTGAATAGTGAATAGTATTTAGGGTATAGCAATAGCCTGCCGTCAGTCAGCCAGTTTCGTTAGCGATTAGGGATTAGGGCAGAAGCGGCTTCAAAGTTGTTAAAAACCCATGTATTTGTTGCAACAGTTTTTTAAAATACAAAAATCCGTTTTCTGAATAGTGAATTAGCTAAAAAATGATGTGGATACCGTCAGCATCGCGTCGCAACTCATAAAAAAATATGGCTTTGACGCGCTGCTGACGCGTCATGTTACGATATTTTGAAGCCACAATTTTTTATTCAATTCACTATTCAGAAAGAAATTTCAAATTTCACAAGACTGTTGCTACATATATATACATGTTTTTTAACAACTTTGAAGCCGCCCCTGCGATAATCACGAAAGTAGCTGACTGACGGCAGGCTACACACCCTAAATATTACATGATATCGAAATTTCAGCCTTTAGAAAACTGTTGCATTATTTTGCAACTCACCTCTCCGTCTATCATTGGGATGAGCATTTTTTACAGTTAGGCCCACTTGATGTGTTCATCCCCCTAACAGTAGATTCTGTAGCAGCTTGACATGGTGATGACTAGTGATGACAACCTCTCCTACACGCTTTGATCGCCAGTGAACTTATCAATCGGTTTCCTGCTTCGAAATTTTCTTGCTCGTCAAAACAAGATTTTTTTTGAATACTTGATGTCTTAATTGTTGTTTGAGGACCACCCTGTATATAAGAATGAGTTGATCATGCCTCATTTCAAGATTTTTGACCACCGCTTCGAACCAGATTGACAGGAACACAAAGCCAATAGGAATTAGAGCATCAAATTATGCATTATATATATATATATATATATATATATATATATATATCTTAAATAAAACATTCATATTTCAGTAACGCGTGTGAGAATTCCACAAATCTTTTCACAGTATCGAGAAAACATATGAAGCAATATGTTTTTCAATATTCCAAATTTTTTGGGATTTTCTCTCCTCGTCTCTATAAAATAGAAATATGAATATTATTTCAATATACGTGTAGTGAGGACAAATCAAATGATTTGCCCCAAAATGTCACTGCGTTTAAAGAATTTTCCTATCAGAGAGCCTAAAAGAAAATAGAAACATTTTCTTCCAAACGAGAGGCTATTTTTTTTCGCTCACCCTGTACAATGAAATATAACCCAGTTGATTTTACAATATACAATACCATACATCCAAAATACAACCATGGTGAAATAAGGTGAAAATATAGTAAGTATACAACAATGAATACACGTATGATCTCTTCGGTAAGGAGTGAAATCGAGTAGGCCATACTGTATGCAACCATCAACACTTATTCGAGAATATGAATCTTCTATGAATACAAATCTGAGCTGTGGCATTTTAGGTCACTCTGTAGATTAGTCAATGCTCTTGCTTTGCTTTTTTAATTGATGATGAATAAAGAATCATAACATACTATACAGGAAGCGATGTGATATTTCAAATTCGTATATTATCTCAAAATGTCATCTTAGTCATGATTCTTCGAAAATAATTTAATTCATGTTCAATTCAAACTTACCTCCATATTCGTACAGGAAGTTCCTCAGTGTGCCTCTGTCATTTTCAATACGTCAAATTTCATTTTTCATTTGACTTTTTCCTTTTTCATTTCATAAGTTGTGGGTACCACGTTTTATAGCATGTAAGTAGTTTTTTGAAAAATATTCTGAAATTATCTTTGAGTAAATGTGAGAAATCATCGATTACTTATACTTTTCTTCTCATGCTACTACATTCATATTGATTTGTGTTGAATTTCGACTGTATCGTCAGTTTTATTTAATGAGGTTATGTGATTTCATTTTTCTTTACAGAAAACGCCACAATGCAAATTTTCGTGAAAACCCTCACCGGTAAAACGATCACCCTCGAGGTTGAGCCCTCAGACACGATCGAAAATGTGAAAGCCAAGATCCAAGACAAGGAAGGTATTCCACCAGACCAGCAAAGGTTGATATTTGCTGGTAAACAGCTAGAAGATGGTCGTACTCTCTCAGACTACAACATTCAGAAGGAATCCACTCTCCATCTGGTGCTGAGATTGAGAGGAGGTATTATTGAACCCTCTCTTCGCATCCTTGCCCAGAAATATAACTGTGACAAGATGATCTGCCGTAAATGCTATGCCAGGCTTCATCCCAGGGCTACTAATTGTAGGAAGACCAAGTGTGGACACACCAACAACTTGCGCCCCAAGAAGAAGCTGAAGTAGAGTGGAATTGTAGAGTTTTTTTGGGATTTCTAATAATTACTATGTTTTGCTATTGATTTAACAGCTGGAGTTCAATAGAAATCTAATGAAAGTTATTTTTGTTCATCACTTCCTATTTCTGATCAATATGTCAGGATAAAAATGAGTTTTCTTTTATTCATCTGAGGTAGAACATTATGGGTAGGTACCCATATGATTTCATTGGTCAATTCATCATAGGTCAATAGAAAAGTATCATTTATCAACAGAAAAAGAGTGAAAATTGGATATCATTCATAACATTTTATACCATTTTCCATAGGATTAAAATTATAGACTCAGTGAATACCAGAAATTAGAATATCTACAATCAGTTCATTGTATCATGATTCATGAATCAGTGCGAGAAAAGTTCTAGCTCTAGCCATTGCAAGGAGGACGATGGAGATTTTTTCAAACTGTTTTTTTTTATATTTATATTTTTATCTCTTTTTATCATGTGAAACTGTTGAAAGACAGATATACAATAATTATTCACAAAGCAGGCAGATAAAAGGATAAAATAGAGTAACTTATTATCTCTCGAATTCAAACTGACCTGAAATGAGGCATCTAGAGATTGGCCGCAACAAATAAAACGTACGGAAAAATTCCGCCGAGAGCTTCGCTCACAGACCACCCACCTGGGTGGTCTTTGGTTCTACCTGCTAAACTTGATTTTTTATGACTCTCTGTTTACATCATGACATGAACAGAGACAACTATGGAAACAAAATCAACTCTAGCAATTTCAGCAACACAAACGAACAGACCTTTCGTGTCGTGCGTTGGGTTTTGGAATTGGACAAGTGACAAGTGTGTATCATTTCATGTGCGTTGATGAATCGCTAGGTGTTTTTTTCAGGTAAACTGGTTTATTCTGTTGAGTGTGTTGCCTCTGTTCATCGCACGATGTAAAATGAGATAGTCACTAGAAAAACATTAGGCCTGTTCGTTTGTGTTGCTAAACTTGCTGAAGTTGATTTTGCTTCCATAGTTATCTCTGTTCATGGCATGATGTAAACAGAGAAAGTCATAGAAGAAAATCAAGTTTAGCAGGTACAGCAAACACAAACGAACAATCCTATTAACTTCAGCAGTTGGAGCAAACACAAACGAACAGGCCTATAAAATGTAAACAATAAGCATAACCTCTGAATTGAAAGATAACAAAATATTGTTTGGAAATTTTTGGATATTGAAAATTTCTGCCTTCTCTTTGGCTCATACATTTACATTTTCGTGCAATGAATAAAACAGGAGTGATTTTCCACCCGATTATCAGTTCCATTCAGAAAATGGCTCTGTATGAAACAAAATCTGTAAGTATTGGCCCCCTTTTTACCATTTCTTTAAGACAACAGCGATTTCCCAGAAATACTATTTGGTTGGATCTAACAACACTCAAACAAGATTCCGCGTCTTGAAAATAGATAGAATGGAGGCAAAGGAATTAGAAATCTATGATGACAAAGTTGAATACACTCAGGAGGAAATTCATAATTTGATCTGTATGATAGACTCTGGCAATAGAAGAGCCACAGGAGGTGGATTTTCAAAGGTCATATCAGCTTTTGGTATAGTTGGTGGGTTATTAAATGGGAATGCTAGAAATATAAACATTTGCAACAGCTATTTTTTAGGTTTTATTAAATTTTTGGAAGGCTATTACATAATTCTGATAACAAAACGTTGCAAAGTTGCTGTTATAGGTCACCATGCTATTTACAAAATAGAAGACACTACCATGGTGTACATTCCCCATGAAAGTGTTAGACTATTACATCCTGATGAAACAAGATATGCCAAGATGTTCCAAAATATTGATCTAAGAAGTAATTTTTACTATAGGTTTGTAATTTCCATCTTCCATCATATTTATGAATAACAATCATGACCTAAGAGGGATAATATGTGCAAGAAAGAGTTAGATACATAATCAATTAGGTGGAATGGTGGAATAATATAAATAGAAATATGATGCAGTGTCTCAGAGTTTATCAGGAAAAAGTGTAAATGCAGGTTACTGGCTTATGTACCCACAGCAAGAACCACATAGTTGCTTCATTCTAACTAAATTGTGTCAAAGTTCAGTGAAAAAATATCTCAGAATGATGACTATAACCCTGCTGATCTATATAAATAATGGTAGTATTATTGCTGCTGTGAAATCAGGATAACTTTAAAAATGATTTTTATGGTCTTCTCTTCCTCCAATTTTTTGGATTTTTGAAATATGATAATTTCTCTCATGAATGCATGCAGCTTCCTAATCACTTCACTCAGTTTTTGTGGGAATATTACAAGAGTTCAAACCACACTCATTCACTTCAAAAATCAACCATCTTCTTTCCTCAAGGGTTATTTTCTTCATTGGTTCACAATCCCTTGGATTTGTACTTGTTTGTTTCTGTGAAAAGACTTCACATGCAAAGTGGTTTGGACAGGAACTCCTTTCAATATCCTGAAATGAAAATTTTCAATGCCTTTGAAAAACCTACTGTATATTCAGAGTTTATGTATAATTAATTGCAGATGGTTCTATGGTTCTAACCATTGTTGATCTAGATGAAAACCTAGTAGGCGACCTAGTGTGAGGTGGTATTATAGCTCCTGCCTACTAACTACCTAACTAGGTTGTCATCTAGAATAACAATGGTTCTAACTATAGTGATTGGATTCCTTTTTTTCTGAAGTTGAGGAGGTTTATTGGCAAAAAAGCAACTTTTGATACATGGTAATTGGCACTTGTAATATTCAAATTACCCTAATTATTTTTATTATTAGTATTATTATTGCCCAGCTAAATTGCAACTCTTGATACTTGATATAATAATCAATTAAACAATATGCAGGGTGACATTTTGTCAATATCTTCCTTCCAATGAATGATATGAGAACTGGAAAAAACAGGCTGATTTTATTTTCAACGGGGCCACTTTAAATCCTTAGCTTTAGCCTTCTTAAAGGAGTAGATGTTACCCCTCGTGTTACCCTTAGAATTTTAAGTGGAAAGAGGGGGTCAAGAGGCACATCTTCCAAAAAATGCCCTGTCACTTAGAAAACTTTACCTCCTTTCAGTAAATGATATGAAAAATCAAAATGACACGTCAATTTCATACTCCAAAGGAAGCCACTTAAAATGCATATTTTTAGCCCTCCTAGTTCAATCCCCTAGGAGGGGTAGATGTTATACCCTTAGAACCTCATTTGAAAAGGAGGGTCAAGATCAAGGTCAATATGCACATCATTTTGAAGGGCATTCAAGTCTTTCTCCAACAATACCCTAGTTTTTTATTTTTTGATGAGCAGTTACCGAAAAATGCCGTGAACTTACAGAAGTAATTAGAACATGCCTGCACTGAGATGCATGGTTTTCAGGTTACAATTTTTAAAGGTGCAATTATTTAAAATATCAAGTTCTACGCCTATGGAAGAAAAGGGGTTTGAGTATGAAATTTGGATTGGGTACTCATTTACTACAAAAAAGTACCATTGATAACACTCGATTTACTCTCATGGTTTTGACAAAGTTTGTATTTTAATAATTATTGTTTATGTTCTGAAATTACTAAAATGCAAATTTCGCCATGAGAGCAATGGAGTCTTATCAGGAGAACCTTTTTTAACGTGAATGAGTTGCGCAATCTAAATTTCATACTCAAACTCCTTTTTTTTTCATTGGCGTAGAATTTTTAGAGGTGCAATTATTTAAAAAATCAAGTTCTACGCCTATGTATTATTATCGTACAAAATTTTAACACCATTTTTTTGCCACATAAAACTCTATCAATAAGTATACCAAATTTCAGCAAAATCGCATGTGCCGTTTTGAATTTATATGGTAAAAACGAATTAAAAATGGTAACTTCAAGACCCTCTGGAGCCAAAACGATGCAACTTTGTAGGAAGGTAAATTTACTTAAATCGACTTATTTTGGAAGGGAATATGTGGTTTGTTTTTGTAAAGACCTTTTACAGACACCCTGTATACTCCTCCTAGGTGGTTGAACCAAGAGGCCTAATAATATTCATTTTAAGTGTCCCCCTTTGAGATAAAGTTGACCTGTCTTCTCTATTTTTTACTGGAAGGAAGATATCGATGGTGGAAAGCTTTCAAATGGTCACACTGTGTACAGGAGTTGTTGATGCGGGTCTCAGTCAAGATTAAGAAAATAAATATCTCTTCCAAGAGCTTTTTGTTATTGAGCTCTGAGTTGCTTATTAAACTTGAAGGCTTTCGACTTTTATTGGTTTGATCCTGATAATGTTTAATTATAGTTATAGCTATGATTTGACCCATACTCTTCAACACAATTTGACCAATCCGAAAAGGTTTGAGCCAAATTTAAATCCTGAAGTGAAAGATGATGATATTGATAGCATAAGCAATGATCTTTGCACTTCTGTGGTTTTATCAAATTCAGATGCTATGGATACTCAACATTTTGGTATCAGGACACAGCCACATAAAAAGTTTGTTTGGAACATACATCTACTAAGGTAAAACCTGGTAAAACATGATCAAATCTTATCGGCTGTCCCAAGTAAAAACACAGTAATTGCATCACAGCCAACATCCAAAAAAATACGTTTTTAATGTAATGTATAGTCCTACTTCCTTTATTGATGCCCAGCTTAGTACCTGGCAGGCAAAATGTTGGAAGTGCAGGAATTGATGATTCGAAAAGTAATTCGAAAACATTTATTAAATAAATGTCAGTACCGCGCCCCAAATTGAGATTATGTATGGTACTTTCGTGAAGAGTTTTGAGATAAACTCATGAAAGAACACAGTAACTGCTAGTTTTCATGATGAATATATGAAATAACAAAGTAACAATATTTAAAATATGTTGATAAAAATCTATCATAAAACTGAGTTTTAATCTTCTTCTGAAAATGCTAACATAGTTAGCAAAACACGTGTCGGAGCATTGAAAAAATCGGTTTGTTTAGTGGTAAAGCAGTGTAGTGGATTTTCGTGCCAAAGGTTCCACTCTTCAATACTCTTCCTTTCAGGTGTTTTGATCATGATATTGGTTTCTTTCTATATATATGTAGTTTTGATATGATATACTTACTACATCTAGCAAGTTGTTTTGGAGATGATCCGTTTCAGCAATCAATAATTCTTTTTTCTTAGGAGCATGCGGAAAAGTAACTTTTTCGCATGATTTTTCGTTTTGAAAGTTGTAGTTTTCCGTACGATTTTACTTTTCCGCATTATTTTTACTTTTTCGCACGATTTCGAAGAAACTGTTGGCACCAGAACGCACACATAGCAACAGTCGCTATAAACTGACAGTATACAGTGTGTCCCACTTACCATGCTCACCATGAGTATCTTTTTAACGGTGAGAGATACGAGGTCGGTTAAATGACACCAAATGTGGAGTTTGTCAAGGCCAACTATAATGTGAAAAAATATTTTGATAAAATCTATTCGTTTTTGTTTTATACGCAAAAAACAGATTTTGATCATTTTCATGTCTCCTCCGTAACTTCTTTATTTATGGAAATATTCAAATAGGAATTTTTCATTCTCATGGCAGTTTTTCAAAGTGATTTCGAAAAAAATATGAAATTTATACCAACTCTTCTAGAATTTGAGATATCAGCACCAACTTTAGTTTTTCAAATGTCGGTCATAGCATAAAATACTAACGATTCTACCACGCGGATACTTGGCCACCCATGGAAGGACATATTGATAACTCATCGATATTCTTTGAAAAAATACATTCGAATAGAAAAAAAACTATATGATTATTGTTGTCCAATGAGAATTTTACCTTGGCATCTTGTACGAAATATGGATTCATTCTTCGATGCAGCATCTTGTTCTACCACACTAAAACGAAATGAAAAAATGTTACTTGAAACTTATTGGAATAAACTACAAAAAGCAGATCTAAATCTGTTATCTCGGACCTCCTACCTCACTATTTACAAATTCCTAAAAATTAAACTTGGTTTTCAAGATTATCTACAAGCCGGAATCCCTATCCATATTACCCGAGTAATTGCACAACTTCGACTCTGCAATGACTTTATCATTAAATTAAATTTCAAAGGATTCACATACACCATATTTTACCAAGAGAAATTTGTACTGCTTGTAACCAAAACACCTTTGAAACTATTCACCACATTCTATTCGATTGCCCCATATACTGCTCCATCAAGCCACCAAATACCCCATTCCTGACCGATACAAATCAACTTATTCATTCCCTCGATAATATGACGCCCTCCATTGCTAGGTCGATATACACTCATATATGGAATATACTGAAATTACGCTCCTTCATAATAAATGAATAGGCCGTTACCTACCTGATATCAGAATATATATAATATATAATTATTTCTATTGGTTCTCTTTACACTTTCCTTATTACATAATTTGTATTATACTCTTAGTGTACCAATCGCCGGATATAGTTTGTAAGCAATACATTTTAACACTCTATTGTATGTACTCACTGATGTATCAAACTTTGGTGTTACTAACAACAATTGTACTACCAATTCTATAAACTTTTAATTAAATTACCATTTATCTTGCAAATATAATGAAACCCTTGTTATGAAACTGTAAGTTCAAGAAACAATAAATTATTGATTGATTGATTGATTGGATTCATTCTGAACAAAACATATTCAAATACCCCTAACATGATGCAGTTAATTGGTCAGAGTGAAGAAAATTCAATACGTGCTCGTCAGAATATCAGCTCTGTGACCAGTAATCACATATCCCAATGAGAAGTTGTATATACTGTGTTCTATCATGGGTTTTTTATTTTGGCGTAGGCAGTTACTGTGTTGGGGCCATAACCTGTGTTATAACTCCACCATTTATGAACCGATTATGATTTTTTACAGAGAGAAATGAATTGCATAACGGCATAACACAGTAAGGGCATTTACGCTGAAATCTCAATTTTCTGAAAAATGTCAATTACTGTGTTCTTACTTGGGACCTTCGTTATTATTTGTACTATTCTGATCATTATTATAGTGATTCTGTGAGGGCTGAGCTACACCCAGATTGGATAATCTACATAACTCATGGATTCATAGGTCAGTCGAATATTAATATTTTCGGTAGATCAATTTATGTGACCTTGATTGCTAGAAGATCTAGTAGATATGCTGGCACAAGGTTTTTGAAAAGAGGAGCCAATTTCCAAGGGGATGTGGCAAATGAGGTGGAAACAGAACAGATGGTCCATGATTCTGGAGTATCTTCATTTAGCCAGAGCCATTTCACTTCATTTGTCCAAATGAGAGGATCTATACCAGGTAAGTATGTCTATCAAATATTAGCATATTGAAACAAATCAAAAGCAAGACCATTTCATTATAAACAAAATATTTACTTCGCTCAGCCGAAAAAACTAGACACCTCTGTTGCAACAATAATAAAACTAGCGCAAGCAGGAGCAGATCCAGGGCGGACCCTCGGGCAAACCTCATGAAACACTAGAAACCAGAAAAAATCTGTGTTTGTCCTTATAGCCATCCACCAGCGACCCACATTAGATATAGATAATAACAATAATGTTGAGAGAGCTTTTGTTTTTATTTATTTTTTTATCTAATATGAAGTCGCCTCAAACCATAGCGCTGCTATAATTGATCGGATTTTTTAACAGAAGAGCAATTTAAATTACTCATTAGATAATAATAATTATGAGTAGGCTCTGATAATATTCTTTTGTTTTCAAACTAAGCAGAACGTTAAGAACGAATATACGTGGATATAATTATAATTAGAGTAACTCCGCCAGTCAGAAATTTAGAATTATTTCCATAATAACCAATTCATATTGTTACATACAAACAAAGCGCTTCGTAAAATGTTTACGTTCTTTCAGAAATACTCAAAAAATAATTGCATCCAATACAATTCAAACTCCAAACTATTCATGGTTATATATATCCGTTTAGTTAGTCATAAAAACTAATACATTGTACATAAAACAGAAATATGTCAAACAGCATCACTACATACATACTGTACAATAGAAATAAAATAAAATAGAATCAATAATGCATGTTAGAGATTACTTCCCTCCAACAAATGTTTTTTCAGAGTGATTTTGAATCAATTGAGAGAGTGTGCACTTTTTATTGCAGTTGGCAATTCGTTGAATGCTCTTAAGCCTTTGAACAATATTGAGTTTTGCATAAATCTTTTCTGGAATGGGGAATGTGAATATCTCTTCTAGATCTCGTTTCATAGTGGTGATATTCAAAATCACATTTCACTTTATCTCTCAGGTAGCCTGGTAAAGTGTCATTGCTTATTTTGTATATAAAAATGGGTGCCTATTACAATAAAAAATCTTTTACTGACAACCACTCTATTCAACATTGTTGTAATAGGAGTACGTCTATTGCACAAAAGAATTATGGTCATTGATCGCTTCTGTAGTTTTTGAAATCTATATATCTGATTTTGGTTTAGTAAATACAAAATAGTTTAGCAGTAAGTGAAGTGGGGAAGTATGATCGTGTTATATATTATCCTTTTGGTCCATTGATTGAGATATCTTGAACATCCATAAAGAAAGTTTACTTTAAAAGAAATTGTCTTTATTAGAAAATCTGCATGTTCTTTGAAAGTTGGTCTATAATTAACCATAATAACGAGGTATTTGAATTTTTCTACCCGCTCGATTATTTCATCACCAATTTTTATTTCCATTTTCTCCCCAAGAAAATTATTATTATTTATGTGACAATCTTTGTAATTATATGCAACAAGTTATCGATGTATAATATTTTATAGTATTACTACTGAATATATTTTATTTTAGTTATAGTCTTCCCAATTAATATACAGAGAGTGTTCCATTGGGAAACGGAAATATGTCAACAGAATGTCGATAAAATAATTGCTTATGAATGATGATATTTGCTTTGTTTCCGAACATGTCATCAGTTCCTTATTAGAAAAATAACATGGACATATGGTCAAAATAATTTATTTCTAGGATCGTTCAAAAATTCTTCACGAGCTGCAAACTTCATACAGCATGCAACAAACATTCATTTTTTGTACTAGTTGCACGAATAAATATTTTAGGTCATTGGAAACAAGAAATGAGCAAAATGATGGCAAAACCAGCAATCACCATTGACTTCTATGATCCTTTTGCCGAGACGGCAGGCTTACATTTTAATGAGCTGCTCAAAAGATATGGGGCTCCCATCATAATACTGAACTTAGTCAAGCAGCGGGAACGAAAGAAACAAGAGGGACTTCTCAGCGACGAATTAAGCTCTGCTGTCAAATATCTCAACCAGTTCTTGCCAGTACGTAAGAGATAACTGAGTTACATTCATTTTTATTCGATTTTTTTCCATTGACTATTCCACTCTTGGTCTCTAGAATCAATCAGAATCGGCCATTTTCACGGTTTCTTCTGTATTACAGTGATATTTTTTTGTTTACTGAACTTTATTGGACTTGCTCTACCAATACAGAAGCCGGATTGATCCACACGTGACCAACCTTCCCCGTTTATCAGCGATAACATTTTGGACGTTTAAAACGTCAATTATAATGGAAGCCATAATGATGGATGCAGTGTGCGCAACTCTCGCGAGCCGCTCGTTTATTGTCTCAATCATGGAATACTCATACGAATACAACTCTTCTTCCTGGAAATATTCATCCATTGACATAGTCTTGCTTGCTGCTTTAATTTCGCTCATGACATTGTTCCAAAATTTCTCGCATACGGCTCAAAAGTTTTTAGCGGCGAAATTATTAGGCAACAAGCTGTCGTAACAATGGCCGAATATTTCCTGCAAAATAGTATCACTTGTGGTATTACATATGCTAATAATTTGAACAAAAGTTGTGCGAACAGGACTTCAGGAGTCAACCGATCCGTTTTAATATTGCTAACGACAGGGTGTCCCGAATTTACATAAAGAGATTTCAACCACAGATTCTAGGAACAATTTACTACAATTTACTATTTTTGTTGCTAGTATCTTTGATTGAAATATTTCTATGTAATTCGGGACACCCTGTATATCGATTTGAAGTTAATCGACATGTTTCTCTTTCTCAGTTTTTGAAATAAGTTATGAAGATTGAAAATATCGTATTGATCGTTGATTCAATCGTTTGGACACCGGAATCGGAATTTTTATTATTTCTTGCTGAAAAGACCATGAACGAGACCATGAAACACCCCAAAAAACATATCAAATGTTTCACATACTGTCATTCATTTCATGTCAAGTAAAATTATGGAACCCTGTGTTTTACCAATCTTCCAAAACTTGAATTCGACCGAAAATTCCAATTGTTTTTTCGAAATTATCTTTTTTGTCAATATATTCATAGTCCTTTGTTCATAAGATTGTGATGATTTAATCCCTTATTTAATAATATGCAGGCATTCATTCATTTAAAATAGTGCATAGTGCTCCCTTATAATCTGGTAATGGCAGTCAGATATATAATATACCTGTGAAACAACTCGAAAATTTAAACTGAATTAGAAATTGTCCCAAACCATTGCACGATTTGTACTATTTCAATTACTCAAAAAGGTAATGAGGAAAAAAATCATTGCCTGTTACATTATGCTGTATTAATAATAATAATGATAATAATCGCTTTTATTGATAATAAGTATGGAAATAAATACATGGAACATATTTACATAAATAATTGTAAAATATATTTGATGAACAATGAAATTAATTATGAAGTGATTGTCATTGAGGAGTTATTGTGTCATTCGGCCGATATTCTATCATAATTTGTGGAAAACATACAGGATCTCTAGAAATGATTGTAACGTCATAGTGAGAAAATTACTTTTGAACAATAATAGTATACGGTACTTTTAATCATTTTCATAATATCAAAATGTAAAATTGTATTTTTTAATTCACAGCTAACCTAACTCCACTGTTCATCATCATGTCGTCCTTACAATAAATTGACAAAGCCCATGGCCATGGGCCAAAACGTTTTTATAAATTCCACCAATTCTTAATTTCACAAACGAATCCAAAACCCAAGAAGCCCCCAAAAAAATAATAATAGAAAACTACACCCAGCACAAATATAAAACACGTTCTTTCAAATAACACAAATCATGATTGTTGACAGACATTGGAAGTAATGCCCCCTCATCCTCATTTTATTTGCTTCTCGTATCACATTATTGTATCACAATCGGAAAAGAAATAACAACGCTATATAGCTTAGAGAGTAATTTTTGTCAGTTACCCTTTTCATCATTCTATTAGAAAATGATAGGGTGATCAGGTTAGTAATGTCCTTTAAGAATTCATACGTTCATTTTCAATATGTTTGGTCTGAATTCGAAGTTGAAAAGGTATAGAAATGTTTGACCCATCATCACACTGTATACGTACCCTTCAGGTGGAACACCAGATAATCTACAAAACATTCGATATGGCCAGAAAAAACAAGGGCACCGCCAATGTAATGGACCATCTGGCGGGTATAGCGAGAAACTCTGTCATGAGGGTCGGCATTTTCCACAACAAGCCCCAGTATTACAGCCAGAAAACCGCTACCGTGGTGGGGCAGTACAAAAACCACTTTGGTAGTCTCCAGACTGGGATTGTGAGGACGAATTGCGTGGATTGTCTCGACAGGACCAATACGGCTCAGTTTGCCATTGGAAAATGTGTTTTGGGTTAGTTATTTATTTACTTATTATTTCTTTTCATTTTCAACATCATCACTCCCATTATTTGGATACTTGATTCGATTATTTCGTCTGTGTTATAATAATTATAAATGTCAAAACATGCATATTTGATCTCGGAGGAATAAAAGATAGTAGTTGTATATTAAATACTTCATGGGTTCTTAAACCTTGGTTAAATTATCCACCGTTTGGTTTCATCGGTCGTTCCTTTTCATTCAAACCTGTTTTTTTGAATTTCATTAGTATAGGGAAGGACAGTGGCTCTTTCTTTTCTTTGATAAATAAATGGCTTTCTAGAAATTGACTGTATGATTTTCATAGCCGACTTTGATTGAACAACTGACTAAAGTCAAAAAACAAAAATTTTGGAAGTATTGAACTCTATATTTCTGAATTATTATCTGTTCCATTTGATGAATAAGAAATCAATTCATTTCTGGCGGTGAACTCTTGGTTATTATAAGAAGACGTTGACGATATTTCGACCATCCTTCATTCAAAAAAGTGTAGAAAAAGTGTGGTCAACATATGATAACCTTGGTGTTATATAGTGCATAACACCAATGGTTCAAGCTTCAAATTTCATATTAGAAAACAATATCCAATCCAGTATACATAATCACCGCATATTTATTTTTATTATCGTCAAGGATTCCAACTATGTGCTCTGGGTATCTTGGACACTCCCAACCTGGAATTCGATACAGATTGTGTGAGGATGTTGGAATCTTTATACGAAGACCACGGTGACACTCTCGCTCTCCAATATGGAGGCTCCCAACTTGTCCATCGTATAAAAACCTACAGAAAAACAGCACCATGGACCTCGCAGGGTAACGATATCATGCAAACACTGAGCAGGTACAGTTGACTGGCTTTTATTGAGGAATGTGACTAGCCACTCTCTCAGGAACAAATAGTTTTTGAATTCATAGCTGCGAAAAACATCTTATTACTCTGAAACGATGATAGTTCAGAAAAAAAACAATACATACCTTCTCTGGCTATCCTCCTTAGAAACGCACGATGTTTCACGAATATAATAGAAACGATGAAAAAAAGTGGTTTTCATCATTGAAATTGTGATAGATTCACTGTCCAGCTCAAACATCAGTTTTCTACCTAATTTCAAAATAGTTATTTTCCTTTCAAAGTGTTCAATTCCTCCCTGTACAATAACAATGAGGAAAATATAGGGTAACTCTGATGCATGTGCCTGTTTGTATTTTTTTGATATACTTGATATTATACCATAAACTTGCGAAAATCTGATCAGATATGATTCTGTGGCTTGTCACATATTCATCCAATGAACCAGCACTTAGATTAGTGAACTTTGTTTGATTGAAATGTTTGTAATTATTTTGTGCAAATTTTCATAGTAGACCTTGAACCATTCCTTTTTTTTTCAGATATTACAGTAATACATTCTCTGATGCAGAAAAACAAAATGCTATAAATTTGTTCCTCGGTCTGTTCATACCAGAAGAGGAGAAACCCCAAATCTGGGACTACACTAATGACTACTATTTCCACCACAAACCGATCATTTTCAGTCTCAAATCGATGACCCAGTGGTGGGACAATGGTGTCTTGAAATGTTTGCCGTACGCTTTCAATGATTTGACCAAGGCCTGTTCTGAATTGATACAGGTAGATTACTAAAATACTCTAGAATAAGGAATATGTATTGATATTGGCAACTGAAATTCAACATTTTAAATATTTATATTTTCATCGCCGCGACATGTTGCACATGTCTCAGAGAAAGTTATAGTTGATAAAAGATAGTGCTTCATCTGAAATTTAATAGTGAAACAGTACAGGCTGTCCTTTTTTCGATGTCCTTACGGTCTTCATCAACGTTGGCTACTCATGATATTGCAAAAATCATCTTCATGGTCCGCTTCTTTATTGAGATACAGGGCCAAATTGAAAATGTTGCATTTTGGGACTCCCTGTATCTCAGTTATCTTTCAACTTGTCAAAAAGTAAAATCTGACTCTGATCCAGTGGCGCTGTCAAATTTTTGGAATAAGCTGCTATTATTAAGGTATAACACAGTTATGTTTTTTTCAAATGGAACATCCTATTTAGTTTTTCATATTTGAAACTTTGATAATAATAATATACGTTTATTCAAAAACGTTTACAAAATATACATTGGAACATGCAGATAGGTATTTTGAATAAACTGGAAAAACCTTACAAAGTGACCCTTGTAGTGAGGATAAAAAAACAAATATACATAGGTCAATAAATATTTAACAATACTAAATTATCACAAGGGAAAAATTGTCTCATTAGGAAATGATACATCATGTATATAATTCATATACAAATATGTAGTTTACTGAGCATTTCATTCAATTCGCATAATTATTTATATATACTCTACAATTATTATTTTGCTTTCCAAAAATATATAACAGTTATAAGATATTTCAAGTCCATATCACAAATTTTCATATTCATCTGGTTGTTGATACATTGTTTCATCTCACAACTCCCACACTAATTTTAGCAACATGGAAAATTTACTTTGTATCTAGCTACTATAGAAGCTGTGGACTCAATTAGTAGATGGCTATGAAACAAAAAGCGAGGGTAGAATGATTTTCAATTCTTGTCACCTACTTTGCGATAGTTCAAGAGGATTTTTCGGATAAAACACCTTTCTAACTGAACTCGGCATAAATAGTTATTTATTTATTTATTTATATTATATATATTTATTATACAAGGGAAAAAAGTTTTGCTTAATACACTATTTTTTTTATTAAGAATAAAACAGTTGAGAAGCCAAAATAAAATTGAATATCTTGCAGAATCTGTGAGGACATTCATTGGAAGTTTTTTTTGTTCAAAATCTGAATAATATTAGGAATATATCTTGTTCATGAACGTTCTGTTATTACGGAAGGGTCAAACTCGTTTTTTGGTGAAAAAAATCTGTCATGTTACTTTTTCTTGAAAAACACCTATTTATTTTGTTAGTAGGTACTGTTATTGCTTTCAGGAAAGGGCATGCATTATTTAATATTCTATTAAATCAGAATACGTGAAATTAAATAATAATAATAAGCATTTTGGTTTTTTCAAAATTGAATATTATTAGTGTGCTCCACTTCATTCTACATTGACTTATCTACCTCATTGTGAAATTCTGTATTGAAATAAAATGAAACATCATGAATGCAAATGATGAAGGCAAAATAAACAACACCGTTTTCTCTCCTGAGAAATATCGAGACAGGCACCTTCGTTATTACAGCGGCAATTAGTTCGTTATTAAGATCACATATTTCTCATGTTCTTTTTCATGAGTTGTAAATAATGGAAATATAATAACTATATTATGCATGTTTTATTCTTGATACAAAATATCTCGTGAACGGACCTTCTATGCTAATATTCAAAATATTAAAAAATAATGTATTATTCAGATTACATTTTCATTGAACCCCGTAGCGAAGCCTCTCACTGCAATATGAGCATGACATTGCAAGTGACCCTCGTACAGACTCGAAACCAGCTGCAGGCGGCCGCTGCTTTTGTGAGCGCTACATGAAAGTCCCGCCTGAATGTGAACCTTCTAGTCTCTGTTTATGTTCGGTGATATTGTTATTCAGTCTGAGTTGTAGGTCCATTCTCGCGACGTGGAAATGATAGACTCCTACCTCGACTACTACAGGCCGTACGAGCTTGGCGTGCTCGACGACCTCTTCTCGCTCAAAATCTCGAACTCCATTCGAGACTTTATGCCCAGCTTCACCACCAGCTACAGCCCTTTTGCGCTGCGGGTGCGCCCCGTGCGCCGGCGCGAAGAAGGCTCGACGAAGGGGGCCGCCATGAAGAACCCCTCGGTGACGGGGCAGAGTTCCAGCTGTTCGACAGCTTCCAGTACAAGGTAATAATCGTGGGTTGGAGAAATCGAGACACTCATTTTCATAGACATGAAACGCTGTGATGGTTCACACTTTTCTTCACCAGTCACGTAGGTTAAGAGAGGGGCAAGACAATTTTACTAAAATGACAACGATATTATACCTATTAGAAAATATTTTGACCTAATCTTTTAATTTTAATACCAAATATTCGTAGTACCTTAGGTTGATCCATCATACAGAGGAATTTGAATAAAATGAACAAGGTTTTTTGGAACAATTATTGAGCTAAACATCCTGCGATAACTACACCACTGCTCAATTTAAAAGAAACATATAACTTTACTTACCGTCTAAATACCAAGTTAGGGTATGAATGGAGAACTTTTTCACAATCCACGCACAGGCGAACCATGATAGACTCTTCAGAATTGTCTGTATATAGTTTTATAACAAGAAATCACTGAAAATCTATGGAAACACAAAAAGTCCTAAAATGGTAACAAACACAGCACAACAACACTGTAACGTCGGATTGTGACATACGTATATGACTAAGAAAAATATGGGCAACTCGTAGTAAAACGCAAATACAGCGTTGCCATACTTATTTTCCATAATACATTATAATTTGATGAAATTAGGAACATTTAAATTATTTCAATAGCAGAATTCACATATTTCAATTAAGGAACAAACAGAATGAGAAATGTATCTTATATATAAATAATGTATGAATTTGATATACTTTCTCCCCACCAAATCTCGAAATTTGACCTCTATGTATCAGAGAACCAGTGCTGTAACTTCTGAATAATTTGAGATAGGATTTTGAAATTCGGGGGGGGGGGGGGGTATACCAAATCGCCTTTTATTGATAAAAACTATTCATTTCATCATTATCTCTTTGATACACCTGTACAATACTTCTCAGAAGCACAAGGTATACTGCATGTACATTGATGATTGCTTTTCATTTCTTGATTTTATTAGAGTATAAATTGTTCTCATTTCATTTCCAGTCTTGAACGCAGTTTCAACTCTTATATTATTATTATCCCCAACATGTTTTCGTCCTTCAGATATGCTGGTAATGTCTAGAATTATTTTGTGTTATCGTTAGTTGTCTTTGTTGTTGTGGTGTATTTTGTATTTTGTTGGTTTTCAATTTGATGGATTGTTTATAGGTAATCACTTCAATACTAGTTTCGTATGCCAGAATTTGAAAAAATATGTTTCTGTAGGCAACCAAAGTGATGAATTACATCATCGACAGCAACAACTTGATTATTTACAGTTTTACACTAACAAGATGAATCATCCTTATGAGAGCAATGCAACCAGAAATCCTATTCAATGGGAAACGGTATCTATGAATGACAAAGGTGAACTACTTATTGTTGAGTAGCGAAGAGATCGGTAATGCAGATATTCGTAGTATATTTTCAGATGTTTTATGCAAGAAGGAAGGTCGCCTTAAGTCCGGATTAAAACATTGTTATTATTTAAACGTTAACATATCAAAGTTAGTGGTTGTCCTGCTTGGAAAAGAAGGATATTCCTAGATAGTTCAGCAACTTGCAGATAGAGCTGGGTTGTTAAGGCCAAATTTAGCCTAAAAATTTTACATGGAGTGGATCATCTTCTTAGTGTAAATAATCTAGTGTGGAAGGCACCTAAGGAGAATTATGTAGACAATTATTCATGCGATATATTTCGCGATTTGACAATGACTCGAAGATAAATCTTTGCTATTAAACTGTAATCATCTTGTTAGTTCCAGTTCAGAAAATGAATCTTCTGACGATGAAGATGGTTCCTATGCTAAAGTTGCTGAAGGAACATCTTCCAAAGGAAGTATTCCAGAACCTTTTACTTTCAAACGTATGTTTCCTACAATGAAACAAGTCTACGGTACGGAATTACAGAGACCCAGTCCTGAAGACATCCTAACATATAAAAAGTGAGTTGATCTGGAATTGATGAGGAGAACCTCTCATGCGGCTTTTTTTCAGGTATGTTCTGATTGGTAAAAAAGCTAGTGGTTCTGCAAAATCCATTTTCACCTCTCCTTGTGGGGAAATGAAGACTGTGGGTGATATTCCTAGAGACACTTGCTTCAAGGTAACTCCTCCTATAGTTTCGCAGGGGTCTATACAAGTTTATAAAAAATATATTAGTGTTGGAGAAAAGGGTGGGGTTCGGCCAAGGGCAAGTGATATGGAAATTTATAGAAAATATGCTAGTTTCAAGTGAAGCCAAATACTATTATAAGTATTATTATATTCTGTGATATATTTTTCAAATGCTAATTTTGTTTAGTTCAGAAAATGTTCTATTGAATAGATATGCACATTATACAGTATTAAAAATTTTTTAATATATTCGCATGTATTTGTTGTACAAACTTGGTTGGTTTCATTTTAGCCAGTTTTATCTTCTTTTCAGAATTGTGCATATATGAACTGCAATCATCATTATTCCCAGGCCAATCTGGAAATAATACACGTATTATGTATAGTTACATCAATATACAAGGTGAATACAACTTTTTTTTTAAATTTCGAGTGTGCCTTCCTAACATCAAAATGGACGACAAAGCTAATTGGGAAATGATTTCAATCGGAACTTATTAATTTTGGGTCATAAATAAGAAATCTGAAAATTTTCACATGAAATTTTTGAACCATCATTCTTAATTGGGACCAAACCTGTATAACTGACATCATGTAACAGTGAGATTTCATTATGTTCTTGTCCCATGTAAGTTCTCTGCTCAAGGAATCCAAACAGCCTTCAGGAAAAGAGTTGCTAACATCACATGTTCCCTATAAATGACTAATGATGAGAATATTCGCCAAACTATATCATACAGGGACACCAGGGTGATTCACAACCTTTATGCATAAACTTTAAGGAAATTATATAGAGCTCAGTAATGACATGAGTGTAGCTGAAGTTATAGCATACTGAAGTATACTGAAGTTGACGTTTTCTTATCTAGATTATCTATTCTTCAGAATCCGAACATGAACAGGAGTTTTTTGAAACAAAACAAATTCATGGCTATAGAACCTCGAATAACATCTTGCATACCAAGGTATTTTTCATCAGCAGATTATTACGTAAAAATTTTTTTGGCGATGAGATGTACAGTCGTCTTCAACGAACATGTCGCGGTTGGACGGTATGAGTGCTCTTATTGCAGCGGTGATCGAGGGAGCTGACACCGTCCATGTGCGACATGATCTATGAAGACGACTGTACTTATCTTAGCCTTCATTCTCTGTAGCAGAGCAGAGACATTTTTTACTACTGTTCATTTCAGCTCAGCTTAACATTGATTATGAAATCACGAAGACTATCTCCTGTCAAGCGTTGTCGGTCGAATTTCGCAACACCCTGTATATGAAATGTAGATATATTTTTCCATGTAGTGTTGAGAAATATGGCACTATTTTGAATAATAAATTACTGTGTATCATATGTTATATTAACCTAAATATGCCTAACGTCCTTCTATAAGGACACTCCGTAAAAAGTTTTTTACTGCGTAATTTGGGTATCTACGCGGATTTCGTCATGGATGGCACCAGACTATTTGTTATAGTATTCTATCCAAGTTGGATGACTGAAATATTTCAATTATTGATTTTGTGTAGAAATGATAGTCTGTCGTAATCATATCTGTAGCCAAAAAAATGTCAATGCATTGTGGGTTTTGAAACTGTATCTCACAACCTCAAATGTTCAAATGTTCTTTGAGAAGGACAGTAGGCATATAGCAAGTTCTTTCAGTGGTTTCACTTTCTACAATCTTCAGGGGCCAGGTAGCCATGCGGACAGAGTGTCTATATTCTAATCCGCATTCGCTTGCCGGTCGTGGGTTCGATTCCCATCGACTGCAGAAATTTTTCTGATGGCCCAAGAAAGTGTTTGGGATCACAGGTTAAAAGGTGAGGCCCCCGCCCCGTAATTCCTTGCTCGAACAAGACTCTCGAAGACTTCTGATGGTTGCTCGTAAGGGGGCAACCGAATGACGGATAGAACAATTTTAGAACAAATTTTTAGATGACGAAACTAATAATGAGTAATCTGAAATATCAGTGGCAATTATGTCTCCTCTCAATTATTGTGTACTAGTTACAGATTAGGACTTGAGCGATAAAAATATAGTGTACATTAGTACGAATCAGCAACCTCATATAATTTTTTTACACAACCGAAAGATGAAGGGCGTTTATCAAGCCAAGCAAAATATAGAAGAGTTGTAATACGTGATAAGAAATGGTACATGCCTCTTGTGTGGCAATTATATAGGATGCAAGGCGGTCTCCTTGATCATTTATCTGTTGGCAAAAAATTAGCCGATACAATTTTTCAAGACAACCACAGAAAACTTTTCAAACGTTCAAAACCCTTTCCATTGGAAAACGTAGATTTCCTATAGGATCATTTGATGGAAACGCAGTAAAAGAAAACAAGTTGCCGATATTCTCATAAAAAATGTTTCCACCAAATGCGAAAAGAGCAGTGTTGCTCTCTAAGTTACTGATTTCGTGTTCATAATGGTTTTTATGTCCTCTTGTATTATATTTCGAATATTGATATAATATAAACTTCTATCCTAGGAAATGTCACTCATTTGCCTACACTGTCCTTTCAAAAGGACATGGTCTTTTTGGAAACCCCCAGCTTTCAAGAGTTACTCATTTTTGAAAACTGAACTAGTTTTATACGACAAAAATTGAATTTGAAACAAAATATTTTCAGAAAAATCTGGATTCACGATGAGCTATCACTTCCCAAGTTTATGCGTATAGGTTGCGAAACCCTGTATACGCTTACATTATTACCACAGCACGAACAAGGTATTTTCAATCCATTTTTCGACCAATCGCTTTGGTTATACACTCCGCAACATTCAAAACGTCTCTGAGTACTATCCCACGAATTTTTTGCATACCAGCTTGAATTATAACTCAGGAAAGAAGGGTATACCGACGAATTCAGGTCGTGGTTTCCTAAGGAGCTTGACAATTCTCTGTTGGGCCCCTTTTCGTACATAATACCCATAATTGAACCAGTTACAAGAAGGGCAGTTATAATTATTGTTAGTATCCACATCTACAATGATTATCGATCAACAAATCATAGCTGAAGTTTGAATTCATAAGTGTTAGTGATTGTGAGTGAGTGAGTGAGTGAATGAGTGTGACAAACGCTCAATACAGGGTGTCCCATAAATACGTGGTGACAACTCAGAGACGATGATATAGAGGTGATACTAATACCAATAAGTCAGTCCTTCATTTCGATATTCGTCCTTGAAAGTAAACATCGAAATGGGGTTTTCAGATTATTCTTCTCACATGTTACAAAATTTCACATTTTAGTGATTTCAACCAATATATATATATATATATATAGCAATTCGTGATTCTGATAGACCACTGCTGAAGCCTTTGCAAACGGTAAAAAGTGAAAAAAATTATAGTAGGATGACACCCATTGAAAAAGGTAGATAAATATAAAAAAATTAAAGGGAAAATGATTTACGGGCGCTATGATGTCGGCAAGGGGTAGGGGGTGAGTTTTCAAGGGTAAAAAATAACGGTTTATCTCGATTACTCGCAAAACTACAAGATGGAAAAAACTTAGATGGCGAAGTTGAAGGTGATAAAAAGATCTCTAACTTTTATATCTCCAATTTTTTTTACATACCTAACCTAAAAATTTATGTGAAAAATTCAAAGTTCCAAGTTTTTGGTTTTTTATTTTTAACTTTCACAAATGCATTTTTTTTCTCACGAAATTTGGTCTTCATGTCCCAAATACACTGTAATATTTATGATCAGGGTTTTCAATCGAAAATTCTTGCGTCAAAATATCTGCTTTTTCAAAAGAGTCGATGAGCTTTTTATTCCTTGAAATCTCTACTTTCTGATGGTGTGAAAAAATATATACATTACTAGGGTACATTTTCTCAGAAAATACAAATATTTATTTAGAACGACTATCTTCGCATGCAATCTTAATATTTTATGGATTTGAATTTTTTTTTCTATCAATATTTGTAACATGGAATCTTACGTTTCAGAGTGATCAGAGTTCTGAATCTTCAATCACCCTGTATCTGTTCTAATTAAATTTCAGTAGATAGTAAATCTAAAGTTCAGATGGGGACATATTATGTAAGCCCGTTTTGACCAATACTGAATAGTTTCAACACAAAATAATCCTAAAGTTGAAAATTCTCGATTTTCAACACCCCATATATCTCTGCAATCATTCACGCTAGACCCCTAGTTTGATGCATTGATGAAATAAAAGGAAATACAGGGTGTTCCATTTCAAATCTCAAAGTTGAAGATACTTCCTAGTAGTTCATGCCAATTTATGGATATACCATCAAATTGACAGATTCATCTGTTGCTTGGTTTGCCAGAAATATCTGAGTAACGCTCATCGTGAGAAACCCTGTATATCCAGTGACGGCTCGTCAGGGACGGCAGGGTCGGCCGGGCCGTACCAAATAATTTGGGTAAAATTACTGAACTATTTGATGAATACAATTATTTTCCGAAACTGTTTTCATAATTCATCGTTCATTATCCTACTGATGCCACTATTATTTCAATTTCATTCACTGGAACCTTTGAGTATGCCATCCGCATATACTCCGAAAATCACGAACTAATTCAGGACCTACGACATCTGGTAATCCCATCGTCAAAACGCCGCTTCAAGTTGAAACGCTCGCGTAGCTCATTACACTGATGCAGACGGCCGGCCGATCGGTGGTTTCTTGTCTCGACCAATCTCGACGCATCGCCTACAGATTCCCCGCTTCAAGTTTGAATTCTAGCTCGCGTATAAGCGAACGATACGCGTCATACCTTGGGTGCGGCCAAGCTCTGCTGGCCGTCCGTACGTACGTTATCAGTAGTTTGCAGTGCGCTCGCTGTGCACCGTATCCGACCATTCCGACCTAATTTTTAATATACGGATTGGCATGATTGACATTCTATTTTCATTTACATTGTAGTTATTTATAATTTTTATTCCTATACTTATTTGTAAGTTGATGTCGAAATTTGAAATGTACAAACTGAAAAAAAAAAAAAAAATTCGATGTTTTTGTTCACGCTTGCAGTAGTATTTGAATATTGTAATGTAACCTACTGTGCCTCTGCCTATGTAGGTAATATGGCAAGAAAAATGTCAGCAGTCCAAGAGCTGAGTAGGTATTGAAAGTTGAAACATCGTAAAAAAGCTCTGGTGACGAAAATGTAATAAATGTATAACTTCCAGAATATCATTTATTTTCAAAGACGCATGTGACGGTTATAAATAATATTTATGCATCCATCGCGGAAAACATTATACCAGAGATTATACACTCCTGATTATACCTACGGCGGGCTCGGCCAGCCGACTACGAAGGAGTGGGGTGGCTTGTTACCTTGTTACAGGAACGGCGTAGAGCGTAGACCGATTTAGTAATTTTTGTGCTTCTCGCGTTAGGTGAGTGGTTGTCGGTTATGTTGATTTTTTTGAGTTTACGTTACGTTTTCAACAGAATATAAATATTTTTTGTTCATGAGTTATTTTATTTTTATTTTCTTTCATTTTATTTTTTCGACTTTCTTGTTATTATTTTTTCATACCAACTATAACCCTTATCCACCTCCTTTTTCTTTCCCCATTTCCCTTGGCGAGAATGCTCTAACCTCGTGGTTCTTGCTGGATAATTTAATTTTTTGGTTATGTGTACAGGGTGAATCACCATAAATGTCCCCCCCCTCTAGCTCAGTTATTTTTAAACCGATTTCAAAATTTGAAATATCATCTCATTGAATGATTTTTGATTGAGTTTTTTTCCGCTACATCAGAAAATACAGGGTGCTCAGAACAAACGATCTACAGGGTACCATTTGATTTTTTATATGGAACACCCTATTTTTCATTGTATTTTTAGATTCTCCCTGAAAAGCTGATTTGCTCAATGTATCACACTTGTGGTCTATCGGGAATGATTACAGAGATATAGGGTGTTCAAAATCGAGATTTTTCAACTTTAGGATTTTTTTGGGACGAAACTATTCATCATCGGTCAAAACGGCTTTCATGTCCATATCTCAACTTTTGATTTACTATCTACTGACATTTAATAATTGGAACAGATACAGGGTGATCAGAATTCTGAATCTTGAACCACCCTGTAAATGTTCCAATCAAATCTCAATAGACAGTTAATCAAAAATTAGGATGGAAACATAGGAGCCGTTTCGACCAATAATGAATAGTTTCGAGACAAAAAAATCCTAAACTTGAAAAGTCTCGATTTTGAACACCCTATATCTCTGTTATCATTCCCGCTAGACCCCAAGTGTGATATGCATTGATGAAATCAGCTCTTCAGGAAGGATCTAAGAATACAATGAAATACAGGGTGTTCCATTTGAAAAAATCGAGTAGTACTCTGTAGATCATTTGTTCCGAGCACCCTGTATTTCCTGATGAAACGGAAAAAAAAATTCTGAGAAATCATTTTAGATCATCCTTCAAATTTTTAAATTGGGTCAAAAATAAAGTGAGCTAGAGGGGGGGACAATTATGGTGAATCACCCTGTACATGCTTATTTGCCATCGAACTTCACTCAAGCCGCTGACCCAACGTGTTACGTTCGCATTTTAGAGCAATATCTATACCCTGGCCGACCCAGGTTCTGAGGGCACGAGCCGTCACTGTGTATATCATATCCTTTATGGGGCACCCTGTATAAATTAGCGCCAGTATTGTTCGAATGTTGGTCAAAACTACTTTCTCACCAATGGCAAAAATTGGAACCTATTCTTGTTATTATGGATTGACGCTGCTATCCATGATCCAGGTATACAGAGAATACCTGCGGGCAGAGTAAAATATGGTATGTCCACCCTTATTTTAACCAGCTGTACATATGGAAGTTTCTTGATGATCGACCAGATAGACAGCCCAATGAGGATCAAACCGGAAGCCTAAATGAACATCATTGGTCATTTCAAACTCGGATACAGGGACATATGTCTTATTTACATTCGTTTTTAACCCATGTTCCTAGCTATCACAGAACTCGAGCAATCGCACTATTGCCACAGTTAAAAGAATTATTGTCCCAGCCTTTAATTTTGCTTCGATATATTATTTATCCGGACATAGTAAGATATTACAACAAACTTTTTTTCACGAACATTTGCCTAATTTACAGTTGCAACTATAAATTAGGCAGAAGAAACATTTTTTGAATATCGCCTAATTTACAGTTGCAACTGTAAATTAGGGAGAGAACATTTTCTTTTTCAAAACACCTAAGTTACAGTTGCAACTGTGAATTAGAACAAGAGAACTTTTTTTACACATCTCCTAATTTACAGTTGCAACTGTAAATTAGAGTCTCACAGTCTTAGTTCTCACAATTTCTCACCAGACTACCAGACATAGGCAGCTTTCATTCTTCGATAGCACGCGATGCGCTGAGACTGTGAGACTCGCAAATTAGGCAGAAGAAACCTTTTTTTTTTCAAATATCTCCTAATTTACAGTTGCAACTCTAAATTAGGAGGTGTTTTGAAAAAAAGAGGTGTCTCTGCCTAATTTACAGTTGCAATTGTAAATTAGGCGATATTTTGAAGAAAAAGATTCTTCTGCCTAATTTACAGTTGCTGTAAATTAGGCAAATGTTCGTGAGAAAAAAAAGTTTTTTTAGGATGGGCGTTCAGACGCGTCGTAATATCTGACTATGTCCGGACATAGATTGGTCCGGATAAATAATATATCGAAGCAAAATTAACAGCATGAAAAAAAATAGAAAGTATACTAGGTAAGGTATATATATATAGGTACGTAGTGTCCCTGCCAGCAGATATCTGGGTTATGTAACATTAAAAAAATTGTGAAATTCATGGGAACGAAAGCTCTCCATGCGAAGACCATGAATTCAAATCACCCCCATGTCAAACAATAATCTTCTGAAAATCACCCCCAACTTTGGTTTTTCAAATTGCACCCCCATGTTTATTTCGTGGTTCATCTTGTAGAACCTTGCATCATCAATTCAGTGATATATCGGACTAGATATTTAGCAAAGAATTCATCCTCGGGAATTTCGAATAATTTCAATAATTCGAATAAAAAAATATCGATTTCCTGAAGCTCTGGGACGCACTGTACTGAAAAATTTCGAATATTTCTTCTCAAACCCCATTGCAATCTTTCTAATTCCAAAATTCAGTTCCGGAAATCGTTTGCCTTTATATAATCAATATGGCTTGATATTTTGGTTAGTCCTTATTCCCTGTTGGTTAATTTTAATTCGACATATTTTTCGTGAAATAATGTTATTTTTTCTTACTAAAGTAATCACTGAAATAAAGCACATCAGCCAACATGTTTCATTAACATTTCTTCCACACTGACTCTGTGGTATTACTAAAGGTTTATTCTTCTTTCTTCTTGGAGACCATGAATCTAAGGAAGATGATTTTCTCATTGAGTATTTTTCGAAATTTTCAACAGTTATGTCAAAACTTGACAGTGACAGTGACTCACATGCGAATGGGCCTGTTCCAGTGAAAAACCTGACTATTTCACCCGAATCTGAAATCAAATACATATTATAAAAAATACTAGTCCGATTCTGGAACGGTTTGTTCCATGTTGTATAAGAATCTTTTGAGAACGATATGGTTTGCTTACTCTTTTCATACAGTTTGTGTTTTTATATCTACAAGGAGAAACATTGACCCATTACAAAAATGAATATTTTCAAAGTTATCCCAATCATTTGTAAAAATTTTCGGATTTTTTTCTAGGGTATATTCAGAATGAGATTATTTCGCTAGCATACTTCATTAACATGCAACATCTTTTTTTATAGAAAATTTACGTTTTTTTAATGTCCTTATATAATATCAGCTGATCTGTTCATGAAATAAGAGGGTTTTTTCATGAAATCGATACAGGGATGAATTCGTTACTTCAATTTCTTTGATATCGAGCAAATATTGATCTATTAGGGCTGATCTTCAGCTCATGAAGAGTATTTCGATACCTGAGGTTACAACATTTTTTCACGAATTTAACATTCAGAAAGGAATTAAACGGAATGATTCCATTGATTTCAATAACTTTAGGCATTACGCTGTTGCCAGTGCCATACAATAATTTGGGTTCAAATAAAATCTCGATCATCACTTGGAATACTAGAATATTGGCATTGGTGGTGAAGCATATTGCAAGTATATAAGTATTCAATAAGTGATTATTAGGGACCAGGTCGGACTATTTGTCTTCTGTGAATGTGAATACTGTTGTCATTGGTATATTAATATAATTTGTATTGATGCATTCTTCTTCACCCAACAAAAATATAAATAACAAATTATTGAAAAAAATTTCCTGAATGACAAAGCTCACCAAATTGGTACGTCACACCGACGTGATTTTTAGACGTCATAGATACGTCGTCACTGCAACGTCATAAGAGTAACGGTTTCAATATAGGTATACCTGAACAATCATTTGTATATATACATAGCTTCTTGGTTTCCGAGATAAACAGTGTGTCAAAGTTTTTTAGAAAAAAGTTTTCTCCTACTTTTCAGGTATATTGATAATTCCAATAAAATTTTCATGTTGCACGTATCGAGAGACAATGGTTGGGAGAGGTCTACTATGGAAGGTATTATTAAACCATACATAAAGTAGTGATAAATGAATGAAATATGCAGCATTCAGGTCTCATAGATTCCAATACTCAGATTTGAGAAATCTATTTTAAAAACGGCGAATTTGCATATGGTTTCAATGTCTTGGACTTGCCTGGAAGCATCAGATAGCTGTAAGGTGTGAAATAGTCTGAACATATCATTCCTGACCGGCTAAGAGCCAAAATGGTCTCCTAATAGCCTCAAACCATTACTTTCTCTTATCCTTAGGAATTCTAAAGTCATTATTGAATGAGTAAACTTTTAATCAAAAATAGATGAGCGGGTATAGCACCTCACTCCTGAATTCAAATTCTTCACAGCTGAATGATTATACAAAACGCATTATTTCATTTGATCTAAATACGACTCGCTCAACTGATAAAGGCAAATAAATAGTTATTTATTATACAAGGGAAAAAAGTAGTAGATTTTAGCTCCAGGTTGTGTTGTCTCCCGACGCGTAGCGGAGGGAGACAAAAAACCGTGAGCTAAAATCTAATATTTTTCCCGTGTATAATACACTATTTTTTTCTGTGACAGAAGGAAGGACGAATCAATATTGGGAAGATATTACATTATTTCGAAATCTGAAAATTATAGACGTGAAATTTCAAGTTTTTAACAGTAGGGACACCTGCGTTTTATAGACATCTTTATCATTCTTTTGAAGTAATCAAATATCTGATGTCACTTAATCTGTCAGTTCAATTCTGTGATTTGATTTTAAAAAATCGCTAATTCAGTAGTTGTTTAGTAATATACGAAACCGCGAAGTCGAATGGGAGATAAAAGGACTTGCAGTTCTTTCTCGGAGACGGTATTATTGACTTATTTTTCGGAACTATAGCACAACAAAAGCCATTAACAGAGTATATATATGTGATATATATCCGGGAAAGAAGTACTCACTTTTTTCCCACGGGAAAAAAGTAATTTATGAAAAGTGACAATTTATAACCTGCCAACAGAGATGAAATGCCAAACTTTTTTCCCGTCACAGAAAAAAATAATAAATTATCCATCACCCTCAAACTCACCGATGAAAATAAATACCTTCAGTTTTATTATTAATCATGGAATTCTTACAGCGAAGAACGAACCACTTCATATTTCCTAGGATTGGCGAAGATGAAAGAGAAAAAATAATATCGCCATTTAATTTTCATATTATATTATTTGTATTAAGCCGACCACTGTCATGAACGACAGCTTGGGGTTCTTGCGTGTTGAGCAGAAGCGTTTTCAGGCGAGCAGCTGACCCTACATTTTCGGGTTGCTGCGAAATGACTACCTACTAGCAGTCTGGATAGAGTTATAAGTCGGTCGTTCATCCAACAAAGACAATGCCTTTGACGTTTACTCGATTCAAATGAGTATTCTGGCATCAATTGGACATCAGTTAAATTATCAAGTGTGCTACTTTATTGAAGTTAGAATTGATTGCACTTCACAAATCAACAAAAAATATCAAATGAAATCAATCATATAGTTGAATGGAATCTAAAACTGATAATTCAAGCCCATTATTTTAAGAGTCGAAATACTATGATTGAAAAAAGAGGATTAAAATTAAAAACGCAAAAAAGTCGACGTATTTTTTACTCGACTTTTTTCCTATTTCATTCTTGTTTTTTTTAACTTGTTTATTTATATTCAATTCAATAAGTACCTATATACATTGTGAACAACATTTTTATACATTATATAGTTCTCGATCTTTATTCAGCCCCAGTTCACTAACCTATGGGAATGAGGAACAATCAGAAATATTCATACATAACTAATATTCTATGACAAATCATGTATATTTCACTCGATTCATAAATAATGATAATAATAATAACATTTATTGATCCCAAGAAACATACAATGTTTATAGAGGGAAACAAAATAAAATATAATAAATATATCAAATATGCAATACAATGAAAGATAAGAAGTTCAATCAGAATTCATTGATACAAGGAGGGAGTTAAATTGATAAAATATATTTCTTCAGTTCACACTCAAATTTTGTAACAAACCTGGAAGATTTTATTCTGTTGGGTAGACTATTATAAATATTTATTCCACAAAAATTCAATGATTTTTTCCCGAATTGTGTTTTTATTTTGACAGTTTTCAAATGTTCACTTTGTCTGGTGTGATGCTCATGGGTATCAGAATTGATTTAAAAATTACTTATTCAAACTGACTGGTATAAAACGCCCCAAGCCATAAGCGCAGCTATTAAATATCCGATATTGAAAAACCAAACAGCAAATGAGTCATCAGATACTATGAGTAGGCTCTGATAATGATTTCAATTTCTTCCTCAGCACACTTCAAAAAAACATGCGGTGTTGAAATATGTGGCAAAACACTGACATTCATTTTAGTGAAATTTACTGCCACATTTAATGATACATCTTGGATACATCTAATAATTTTCTATTACTTGACAACTGAGCATTCATTTTTTATTTCGAATAATTTTGTCTGTTTACTGTATTCATAAAAAATCTAGATAAGAAATAAAATCAAAAAACATTTGGTGCATCTTTTTAGAAAACGATTAGTTGACAGTCACTGACGTTACATTTTGAATTTGAATAAATAATGATCAGAGTCCATACTTATTTCAATTGTGCTATGGCTTATAAGGTGTGTTTTTTGTCAGTAATTGTTAGATACGATGCTCTAATCTACCTAAATGCCAAATTTGTACCTCCAGCTACTCGAAGGTTTTCGGTCGCCCGCTTATACATGCAATTTTCTGAAAAATGCGTGATTGATTTTCATGGAAAGTTGTACAAAAGTGAACCATAACGAGCATTCAAAACCAGGAATTCAGAACACATTTTGTTTGTTTGAATATCGCTTGAGCAATCATAAATACCTTCCGCCAAACGTGAAGTAAATAAAGTTAGGTTTTGAGATCAATGAAATTGCGATTGCTAAAAATACCGCTTTTCTTCGCATCAAAATCCTGCTTTTCGCCCTATATCCAACCAGTCCTGGCTTTTCCAGTCAACTTGGATCTGTTCGATGGTGAAGGACTCTTCTCCCCGCCAATTTCCGCAGGTGACAAATGCTCCACGTCAATTTTCCCGCTTTCCTCGTTATTTTTCTCGTTGACGCTCATCGAGATATCGATGGAAACGCTGTCATTTTTCCGAACCGATTGAGAGCTTGATTGAGAGCGTTCGGTTTTGTTATCTTCAGTAGAGGATTGCGAGCTTGAGCCGGGAGGTTCGGAGTCCGGGTTCTGGTCGATCGGGTTCGGGTCTGCATCGTCTGTTGGACTTTGTGGGGGGTCGAAGCGGTGGCCTATTGGAGTGGGAGAACGAGAGTTCGCTACGAAAAATAAAGGTTACTGTTAGATGAAGGGTGAGTTTATTCACATAACTCCAACGGAACAGCTTCACATGGGGACTATACAGTAATCTTTGACTATAGCATACTATAGTCATATTCAGAATTAGAATTGATAAGCAAATCCGAGAATAATAAACAGTTCCAGATCGATACGAAAATTCAAAATAATTGTGTTCATTCTTAATTTATAAATTATACTAGTGTGATGATTTTACAGTTGAATGGTACGTATGAACCTAAAGTTTGGCCTCATCAAGTTAATCACCCTAGTATAATAAAGAGGAATAAACGTTAATATTAGGAAATCATATACTAAAAGCACAATTTAATTGTGAAAACCTATTTGCTTATGTCTCGAAAAATCGTCTACTGAGTTCCATACAGGGTGTCCCATTGGGAAACGGAAAAATTTGAAGGGTGGGTAGAGCTCGGCTATGTGTATTTGTCGGATCTTACAAGTTTTAAGTCCGAGATATAGATTTTTATCATTGTTGTTCAATTCTTTGTGCGGAATAACTTACGAACCACAAACTGTATTCTACTGGAATTTGGTACACAACTCCTTCCTCTACCCTCAGTCACGGGAAAAATCCAGGTCCAGATAACGAAAATTGATCTTATTTCTGGGTCCCAAAAAGATAACCTTGTATTTTCGAATTTCCACAAGCAGCTTACATATTTGGAAGTTGCACAAAAACCTGAATCGAAATATTTACTTTTTATTTTTCCGCATGCTATTTCACTAAAGAATTCCTGATTTTGACTTTTATGCATTAGGATAGGTGAAAATGGAATGTTTCGAGTTTTCCCAATCGAACAACCAAAATGATCACGATCACTTTTGGAATGGAATTGACACCCTACAAATATGGTATATTCCCAAACTGATAAACTCTACCAACGGTTGAAGTTTTTCCGTTTCCCAATGGGACACCCTGTATAAATATTATGAATGTCATCATGTACAAGGTACCTAGTCTAAATTAAATATTCAATTTGGACAACTGATTTCTGTACCTGAGGATCAATCTTCATGAGAAACTCAAGGCTTCGGAAATGTTTTCAAGAAAATAGAGAATTTTCAGTAGTAATACTATGAGTACACGAACAGTGTCAGTTTGACAGTTGAAATAATCCGACCGCAAAGCGCGAAGATTATTCTGTTAAAACTGACACGATTCTTATTATGCAGGAAGTTTGAGATGTTCTCATAACTATTATCATAACCATGAATGGTTTGAAGTTCGAATTGTATTCGATGCGATGTATTTGCTACCAACCCTTTCAAGTTAATCCCTTACACCGTATTCTAATGTAGATATTGTGCCTTTTTTCCGAAAATGAAGGTTTCCATAAGTAATTCTAATCCTTCAGGTTGTAAAGTAGGAAATATAATATAAGTTTAGGGCCAAGGTTAGTTTATTTCATTGTACCAGTATAACACCTGACGAAGCTACTGTGTTAGCGACACTAATATGTCGTGTGAGAATTTTTTGGAAATCTCATCGTTTCTGAAGTTTTAACATTTGTTATGGATTTCCATCAAGTAACGACCAAGTCTATTGAAAAAAAAACGATGCGATAATTTTTTGAGTAGTTCTGGACGAACGTCAACATTTTACGACGCGCTTATTTGCTTGTGTGTAAAAATATCAATAGGTTACTATGGAAATAATTCAAAATTTCTGATTGGCGAAGTTACTCTATATATACCAGAACATAAAAAAATACAAGGTAGCTCAACTCAATTGAATGTTCTGATTGGTTTGAAATCATAAAAAGAAAATAATCGCCAAAATAATGAGTTTTGACCAATTTTCGGAAACTCTCATCTTCCAAAAATTCCTCGTACTCTGAAACAAGCATTGATATCGATATTCGCCGGTGTTATTATCGAATTCGTCATAAATATCGACCGGGTACCTTTATCAGTTTTCTTCTAATTTCATTATTTTTCTGTAGGTTGATCTAGGAGGTGAATTCATTTCTCTAAATTATTTGGGACTGAATTTTTTTGAGAAGAATATAAGTGAATTGAAAAATTATAGAATTCTTCTTTCCACATGTTTCGAGGACGAATCTTGGGATTGATCCCTCTGTTATTTATATAGAAGTTGTCTAAAAAATGTGTAAGTTACAGGTTGTTTTTCTAATTGATCTTGAATTTACCATGTTCATACTCATTCTAGAAGTGAATACCATATTCCATCTGTATCTATCAAATTTAACAGTATGCAATGTTATCACATATTCCTGTTCACTGTTCAGAAGAATTCAAGCGGATTCATTGATTTTTATTTGTTAGTTGTTATCTTCCATTTCTATGATTTCAATTATTATTCCATGATGCCACATGTGAGGATTTGTTCAGTTAATTTTGATTTGTCAAGTATTTTCTTCACATTTTACTTTATGTTCTTTCGTCTATACTGGGAGCTGTCTCTTGATGATACTTTCCACGAACACAAGGTATACTACCTACCTACTGTAGATACAATTCTTCGATGATTGTTCTTTATTTTTTTGTTTTGTTTGAGTAGAGTTGATCTCATTGTATTTTCAATCTTCAACACAGGTTTTACTTGAAACTTCTTCACGTTTTTTTTTTTTTGTCAGATAAGCTGGAAATGACATTTGAATCGTTCTTTCTACTCCGAAATATGAGGGTGGTTTTACTTGAAACGGGACAAACTGTATATTGTAGATTCGAATATTTCTAATTCTGATCGTTATGTGGCACGTTAATTATCATTTTTCTGCACAAAAGTCGTCCATTTTAATACCAAAATTAGCTCTTGAATTGACGTTTCTATTACTATCTATTTACAAAAATTGGTATTATGTTGGGTTGTTGTTGTTGTTAGGAGCTAAAGTTGAACTGTAGGAACTAAAAAGGATGTACTAGAGGTCATCCAGAATAAATAACATTGTTACGAATGGTTATTTGGGCTTCGTTAGACGCTCCCGCTCGCAAATGCAAAATTACCTTGTCAATTTTGATCCTGAGAAATCAATCTACTATTCTTAGAAATCCACCATTATCAATTAAAAAAGTGTCGTTGAAGAAACTCTATCTATCTATATACTATACGATCACAAAAAAAGTAGCAAAAGTAGAAATAATTTTCCAAATAATAACTTCCTACATACACGTATTCCTCTACCTAAAGGCAATCACATAACTCTTATTAGTTCATAACATATACTCACAGGGTGTTTTATCGATTTCTAGCAATGGAGACAGACAGTTTTCATGAGTATCCTGCAAAAATATGAAAGTATATAGGTACCTCAGCATGACTTACTGAAATTGTTATTCAACGGAAATTCAGATCTATTTCCACATGATTTCAAATTTCGCTGGTAAAACTGCAAGTGCAAAATTAAATGATGAAGCATAATTATTATAGCGTTCGAATCAAAAGTGTCTCAAAAGTAAAAAATTGAAAAACTTAACGAACAAAATAAAAGAGGTTATATGAAAATTGAGACGTCCACTTATTAATTCTAACATCAAGTTTTCAAGGGATAACTAAACTGTATGGAATGGCATCTAAATTCCCTTGAATATACAGGTTGTTCCATGCCTAAATATAACTACTTTCATTTTGTTCGTTCATTTCTTCAAAAGTATGTACTAGAAAATTCACACCAACTGGCGTTTGGATTTTTCATAAATCATACGCGAGCAAGTTACAGGGGAGAATTTTTGTTTTTCAGAAAATCAGATTAACCTAGAATTTGGAACCTACTATGAACCTTTACAGAAGAAGAGATTTATTATATATAGAGTCACTATATAAATTCGATATGTCAAAAGCATTCAAATTTGGCTTTCCAAATCAATGGTAATCACCACAACCATACAACTAGACAAGCATCAGATATTTCATTTTTATAGTTTTCTCGTACTATATTTTTCCAGCTGAGTCAATTAAGAATCAATTTCAGTTGACCTTAAAAAAAAAAGATGTGAATCTAATTTTACTGTCTTCCTTATTTTGTCAAATATATTAATATATTCACCATGTTCCCTGCTTTAAACAAATGTTGTTTCTTGGGAATAATAAGGTTGATTGATTGATATGAAAAAATCAGATTCGTATCTCGTCTCGATTAATTGTATTCAGGAAAAACGTTAAGCAACTCATGAATAAATCCTCTTTCTCTGGGAAAAAATTGGATATACCTACCTATATTTTATCACAAAGTTGTGGATAGATAATAGAAGCGATTTAACTCGTTTGTTCGGCATTATATAAAATAACCATTTTTGTACTGATTCAAATCGAATTCTGACTATTGCAGTAACATCCTGTGTATATATTTGGAATATGAATATAACTACGGAAAAATAAACACACTCACATGCTGCGTCGTAAATCTGTCCTCGGTGGACGATTGGCAGTCCCGATTTTGAGAATCCCGACGACTCAGATGGGACTGGATGAGAACATCAGTGGAATCTTTCGAGCAATAAAAATCATTGGTAATACTTTTCACATGGACACGATGATATCTGAATATGCCGATCAGCAATTGAACCGCATCAATAGATCAATAGTTCAAGTAGCACACATATGTTGGGACAATATCGATCGGTGCAATATTATGAAGATATCAGCAAAATATTGTGAACGTAATATTGCGAGAAACGGAAAGTGAACATTCGACGATATTGGTATAATTTAGTTTAGCTATTCGTACATTACAGACTTTTTTATGCAGTTCGATTGCATGCAATATAAGTTGCGGATTAAAAATGGAAATCGCCTTCATATACATTTGAGCCTTTTTACTGCAGTTTTCCAAGACTTTTTCGACATTGTATCAAATACACAGTTTAGATGAGGTTAGGTGGTGTCTCATCTGTGTACCTAGCTATTATTTCATACTGTGGATCGTTCCAAAATGAATATTGAAAAACAAAAAGTCACTGCTGTTCTTGCCACTTATATTAAAAGACGTATTGAAAATCGAAGGAATAGAACTTGTTGGAAAAAACCATGGTTAAATACAAACATGGAAAACTTGAGGATCATGAATGAATTCATAGATTGTAAAGATTTGAAAGCCTTCAAAAATTACCTGCGTATGGATGAGTCCACATTCAATAAGTTATTGGGAAAAATTGAGTATGGAATGAACAGTATTTTGCCAACAGAAAAGTTGATTATAACTTTGAGATATTTAGCTACTAACCAGAAATTTGCAAACTTGCATGTGAATGACCTCGAAAATTAGAATCTTTTCTAATTTTCGTCAAGCCTAAAAGTTGCATCAAAACAATCCGACAGGCATGCGCAGTTGATATTTAAAAAAGTCCAGCAATCAAATTGCATGCAATTTCTGGAAAGAGTCTGTAATGTACGAATAGCTAATTTCAAAATGTGGGTGGGATATTGAAAATCAGCAGGTTGCAATGTCGTCTTGAAAACATTGGTGAAATATGATCACACCACTATTGGCTGAATATTCGTATCACAAAATGTGAAATTAATATTGGCAAGAAAAGGAAAGTAAAAATTTGACAATATTGATGGCGAGACATTAAATATGAACATTCGGCGATATTGGCCTCGTCCTGGGAAAGCCAGTTGTTGATCACGGTTAACCCCCTACACCAGGTATGTATACATCATGATGAAAATAGACTGGTGTAACCACTTGTCAATTGTTTCTTTCCAAAACGTGTAGACCGCGAAACACCGTAGCAAGGCCGCACCGGATTGACTGTAGATGGCGTAGGGAACATCGTGCCACATATACTTCACAGATATAATGAAAATTTCACGTCTTTTTCATTAAATCAATCACTTTTTCTCAATGTTTTTGAATTACGAATTAATATACGTAAATGTAAACAACAAAACAAAACAACCATTGTGTAGCAAGATCACTTCGGGAACAGCGCCATCTAGAGTTAGTTTTGCGCGGCCTTACTACGGTGATAGAATTCGACATAATCAAGTAGGCCAGAGGTCTACAAAAATTTCTAGGGTTTTGTAAGAGGGAGCTATTTCACCATACATATATCCACCTTTGTATACATATATGCTTTTCAATCGTCTCAAGCCAATATTCATATTCTCTCGTCTGACCGGCACTGGGAGTACGTTGCCAATCATTTATAGCGCCATCTATTGACATCGGTTTGAGAGTGATATCAAATAAATATCGAAATGCCGATATCGATATGTATCTTCGAAACAATATGTTAACAATATTGCTAACATGATATAGTGAATCAGATATCAATTAATTTAGTATAATTATTACTTTTTGAATATGGCTGGAGAACTATTCAACCGATAAACAATTGAACTTGGAAATACAATATTGTTTCTCTCTTCTATGACCCATATCAAGAAAAATATTTGATTGCCGATATAGATTTTATTCTTGGAAACAATATATATAGTTAAAACGATATCAATCAATATAGGTAATCATGATCACAGTATGATCACACATATCATCACAATGGGTCAAATATATTTTCATTTGATGCATTTGGATTCCCAAAATAATGAGTAACAATAGAGGCAAGCTGCACCTTCGTCGTCGTTACTGTAGACTTCAAATAGGTCTGACATACTTTGTCATTTTATCCTGGTGAGTTGTGTGTCATTTTACCTCGAATGCATCAAATGCCAAAAACATAACGTAGTTTCGATTAAATGTAGGATGAATATTCGAATCCATCTTGAAAATGAAAAATAATGAGCATCCTAGCATCAGAGACCAACGCAGCCTCAAATCATCAACACGTGTTCACGATATTTTTATTAAATCTAATCTGAATTGATACACTGGATACTTACAATTCTAAAAAACATGGTATAAACGGAGTGCTACTATCATGAATACTGTCAGACTGGCACATTCTTAGTTTTGTGCAACGCTCCAAATTCCATAGTTATTTATTAAACAAGGGAAAAAAGTCTGTGGTTTTGTTGTTTTCCAACGCGTAGCGGATGAAGACAAAAAACCGTGAGATGAAATCTAATATTTTTTCCGTGTATCATATATACACCATAGTTTTCTCTGACAAGACAAAGAACGAAGCAATCTTGAGAAGAAATTAGATTGTTTTAAAATCAGAAAATTATCGACGTGAAATTCGAAGTTTTCAACAGGAACTACGATGCGATGCAGGCATCTTTATCATTCTTTTGGAGTAATAAAATATCTCTCAGTCTAATTCTGTGATTTAATTTTAAAAATTTGCGAACTCAGTGGTTGGTAGCCGCGAAGTGGAATGGACTTCTTTCTTGGAGACGGTGTTACTGGATTATTTTTGGGAAGTAGCCCAACAAAAGCCATCAACAGGAAAAAATAATTGTTAGTATGTATAAAGTGACATTTTATGTGCTGTCAACAGAGATGAAATGTCAAACTATTTTCCCGTCACAAAAAAAATAATTTGTATGTCATTTTACCTGAGTATGTCATTTCAGGCAGAACTCCCCCCTACGTATTGAAATGATGTCGACCATCATTTATTATAAGTAAATTTGTTGTTTAATTCATGTTTCCGTGAAAAAAATGTTTCCGGTTATTTACCGCGGTATACCAATTTGTCTATTCAATATATTTTGAAATTAATAACGTGACTGTTCTTTCTTTTCTCTTGGACGCATAAGAGATACAAATTAATGTATTATTGGTTATTGGAACTCAATGTGTCAATAAATGTTCGAAAATTCCTTGCAAACATTAATAAATGAATATTGAAATTTCCGTAACTGACTTCCAAGAGTAAGTGAGATATTTTTAAAATTAAATTATCATTCTCGTTAATATTTCTGGCCACAGCTAGCGTAAACATTGCACAAAATAGTGTGAGTATAAACTAAAATTGAGTTGCCAATACCATTAATTTCATTATTACATAATAACATATTTTGTATATCATTCATTTCGCAACGCATAAGCATCTACACAGGGACTAAGCATTTATATCTGAGGCGATTATGCTCCTCAAAATGAAATTCAACACAGTTGATCTTCCTCAAGGTTATAGCAATCGCACAGCCTTCAATAATGAATTCGCTGCAACATGGAACATCTACTTTGTTCTTAATTGAAGTCAAAAAAGAATTTCAGGAAAAGGACAAGGTATTAACGAAGGCAAACCAATTTATCCGATTTAACCTCCAACAATAAAATTTTAGATATATACAGGGTGGTCCACGGTGGATGGCCTATTAGAAGTATCTGGAGAACGGAAAGACAGAACATTCTGAAAATTGGGATGCTTTGATAATTAATCTTTCTCTATCCTACTAAAATATTTTCATCGATACAGTGTTGTCACTTCTATCAGAAACAACTAGCAACTTCGCTATTTTGAATGGAGCACCCTGTATTTTATTGCATTATTAGATTCTTCCTGAAAAGCTGACTTCATCAATGTATCACACTTGGGGTCTAGCAGGAATGATTACAGAGATATAGGGTGTTCAAAATCGAGATTATTCAATTTCAGGATTTTTTTGTGTCGAAACTATTCATTATCGATCGAAACGACTCACATGTCCCTATCTTAACTTTTGATTCACTAACTACTGGAATTTAATTGGAACAAATACAGGGTGCTTCAAGATTCAGAATTCTGATCACCCTGTATCTGTTTCAATCAAATGTCAGTAGATAGTGAATCAAAAGTTGAGATAGGGACATGTGAGCCGTTTTGACCGATAATGAATAGTTTCGACACAAAAAAATCCTAAAATTGAAAATCATCGATTTTGAACACCCTATATCTCTGTAATCATTCCTGCTAGACCACAAGTGTGATGCATTGATGAAATCAGCTCTTCAGGAAGAATCTAAAAATGCAATAAAATACAGGGTGCTCGATTTAAAATAACGAAGTTGCTAGTTGTGTCTGATAATAGAAGTGGCAACACTGTATTGATGAAAATATTTTAGACGGATAGAAAATGTTCAATTATCGAAGCATCCTAATTTTCGAAATGTTCTGTCTTTTCGTTCTCCAGATACTTCTAATAGGCCATCCACTGTGGATCACCCTGTATATTATTTCGTATTCCATTGGGAATGCACCAGTCTACATTTTGGAGAGAACTAACGTAGTGCGGGTGCAAATCTGGTGCAAAACCAGAAAACCAGTGCACCACCAGGTTTACGAATGAAATTCGCTATGCTATTACTATCTTCGATCCTATTTCCTATTTCGAACATTTGGTGAATGCATATACGCCAAAAATAAATTCGCCAAGCGCCTTCGCCATTTTGTAAAATTTGTATGTACTTTATGCGACAACTTGGATATATTTTGATATTTCCTTTATCACATACATGGCTCAATTTTGACATTGCTCAAGCTCATGAGATAAGTCTGATTCCTTATATAGTTTTGAGAAAAAAAATTGTCTTTCTTGTTTTTGGCAAGTCATAGGTGTATCTACAAAACAATTGGGGGTGTTCCGTATATGTACAAATTTCTTGAAATGTAATTTTCCTCACCTATGAAAGATACGGACGATTTACTTTTCACGCTGTCTTTGCTTCTGGATTCGTTAACATTTTGTCTGGAAATCTCCATATCTTCTTTTTTATCCGTTTCTTGGTTATAATCTACCTCAATCTTCTTACTCATGAATTTCGCGTATGCTAATCTAGCACCCCTAGGTACCTCAGAAAGTTTGGGATTATACTCTGAAAAATGAAAACAAACATTAAAAATGTTCCTCCACAGATCCAACGAGTATCTCGACGATTACCCAATCTATTCTACAATTGATTCCTTGATAGGACGAACAAATATCGATGAAAGACGGGTCTACCTAACCAAGTTCGAGAAAACTCTCTCTTAACTTTTCGTCCATACCCATCTATAACTATCAACTTCTCCTCCTAGAGCAGTACGTTGTCCTTGACATTCAGCAGGATGTGTTTCTGCAAGCTCTGCCCCTTGATTTTCAACGACTCCAGCTCCTGAGCAGATCCGATGTGGTTGCTGGTCACAAAGTCTCTCATATCCTGTTCCCAATGAGTATCTCTACGATCATCCAATCCTTTCTACAATTGATTTCACAATAGGACGAACAAATATCGATAAAAGATGGGTCTACCTAACCAAGTTCGAGAAAACTCCCTCTTAACTTTTTGTCCATACCCATCTATAACCATCAACTTCTCGTCCTCGAGCAGTAACTACTCAGCAGGATGTGCTTCCGCAAGCTCTGCCCCATGAACCCCATCGTCTCCATAGCCCATGCGCAGATCTAATGATTTCGCTGGTCACGAAGTCCTAATTCATTTCTCAATAGGCCAAACAAAGATCGACAAAAGACAGGTCTACATATAACCTAAATCGAGGAAGCTCCGACTCAACTTCTTGTCCAAACCCATCCATACCTATCAACTTCTCGTCCTCGAGCGGTGAGTTGTCCTTGACATTCAGCAGGATGTGCTTCCGCAAGCTCTGCTTCTTGAACATCAACGTCTCTGCGAGGGTCTGATGAGTTCGCTGGTCACGAAGTCTCTCATATCCTTTTCCCAACTTAGTATTATTTCTCAACAGGCCAAACAGAGGTTAATAAAAGTCAGGACTATATATAAATATGACCGAGAAAGCTACCTCTTGATTCTCTGTCCATACCCATCCATACCTATCAACTTTTCGTCCTCATATGCAGTACGTTGTTCTTGACATTCAGCAGGATGTGCTTCCGCAAGCTCTGTCTCTTGAACTTCAACGTCTCCAGCTCCTGCGCAGACCTGATGTGGTTGCTGGTCACGCAGTCTCTCATATTCTTTTCCCAACTAGTATCTCTACGATCAAACAATCCATTCAACAATTCATTTCTTAATAAGACGAACAAAGATCGATAAAAGACGTGTCTACCTAACCGAGTACGAGAAAACTCCTGCTCAAATTTTTGTCCATACCTATCTATATCTACCAACTTCTCGTTCTCGAGCAGTACGTTGTCCTTGACATTCAGCAGGAAGTGCTTCCGCAAGCTCAGACCCTTGAACCCCATCGTCTCCATAGCCCCTGTGCAGATCTAATGATTTCGCTGATCACGAAGTCCCAATTTATATCTCAATAGGCCAGAAAAAGGTCGAGAAAAGTCAGGTCTACATATAACCTAGATCGAAAAAAGTTCCAACTCAACTTCTTGTCCAAACCCATCCATACCTATCAACTTCTCGTCCTCGAGCAGTACGCTGGTCTTGACATTCAGCAGGATGTGCTTCCGCAAGCTCTGCCTTTTGAACCTCAACGACTTCATAGCCCATGCGCAGATCTAATGATTTCGCTGGTCACGAAGTCTTAATTCATTTCTCAATAGGCCGAACAAAGATCGACAAAAGACAGGTCTACATATAACCTAAATCGAGGAAGCTCCGACTCAATAGGATGTGCTTCCGCAAGCTCTGCCTCTTGAACATCAACGTCTCCATAGCCCCTGCGAGGGTCTGATGATTTCGCTGTTCACGAAGTCTCAATTTATTTGTCAACAGCCCAAACAGGGGTCAATAAAAGTCAGGACCACATATAAATATGACCGAGAAAGCTACCTCTTGATTCTCTATCCATACCTATCCATACCTATCAACTTCTAGTCCTCAAGCAGTATGTTATTCTTGACATTCAGCAGGATGTGCTCCCGCAAGCTCTGCCTCTTCCACGTCTCAAGCTCCTGCGCAGACCCGAAGGGGTTGCTGGTCACGAAATCTCTCATATCGTGTTCCCAATTATTATCTCTACGATTATCCAATCTATTCTACGATTGATTTCCTAATAGGCCGAACAGAGATCGATAAAAGACGGGTCTACCGAACCAAGATAGAGAAAACTCCCTCTTAACCTTCTGTCTACACCCATCCATCCCTATCAACTTCTCGTTCTCGAGCGGTACGTTGTCATTGACATTCAACAGGATGTGCTTCCGCAAGGTCTGCCTCATGAACCTGAACGCCTCCATAGCCCCTGCGAGGGTCTGATGAGTTCGCTGGTCACGAAGTCCCAATTTATTTCTCAATAGGCCAAATAGAGGTCAATAAAAGTCAGGGCTACATATAAATATGACTGTGGAAGCTCCCTCTCAATTCTCTGTCCATACCCATCCATACCTATGAACTTCTTGTCCTGGAGCAGGACGTTGTTCGTGACATTGACATTCAACAGGATGTGCTTCCGCAAGCTCTGCCCCTTGAACTTCATCGGAGTCCCAATTTATTTCTCAATAAGCCAAACAAAGGGCGATGAATGTCAGGTCTACATATGTACAGGGTGTTTCATTGGGAAAGGTAAATAATTCAACTGTGGATAGGGGTCACTGGGGTGATTTCAAAAAACCCATGGTTGATGGGTCTTCGACTTCTTATAACCGAGATACAGGATGTTTCATCAATTTTGTCCATATCTTCATTGTCTCATAACTTTCCAACCAACCTGTATATATTTTTAAAAATTGGTACACTTGCTCAATCTATCCTGTGGAATTGATTGAGGCAACAACAAAAGATAAAATCCAGGTCCGGCTTCACTTAAAATTCATAAATTCTTTCTGTCAGAAAACAACACCCTATACATTCGAATTTCTCATTTTTTTGCCATATCTGAAAAGAACATCAAAATTTCTATTCAGCGATGTGCTTTTTATTCGTGCACAGACGATTTTATCTATTCATATTATGTGCTCAAAATATTATTTTTGCTCATTTTGGGGTACAAAATTGGAATCAGACGAGATTTATTAATTTTATTACTTCCTATTCAGTATACGTGAGTAGATATCACATTTAGAAGGAGTATTTCATATCGTTCTTTGTTCCAGTTGCAGGTCCGTCATCAAAACTATACAGGGCTTTTCACGATTAGCGTTAATTAGATGTTTCTGGCAAACCAGGCAACGGATAAATCTGAAATTTCGATGGTATGTATAATTAACATAATCTACACTACTGAAATATTTGAAACGATCTGGCGTTGCCGCTTCTACTCGAAAGTAGCAGTAACTTTGATTTTCCAAATGGGACACCCTGGATGCTTCCTGAAGAGCTGATTTAATCGATTCACAAAGTTCTAGTCTAGTGGGACTAATAACTGAGATATTTGGAGTGAGAAAAATCGAGATGTTACAACTTTGGAATTATTTTGCGAAAATATTTATTTTTTGATCAAAACGGCTTTTATGTGCCTATCTCAACTTTGTATCTATTGACATTTAATCGAAACAAATACAGGATGGTTCATAATTCAGATTTCTGCACCACCCTGTATCTGTTTCAATTGAATATCGAATGGAAAGTTGAGATATGGACATTGAAGCCGTTTTGATCAAAAAATAAATATTTTCGCAAAATAATTCCAAAGTTGTAACATCTCGATTTTTCTCACTCCAAATATCTCAGTTATTAGTCCCACTAGACTAGAACTTTGTGAATCGATTAAATCAGCTCTTCAGGAAGCATCCAGGGTGTCCCATTTGGAAAATCAAAGTTACTGCTACTTTCGAGTAGAAGCGGCAACGCCAGATCGTTTCAAATATTTCAGTAGTGTAGATTATGTTAATTATACATACCATCGAAATTTCAGATTTATCCGTTGCCTGGTTTGCCAGAAACATCTAATTAACGCTAATCGTGAAAAGCCCTGTATAGTTTTGATGACGGACCTGCAACTGGAACAAAGAACGATATGAAATACTCCTTCTAAATGTGATATCTACTCACGTATACTGAATAGGAAGTAATAAAATTAATAAATCTCGTCTGATTCCAATTTTGTACCCCAAAATGAGCAAAAATAATATTTTGAGCACATAATATGAATAGATAAAATCGTCTGTGCACGAATAAAAAGCACATCGCTGAATAGAAATTTTGATGTTCTTTTCAGATATGGCAAAAAAAATGAGAAATTCGAATGTATAGGGTGTTGTTTTCTGACAGAAAGAATTTATGAATTTTAAGTGAAGCCGGACCTGGATTTTATCTTTTGTTGTTGCCTCAATCAATTCCACAGGATAGATTGAGCAAGTGTACCAATTTTTAAAAATATATACAGGTTGGTTGGAAAGTTATGAGACAATGAAGATATGGACAAAATTGATGAAACATCCTGTATCTCGGTTATAAGAAGTCGAAGACCCATCAACCATGGGTTTTTTGAAATCACCCCAGTGACCCCTATCCACAGTTGAATTATTTACCTTTCCCAATGAAACACCCTGTATAACCAAGATCGGGAAAGCTCTGACTCAACTTCCTGTCCATACCCATCCATACCTATCAACTTCTCGTCCTCGAGCAGTACGTTGTCCTTGACATTCAGCAGGATGTGCTTCCGCAAGCTCTGCCTTTTGAACCTCAACGACTCCAGCTCCTGCGCAGACCCGATGGGGTTGCTGGTCACCGAGTTGCGCTTGACCAACGCGTTCCAGTCCTTCTTCTTGGGCTTGAAGGTCGTCCGCCTGCCGATGACCTTCGCGATCTGGCCAAACACGTTCTTTGGCTCGTTAGGGGTCAGAGACATCTCTTGCACCAGCCCTTCCACCATGCCGATGTGGAAGTCCTTCAGTAGGCGGCGTTCCATCACTTTGCCTTTCTTTCCCGAAACTGAAATGGAAAATAATTGATGGGGTAATAGTATATTGTGTAAAGAGTGTGGAAAATTCAACTTTTCCTGTGCTGTCCGCACATGTGGCATGTGGTACACTACACTTTTTCTACAACTGCACAAATTTGGAGAATACAATAAGTTAATTTTCTGTAATATTAATTATTGTAGGAGTTAAGGGTTGATCATTCATATACGGAACATTTTCTGTCTACATTTCAATAGGCAGTTCGAGTGGTTTTTGACCTAACTTTTGCAGCATCTTCCAAGCTTTCTATAGTCGATTATTCCCAAAATATTCACTACTCTCAGTTAGTTGGGGCGTCTAGAATCAAAATTCGTCTTATCCACAGATATTTCATATTGCCATTCTCCTGAGTCCTCACAGACTGGTTCTGGTAGTGGTGATAATATGTGGCGAAACTTGCGTTGTCCCACCCTAATTGTATGGTAAAAATCTATTCTCATAGCAAAAGTTGTCTTATCCAACGCGGCCAATAGAAAATGGTGAGTATGATTCCCGTGACTGGACTATGGATATCTTGTCTTATAGTATGATCGTCAACTATGAGAAATACGCTACTTTTCATAGCCATTGTAGAAGAGATAATTTACGCGTCTTTCAAGAATTCAGAACATAATAATCAATACATTTTTCAGAGCACGAAATATTGAATAGATGAAATGATGGAATAACCTTGAACATCTTTGAAATCTATTTCCGGCGTTCTCATTCCATTCTTCCTGAGGATATCTATGAGTTCGTATCTCAGGCTAGATATATCTTGTCTTATTTCCATGACATCGTCTTCGGTGATTCCATAATCATCTCTTTTTCTTTGTTCTGCCGTCACATATCTTCTCACCAAAAGTTTCATAACCATTTCGTGTTTTGCAGTAGCCTGTTCTCTCGATTTATTCTGAAAAATACGAGTAGTATCTGACAAGATTATTAAAAACTAAAAATAATAATAACCTTCATTTTTCCATGAAACCATGTAGGGGAAAGGCGGGTAAGATGACGAAGTCGTTAAAATAAAGAATTGAGAATTTCTGCTATATAAAGCAAGATGGAGTCACGAGTTCAACCATAGGTGGAATTGTCCACCGTCCATGTGCGACATGTTCTCTGGAAACGGCTGTGCCTATCAAATTTGCCACAGGTCATGACATGGCTCGCGTACGCTATACGTTGTTATCTGGTTGTAAGTTACAATTGCACTCTCTTTGCATGATATGACATATTTGTAACATTTCAAGACTTCCACAAGAATGATGTGTTTTCAGTTGTATTCATCATAAAACTTGATAAAAAATTATTCATAATATTTCGTCAATTGTAGAAATAATAGGACGAATTACTACTGTTACTAAGTTGATGATATCTTCATCTTGGCCGCATAAATAAAATTCACTGGATGTTATTATTGTTTATAGTTCAATCATGTAAACAAACCAAGAAAAACTACAATATAATATGGGACAAGGATGTCATGAGAGAGGCAATGAGAGTCATTCAAAACGATGAAATAAGCGTTAATACAGCTTCAAAACGATTTTCTATTCCAGAAACGATTTTTGATCCGAATTTTTTTTCATTTAAGTGGATTTTGTGGCAGCCAGAAGTACAGAGAGACCCGATGAGACTCATGAAGAATTGAATCCGACGACAGGTTTGCAATCTATTGAAAAGCATCCAGATGTAGGCCCTAATAAATTTAATGAAGATCAACCATCTATGTACTTCGAAAGAATATCTAGGATCCCATGAAAAATAGCAATACTCGACACCTCCTTCTGATGAGAAGAGGACAAGCCTCCCTTCCCCAGCTGTTGTTGAATATAAAAATAAACGACAGAGAAAAAATTGCCCCTTTGAACAAATAAAAAAAAAGAGATGCGAAACTAAAGAGAGCAACCCAAAATATATAAAAAAACGAACTATGAAGCGGAAAGTAAATTTTGGTTCATCTTCGGAATTCTCGTGCAAAGTTGATATAATCAATAATGAAGATGAGATTGATGTGATCTCCGAAGATGAAAGGAACTGCATCATTCGTGACGATGCAGGAGAGAACAACGATCGAGATATGGTTCCAATAACTTGGTAGATTTCAATGCAAACAAAACACAAGCATGCCTTTTCTCTAGAAAAGCCGATCTCGCTGTGGCCAGCATAAGCTTGTCAGGGGTAACCATAACTTTGAAGACATCCATTTCGATGCTTGATATTACTATGTATCAGCAATAACATTTCTTGGGAAAATCACGTGAGATCAATTGCTAAAATAAGTGCATCCCAAAAACTTGGTTTTCTGTTTCGGGCTAGGAGCTATTTCTCTTCCTGTCAGCTGCTTATGATCTATAAGGCACAATTCCGACCTGTCCTGGAATACTGTTCCCATATTTAGAGTGCTGCACCCAAACATACCCTGAAACTGTTAGATTCTGTCCAAAGAAGGGCAATTCGTCTCGTGGGTGATGCCTCGCTCACAAACTGACTCACTTCTCTGGAACATCGTAGAAAAGTTGGCGATCTGGCTCTATTTCATAGATATTTTCATGGACGATGCTCGTTGAGTTGAGGCTTCGCACCCCTTTGTGGTCACTTTGGAGACCTGCAGAACATCTCTTTCCAAAGACTCGTTCATCCAACGAACAGCGAGGCTCTGGAACACATTGCCAATGAAGGTGTTCCCCAAGAAATATAACCTCCAAAAATTCGAGAAAAACACCAATTCCTACCTTATTTCCCTTGGTCCTCAGAATGTTCTCTGAACATTACAGGATATCCCTTTTCGTGGAAACCAGAACATAAAAAAATTGTGCCAAGTGCAAAGATTGGTAGCTTTGCGATTTTTGTCAGTCAATACCTTTTTCAATAATTTTTATGATCGAGAATCATTATTCCTCTCACGATTATACTGTTTTTTGAATAATTTCCTGAAATAGAAATGTTCTCCTTATTGTCAAGTTTTATAACAATATTATTTGATGATCGTCACCTTACCTACATATATAAGTTATCTTAGCATCTAGTGATGAGAAGTTGACGAATTTGACTTCTTTTTTTCAAATACTAATAATATTGAAATTGTTTATATTTGTTATGATCACCGTAATTTCTTGTGTTCGAAAATGATTACTATATATACTCAATAAAAAGTACTGATAATAGATTGGTTCATTTGGTAGTTATCTGACCTTGATCCAGTCGTCATATCACCCGCCTTTCCCCTACCTACATTTTGAGAACAAGAACATAAGAATAAGAAGCAAGTTAATATTATTCAATCAAATACATCGATAAATGGATGTATAAATAATATTTGAGACTATAGGAGAAGGAGATGGAGTTACCTTGAAACTCATGGTGTTTTTGTTTTGAGAACTGCATCCTAATGATCTCAAAAAAATTTTGGGAGTTGGTAAGATGTTGAAAGGTGGTGGCAGAGTGTCTCCGTCGTCAAAATAGTTCACCCAAAGTCTGCTACGCGCGAATTTCCATTCTGTGTCTGACCTTTCCTGAATGTACATCAACACATCAAAGCATTACCATTTATGTTATATTTCTTCACTTACTGATATGATTTGATAGGAATTTGACATCATGGCGATCAACATATTCAGTAGCACGATTATATTGATCACGCTGTATGATCCGAACATCAGTAAGGCCCAGAATCTCGTGAATCCCTTTATCCCTGCCAGTTCAAAAGACACCAAGTCTATTAGGCCGAAACTTGCCCAGAAAAGCGATTGAGACGTCTCGAACAAGCTGTGAAAAAAATACAAGTAAGCCCCTAATTTCAGGTATAATGCTATCTTACTTTATATAATTTCGATAAAAACTTCACAAATGATAATATTTCCACAAAATTCTTCATAACACGGGCATAATGTTTCGCTAACACACAGTAGCTTTTTCAAGTGAAATACTGTCACAAATAGGCTGATTTTCTGAAATGTCGGGCTCGACTGTCCCAGTTCTAGTTCTAGTTTTTTTTTCAATACGAGTTAGGAAAGTATAAGTTCTATTGATTGCAAGTTTGTGAAGTTGCCACTGTGTCCGAATCTTTCGAGTTTGGGCAGTATGAAAGATGTCGTTCCTCAGGCTCCCGAAAATATTAGTTCATTATTTGTACATTGGAATCTCGGTTTTTCCTCAGCCAGCGTAAGGAACCTTAGTCTTGACAAGTCCTCACAGTGACAAAGTATGTCCCACTAGTATTCTAGTTGTACTTCGTTTCTGGCCCAGTAGATATTCTGTGAATGTTGGAGATGATTTTTTAAAAAACTCCTTTGCCAGTTTAATTCCTGGCAAGTTGTTCCACCATTCTTGAGATTTGGTTTGCATCCATGATTCGATACTTGTCTTTTGTATAGCTCTCGCAATACCACAAAAGGGTTCTGGACCATTCAGAGCTTAATCTTTGGTAGAAGTCCATATCGCTCAAAGTGGAGTGAAATGTTTCCTCCTGCTCGGGCAAGTGAGTCTGCCTCTTTATTGCTCTCGTACCCTGTATGTGCTGGTACCCATGCTAGAGTCAGTCTGTACTGACTGCCCAGTTCATTCAGGGATTTTAAGCAGTCCCAGACTAGTTGTTAGTTAACTTGCATCGGGTTGACTGCTTTGATTGCCACTTGGCTATTTGAGTAGATTGCAATGGTTTGCCCTTCAAACTCTTTCCTTATCAATTCTTTCACGCAATGATGTCTTGCAATAGTTTCTGCCTGAAACCCCGTCTCGTATAAACCAAAGCACAATGAGATTCTTGTCTGTCGCTTGGCCCCATAAATACCAGCTCCTGACCCTTCCCCAGTTGTATGTCTGCATTGATAGGAGGTCCTTGCTTCCAGTGTATAATCTCTGCCCCTGGACAATCTACTCAGACTGCTCTGACTTCGCCTTCAATGTATATTTGAAGTGGTGGCAAGTTCAAGAGGTATTCTGAAGTAGCAAGCTTGTCTTTGAATGGCACTGAGCCTCCGAATCACTACAGCCTGTTGTGTCTTTGTCATCAAACTACCGACCCATTTGCTATCATGGACCTAATGACATTGACATTGAGCTATGTGGTCATTTTTGATTACAGTCCCCATTTTTTCCGCTACTGTAATTTTTTGAACAATTGTTTGTGAGTGTTGATTCCATGTTAACTTATGGTCAAAGTAGTTTGTCTCCAGGGCAAAGGAAATTTATATCCCGTTGAGTACTGGCATAGATCTAAAAGATCTATGGTACTGGTAACCTTAATCTTTCCAGTACTCTCTTTTCTGTGAAATTCACTATAACGGTTTTATGAGGTTCACTGTGAGTTCCTCCTCTTTACACCACATGTCATTTACCTTTATAGCGGTTAGTGTGAGCTCTGAGACCGTAAATGCGAATCTACCTTTAGCAATAAGCAATAACCGCCAGGTCGTCGGCGTATCCTAAGCAGTAATAACCTTTGGATGATAGTCTTTTGATCAGTTTGATCATGGCACATAGTAGCGGCGATAATACTTCTCCCTGTGGGCATTGCTTATCTGCTCTAGCTGTCAGTGTTATCTCGCCAATTTATGATATGATAATACTATTTTTCAAATTGACATTTATTCACCAGCACAGGAGTAGTGGTAATCCTTGCTAGGGCATTGATTATTGAATCTGTAGATGCGTTGTTGAAAGCACCCTATATGTCTACGAATGTTGTTTCAGCTATTTCTTTGCCCTCTATCGACTTTGCGAGTAGCCTGTTCAGATCATCAAGTGCTAAGTCAGTTGACTTGCCTGGCTGATACGCATGTTCACGTTCGTTGAGACGGTTTGTTTGTAATACCTCGTCTCTTAAGTATTTGTCCATCAGCCACTCCAGCGTTTGAGGAGGAATGACATTAAACTTATCGGGCGGTATGATTTAGGTGTTTTGTCACTCACCTTCCCTACTTTGGGTAGGTAGATGACTGTCACCTTCTGCCATACCATGAGTATATATCGTATACATACGAGCTTTGAATATACAACACAGATGTGGAATTAGTATCTACTGCCCATTTTGAAGCAGGGGATTTATAAAGTTGAAATTTATTAATATCCCACCTGATTCTGTTTGGCCTCGATATCTCTGTAGGTAGCCTTCATTCCATGGCAGTTGGCCTTTTTGGCCTGCCAATGGTGCTGTCTGCCACCATTGGGCCATTAGGAATTACTGAGGCCGGAAAGTGTGCTTCAGTGAGTATCTTCAGACTCTCCCTAAAAGTTGCTGTGTAGATATTAATATTATCATTCTTCTTCAGAAAATCTACTCAGTTTTCAGTCCCTTCTTTGGCTAGCACTTTGTGGCTCCTTGAACATGTGGGGGTTTCTGTGACCTCCTCACAGCACTTTTTCCACGATTGCCTTCTCGATTTTCTGATCTCTTTGTTGTACTGCGTGAATTTAACCTTATATGTAGTCCAATCCTGGTCGAGTTTTGCTTTGTTGATAATTCTTCGCACCAGGCCTCGTAGGGATTCGAGATGCTTGTTCCACCAGATTATCTTATTGTTTTGTTGCCTTGTTTTATCCGGACAGTTTCCTTCATAGGCGGCAACTATTGCCTTGCTTACTTGGTCTACTGACCTTTCAAGACTGTCGCTGTCCCTTATTTCAGCCGTGATTCATTGTAGAGATTCCCTGAGTGATGTTGCGTATCTTTCCTAGGGAGTTACTGTACTTTGTTAAAGTTCGAGGTGGGGTAATTATATCAAATCTTATTTGTCTATGGTCTAAACACGAAGGTTCGCCTATTTTGATGACTTCTGCATCCTGATAAAAAATGCCTCTGCTTTCAGAACAAATCAATGTTATCTTAATTTATCATTTGAGAATCTACTGTGCTAGCGAAACATCTTGTAAAATGCTATCGTTTGTAAAGATAACATTCACTATGGATTTTTAAGTAACGGCCGAGTCAATGAATCATTTGAAATTATTTTTTTCTAGTCATGAGCTCACACGAGCTTCAGGCAAAATATTGAGACTTGAATTTTCAACTTACTTGGAATACCTTCTCCAGATGGTACAAGATTTATCCTGACCTTCGAAATCTGGTAACCCAGATGGTAAATGAAAACACTTATTTTTCTCGAGCTCGGCATAATACCATAATAGCTGATTGAGACCTACGACATATACCAGGCGTTACTATATTTAATCATTCTGCCACACTATCGCATTTTTTCGCTTCAGATTGAAATTCATAGGTACTTACCACAACCAAATGCGAACAGTACCAAAGAATAAATGAAGAAGAATTTGACTATGTCTATTATCATGCGACCTAGGGATATTTGTAATGGTCCCAAATGGGGGTTCACACTGAATATGTGGACCAGCTTCAAAAAACTGAAAAAGAAACTTGGGATGTAGATACTGATGGTATTATATCGATACCTTGTATAACAAACGATGTCAAAAGCTGAATATTGAAGGAATATTCCGATAGTGTTGCTGTCCTTCTATTTAGGGGAGATCTGGATGGCTTTCGCACTTTTTTACAAACAGGACTAAGAATGCATGAGAACTAAATTGAACTATGATTTTTCTCGTGGTCGTGACCTTGATTCAAATGATATTTCGAATGCAACAGAAAATATTGTGGTATACAAATGGACGGTAAAAATATACTTTACTCCATTAACAATCAAAATTTCGTCAGATTCACTAAAACGAATTGTTTGTTATAACTTCTTTGTACTATCTTCAAAGATTACTCTGCCGTAAAGGTGATAATGTTTGGGTTTTGAAAAGGTTCTAGAATTGATTGGGAAGCTGTGAAAATTTTTTTCAGAAGTTATCTTTATTTATATCTATAATGTTTCTGACGTTGATGTTTTCTCCTATTTTGCCGACAGTGGTCACATAGACACTTTTGAAACTCATTTTTGATGTAGAAAAATCCCTTTGGCTTGTTCTGACTTCTGTATTACTTTTGTTAACGAATCTGTGAAGAAGATTTTGCAGGTCGGCCTCCATGAAAATGCACCGAATGATGGAGTTCTCTTCGTAGATGCCGACAACATCGTCAACAGCAGAACTCTCAGTGGATCCTTGCAACCCTCAGTGTCTAATGCCGAACCATCTTCTAATTGGTTCATCATCAGTTAAGATTCCCTTTCCAACGTCATTCGAAGAACTATACCTACGAAAGCAGTGGAAGAAGTCGTAGATGTTGGCAGATATATTTTGTATAGAAGTCAGTCATAATTTTTGTCGGTTACTCAGCCCAATTTCGAGTGACAATGGAAAATTAAAAAACTCCACCGCACCGTGTGAGAGTCGAACTCACAACCTCTGGGTTACATGCCCAAAACGCTCTGCCAATTGAGCTAACGGGACATCCGAACGAACGAACGGGGAAATATGGAGACTGTATAGTACCATCCTGTCAGCGATGCTTCGTATAGTGCATGCTTTCGAGAGACTTCGGGAATTGGAAGGATTCTGCCGCCTGGTGTATGATGAGAACTCGACCTCCCTGCCGATTGATTGACGGATATCCCGTTAGCTCAATTGGCAGAGCGTTGGGCATGTAACCCAGAGGTTGTGAGTTCGACTCTCACACGGGGCGATGGAGTTTTTTTATTTTCCATTGTAACTCGAAATTAGGGCTTACATTTTCATCATTATAGATATATTTTGGTCAAGATGGATTAGAGATTACTTGCCTACTGTATCTCGACCAGCCAAGTGGAATCGAGATAGCTGTTGGATATGTTGTTGTGGTTGCTGATGGTACTTTACCACGAAACTTATGGCCATTGGGAAAGATACGGTTTTCCCAGGAATAGACAACACCGTTCGAGTATTAGAAGTACGAACGTCTACTGGTTTGTACAAGCCACCGGTAACAAACATTTACCGTATGGTTAGTAGAAGGTGAAGATTCTAAGAAGAATGTTCACGGTGGGAGAATGTTATGGAATGAAGATGAAGATTGTTGAATTCTACCAAAACTCGTTCGTCTTAGAACGGCGGACCTTTGAATTTCTTTGCCAATGGAAGTATTCCCAAGGACTCCAAAAATTAAAAAAATATATATCCAACACCTACCTCCTTTCCCTATCAGGAAGCACGATGTTCCACGAACATATAGGAATTTCCTTTCGTGTGCTCTAAGAGAAAAAATATATTCATGTATTCAAATGTTATACGCACTGGATATTTTGTTTAAAAAAAGATTTTGCCAAGAAAATATAAACAAGTCAAAAAAAGCAAAGAGGGTTTTTCTATACTAAAAATAAGGTTTAACAGACAGGAAGCTTGTTGTTGTGTAAACACAGCCTCAACCCTTGCAAATTGCTTCGGTATGTGGACATAGTTTTATAGAAATTGCTGTCTGTTTGTTTCCAATTATCACTATGTCCACCACATGTTGATATTTCAATTATAGTGATCGTCACATTTCCGGTAATTTGAAAGCAAACATTCGAACTCTGTACATACTGTGTTAGTTTATTAAGCAGAGTAGTAGAGTAGATATCCTTCGATGCCATATAACTAATTGTATTTATTATACAATACACCTACATACAGAGAAACACACCCACTATCAAACTAATTAATTTACCCCATTATTTCATCCAGCCGATGACTATGTATTGGTCTAAATGAAAAACGCCAGTCCCGATATGGTATTTCAGTGCGTGCCAACTGCATCAAAGTAAGTGTCGACAAAAAAATGTGATGGATTCAGTTTATGGAAGAATGAAATTTCTCATCCATTTTCTTAATGGTATGGAACGAATCCTAATTATTATAAGATCACTGAATGGTACGGCCAAACGGGGTTAAGTGAACCATAGTGGGTAAAACTCGGGGTAAAATGAATCAGTCGAGTGTTTCAGTACAAAAGAGGGCGCTGTTCGCTCCACCTGCAAGATAGAAACGTTTCTTCGTCCCAGTCGTCTCGCCAGTACGTCTAAGAAGTAAGAAAATGAGGGTGTTTCGCCGCGCTTAAAGAAACACGAGAGGATCACAAACACACATTAGGTAGGGTTGCCACCTTTCAGAATTTGACCCGGAGTCTCCGGGTTTAAGTAGGGCTCCTACGGGCTCTGGGTGGAATACTTAATTCTCCGGGCACGATAGAAATCATAAATATATTCAAACGTACTTAGGGTTGCCACCTCTTAGAGTTTGACCCGGAGTGTCCGGGTTTCAGTAGGGCTCCTATGAGCTCCGGGTGTGATACTGAATTCTCCGGGCCAGTCCGGGCACGAAAAAATCATAAATGTATTCAAACGTACACTTTAGGCTGTAACAGAATTTGCTATTTTTACGAAACAATTCAAACGATTGATTGTGGGGGCTCCAAATGTGATTTGATAAAAATTTTGTCCAAATGTTTTCAGTTGAATTTCAGCTTTATTTTTACTTTGAAGTGGTCACTATAATGGGTAGAATGAATCATGAATATTTTGTGATTGGATATTTTTAATAATATGATTTATATTATTATTTTTGTACTTTTGTGCCGTAACTTTTCGAAAAAACGATAGAAAACGCATTTTTTATTCATTTAACCCTGTTTGGCGGTACCCAATGTCATTTATAATATTTTTCGAAGATCAAAATACGCTTTTTCGGAAATTCTCCGGAGAGTCAGTATTTTCCTTTGAGAAAACAGCACTTTTCTGGCAAAGGCTGGAAAGTACCTACCTACTTGTTCACTACATCGTTGTCGTTGTTACTCAATGAAATAACCAAAACTAGGTATGGCAGTTTTAACCAACTAGTATATTATTCGCCTTTAAATGATATAAGAGTTGGTTACAACAAATGTCCGATTACTCCTGTAATGAAGAAAAGACGAATATGCAAGTGGATTAATTTTTTTTATTTCTTGAAAAGAATCATCACTCAGATACATTTCAATTCCATTCAAGTAGGGGCAGACCATAGCACAGTTGCCATGAGTTGAAATACGATTGGGAATTTCAGAAATATTAGTTATTCAATAATTAGTGAATTCTCAATTGAGCATTGGTAATACTCCTAATTAGCAACAAAAATTGTCTCAAAATGTTCTCTCATGATTTGTGTCTTCTTATAATAAATGTGTGTAAATAATTATTATATTAATTCACACTAGAGGACATTTGAGTCGGTGAACGTGACAACCACAGCGCGCGACTTGTGGGCGTGGTCTTGTCAGCTCTCAGCATTCAGCACAATGTTGCCAAGTCTCCAACATTCACATGCTATTATGTTATGAAGAATAAGGAATATTTGGACATATTTGGTTGCTCGAAAAAGTCAAGAATGAACTATAATGTCATGAGTTCCTCCTATTATGTTTAGTGGAAATGGAAGATTATCTGACCAATAACGAAACAGCATAAAAATTGACGTCACAATCTATTCGACGTATCGCCAAATGGCGGCCATGACGTTAACTTTGGAATGATTTTATTTCACCGCATTGGGCATGGAAAGTTCAGTTTTTTTACCAATTGCATCACTGGCGTTTTGGAAATATTCAAGGAATATCATATTCAGGAGCATCCATTTAGGGAACCGTAGCTCCCTCAGGAGACATTTCTCGACTCATGTTCATTGAACATTTTCTTCCTATTTGTGGTCGTAGAAGCTGCTGGTGAAGCTTGACAGGCTAAATTCGGGACACCCTGTATAGCGAATAATTTGATGAATAATGATGGAAAGCAACAAAATAGACTGATATGAAAATATGCTAATCTTGTACAGAGGATGTGAATTTGGCTTTGTCTGTGGAACATAAATGCTCTATGCTGAGGAGTAGATAATCTTTTATTCATAGAGTGAATTATAATGTAAGCATAGCCGCACGTTCCCGAAACATCAACATGGATCGGGCATCTTAGCTTCATGTTTTGACTTCAACAACAGACATCGTGTTACATTCATACCAAGCAATTGTAACAACGTGAATCCCTTAAATATTAGCAATTGTTCGAATTACAAGATGAAAATTGATATAAACAAAGATTATATTCTACAAACGAATATAACGAGGAAACTTACTTTGCTGGTCGCCGAAGAGATATTGTACGTAACATTCCCGGAAAATGATTTTTATGAGCTTTAGAACTTCCAAGATTTACCTACGTTTCGCCCTGGATACTGTTACCTACTCTTTTCTACTCGTGAAAAAAAAACGATGTGCTGGGAAATAAACCATACATCAAAAGATGTATTCTAGAGCATTTTTGGTCAGGTTAGGTAAGGTGAATGAATTCTAGTACACTGGACCATGTGATTTTTCTCATTCTTGTGCTACGGGTCGGATAACGTTTCCAAAAATGCCAATCTACCTGAAAATCATTCCTGCTGCGAACGCTCCTTCAGCCAGTAACATTGGTTCAAAGGAGTCCCACTGTTCTCTAGGATACCAAGTATGTTTGCCTTGATTTTCGTCCCTCTACGAAAAATATAGAAAATTCAATGCAATTCAAAACGCTCGATAGTTTTCCCTCACCCATGTTATGTAAAATGAGGCTAATCTCAGAGCCAACCAAATGACATAGAAGAAGTTTGTTATGAAATCTACTATGTTCCATAAATCGGAAACGTATTCTTCCAAGCCGTCGCTCCAAAGAGATTTGATTTCGGCCCAAATCAAACCTAAAAAAAATTAAAGACAAAAACTTTTCAAGGAATCGAAATTCGAAATGAAATTTTGACAAATGACACCACACGTTTCCTACTTCCAGTTTCTGGAAAATATTATTTTTCGGCAACCGTCCGGCGCACTTCCCGGACGCTTTTTCTTTGAGAAAGCAGCATTTTTCCGGCCTAGTCCCGGAAATACGTATTTCCCGGAACTTTGGTTGCAATTATCGCAATAAACCATCGAAAGCAGCAGCTATAGTGATTTTGAAAATGTCCATACGAAAAAAGAAGAAATTGAATTCCACAAACAAATATAATATGGTAATGTGTCTCATTGGACTCATTGAAAATTTTTTGCGGACTCGCAGACTTCCAGGACTCGCCTACGGCTCAGCCTAGAATTTTGTCTACTCGTCCAAAAAACAGTATTTTCCGGACTTGTGTCGTAATTTACTATTTTCTACGAACTCAACAAAATGACAAGGTTCGCACCGCTAAAAAATGGCGAAGTGACACTTTTTTTCAGTTTCCTACGTTACCACGACACCATGTGCGAAGCAGTGCGCAAAGTGAAACGATGCGCGAAGAGCATACTTCGCGCATTGTATGTAAACTATATGAGATTTTGTATTTGAACTTTATGGTCCTCAATCGAGTATCATACGTCTCTGAAACAAATTCTGGAATTTCGAGCTCAGAATCTTATCTAGCGTTGAAAGTCCATGCAGTGTATTCCAAATTTCAATATTTCAGTGCGTTCGGTTTCGAAAACATTCAGGAAATCCCGTCTTTAGGGTGCTGATGTATTGATGCAGACAATTGTGAGTTTCTCGAAAACTACTAGTACTATTGAAACATTGGTAGTCCATTGTCCATTGGAAGTCCATTGTTGCTGGAAGATGTTTCGGGTATATGCAATGTCCATTTTCAGCTAATGCTACAATACAAGGAGATCTTCTTCTTCTTCTCTGCACAGGTGGGCGGGTGCGTAGACCCCTGCACTCAGGCCTCTTCAGTCGGGCCCATTGTGCGCCCACTTGTCCTGTGAGAGGCAGTTTTCCTCTGATGCACCAGCGCGGGGCATTCAGTGAGTATGTGTGATGATGTTTCATCATCCTCCAAGCACCATCTGCAGATGGGATCATCTTTGATCCCTATGAGTTCTAGGTGCCTGTTGAGGTGGTTGTGCCCAGTTGAGAGCCCAACTCATCTTGAGATCTCTTCTATTGAGTGACAGGATCTCTCTCGTGAGCCTTTTTGAAGGTTCCTTTATATGGAGCTCTGATTGTCTCATTCCTGGTGTGTCCCGCCATGTTTCAAGGAACTGCCTCTGTAGTATTTCCTTCATGAAGGACATAGCCGTACTATTGGGTATTCCCAATATCGGTTCTGATCCAATGGGTGTCGTTCCTGAACCGATCTTGGCTAGTCTGTCTGCCTCCTCGTTCCCGGGGATACCAGAGTGTTCTGGAACCCACATGAGGCTGACTTTCCTAGTTTTTGCCATATTTTCAAAGGCACTTTTACACTCGGACACCAATTTAGTTGTGATCCCATTGGATCTCAATGCCATAATAGCAGCTTTACTGTCCGAGCATATGGTGACTGGTCCACGTCCACTTCTGCCGAAATTTTCTTGGACACACGTCAGAATCGCAAAAACTTCGGCCTGGAACACTGAAGCGTATTTGCCAAGAGGTACTGAGATTCCTTTCCCTGTTCCTCCTTCAATACAAGGAGATACATCATGATATGAATGAACCATTTTTGAATGGATAGTACTCTCAAGGAGATAAAAAAATTTCTACATCTTGAAAGTATTTTTTGTTGTTTTTATTTCATTTTATTTCATTTCATTTTTTTCATCAATATTTTTGAAATGTAACATAACCGTTGCATTTCCATGTAAGTACTATCCATTTAAACATGTTTTATTCATATTATGATGTATCTCCTTGTATTGTAGGACTTCTCACGAAAGGCTGAAGATGTTCTCAAAATAAAAAGTCCTGGAGATGACTTTGCGATTTTCTCATTGATTATGTAGCGCTGGGCCTACTTTTCCACGTAAAACAGCTGCAAGGATAATATTTTGTATTCAGAATATGGAAAAAAGTAAAATAAAAAATGCGATTGTTCTCCTATCCAGAATGATGATGATGATGATGTACCGAATTTCAAGATTTTTGAATGAACGGTTTCGAAAATTGTGAGGAATAATCTCTTCAGGTTGATCTATTTTTAGGGTCAGAGCACCCTTAGGAAGCGTTTCTCGACAAATATTTAAGAGAACTTTTTTTATAAAAATTCCATGGGAAACACCTCCTGAAATGTTACCAATGTTTAGAAAACACCCATTATATGTTTATATAAATATTGGGATTCTGAAGCCCGTGACCCCCCCCCCGGATCCGCCCTTGATACATTGAAATGTTTATAAAACTCCTTGATGTTGTAGAAACCAGAAAATTCAGAAAATTTCACACCAAACATTTTCAATCAATTTAAAGCCTGTATTTCGTATCGTTACCATAGCAACTATACAAATTTCTTGTAAATTCTCTCCTCCACTTTGGGGGACGGAGCATGAAATTACACTGGAAATTTTTTGACGTTAAGGTTAAATGACATTTACATTCAACTTCAGATTATTTCGAGTTCATTCTATAAGTCAATGAATACAAATTTTCTTACCGATTTGAAGTTCTTATTGAGTCTAAAAAGTGGCAGTTGAGAGGGTCTATGTCTTATTTCATACGTCTCGTCTAAGCTAAGCATCAGAACAGATCAGAACTATTTTTTTGACGTTTGTAGAAAAAATGGCGTTTGCAAGTCGTGCGCGAAATACTTTGGTCTACTCGACTATTCATGTAAATTGGCTGCTCCTCGTTGAAAAATCAGTTCTCGTTCACCAAAGTAGCATTTCACGCCCTAGATACAAAATAACTATTATAACCAAATTTTTCAGAAAAAGAAATTAATCGACCTGCTTACGCATTTTATGTGAGCTGCGATACATGCATGTTTATGTTATAATGAATGTACACTCACTGATGACGTAAATGATGACCCCACATTCTGCTATACCGAATAAAGTCCCTCTTTCTTTCCTCTTCCATTCTTGGACCATATCCTGAACCCAGTCGGTGCCCACCAATTCCAAAAATAGGATTTCCAATCTTTGCGAAGCAATTCCCAATAGCACTAAAAATAATGGAGATTGTCTGATGTTCCTTACATCTGAGTAAGATGATTTGTCTTGTCTGTCCAACCTGTCAAAACTAATATCTAAAGGCATTCCAGCTGTATAAGGATATACAGGATGTAACCTAACTACGATACCAAGCATCAGGGATTGATCAGTTAGGTCGTTTCAAGAAAAAAAATCCTATGAATATATGTCCGGAGTTGCTTCGTTTCTGAGTCATAGGACGTTGAAGTTTGAAAAAACGGTATTCATGAAATATCTTGAATATCCAGTTATTTGAAGCAATGAGGTGCTAACTAGCCCTAACTAGATTGAGATTATTAGGTTCCAGTGGCGTCTCAATGGGAACCACAGCCAATAATATTGAGAGAAAACTACGACTGATTTTTTATGCTTTTTTTATTTATTACATTGAACAATTAAAAATACAACTGTTTGGTCTCTTGTATTTTCTATATATCTAGCTTCATCTTCGAGACCTAAAATGTAATATTTGATTTTTCACTAATATCGAAAAATCATCTCGCTCCTTTTTCTCAAATTTGGCTTCTACGTTCCTACTCCTTTTATTTGAAGCTAGTTATCAAATTTTACATCAAAGCAACCCTTACATATGTTCTGAAGAACTTTTTTCTTAACAACCTAAAGAAACACCCCCTGAAGTTTCATATCGTAGTTAGGAAACAACCTGATGTATAATAATTGGAAGGCGATATTCATTGATTCCAGTAGGGGTCAACTTTTTTGTTTGCCATATATTTCATTTGAGTCCTGAATTTGTAACCTTGTTCCGAAACTTACTTAGAAAAAAGGCATAGGACGTGGAATGACAGATGAATTTGACGAATGGTTTCTTCATGAAAAGCCCCATAGGAGATGTCGGAGCTAACATATAGATGGTACAGTATACGGGGAACATCATGCCGATTTTTGCCACTTGAAAGCCTTGCCCAATCATTTTTTTCCTTCTAAAACCCGGTAAACCTTCGTACCAAATGGAAGCCAGTAGTTGTTGGACATTGGGGTGCGCTATGAACTGAAAAAAAATAGAAATGCTAGAAGATATGAAAGCATTCGAACTTATTATAATATAGTTAATTATAGTATTCAGCAACAAATGGACTGTTTTTAATTCAAATCGGTTAATAACGTGTGTCCGATATGATTGTACTTTCAAAATTAAACTGAGTATCCTAGAATTTATCTAAGAATCATTCGTTTTGGCAGATGTATTCGTTATGACTAATCTTTCCAATTTTCAAGTCCTACTTACTGCTTTTTGTTTATACTTTATGGCTAATTTTAATCTTTCAAGGGTTTGTCTTTCTCCAGTAACCCATGTTTCTCCTTGTGGATCATAATTCAACATGATTTCTAGTTCCTCAGAAGTTCTAGCATGGTCTAGCAAAGATGTCGCGAAAGTTTGTACTTGATTCTTCATTTCCTGAAATTGAATTAGTATACCTACTCAATAATAAGTGGAGCTATATACTGTTTAGAATGTTTGAATATAGTTTTGGTTCATTCTGATGGTTCCAAAATAACTTAAATGATAAATTGTTTTATGCACTAGCATGCCGTAATGTGCACTTCACCGCCCAGTTTTACGGGCGTTAAGTTGCACTTTACCGCCCGCGGGCTTATTATGGCAACACAATCATGTCAGATCCATCGCAAAAGCTGCTTCACAAAAACTCGGAGTCTTGTTCCGTGCGAAAAGCTACTTTACACCTCAACAGCTTCTCATGATCTACAAAGCGCATTGCCTGTAGAAGTATTCCCAACAACATAAAATCTCCAGAAGTTCAAAAAAAATTCCAATACCTACCTTCAGTCTCTATCCTCCCTAGGAACGCACGATGTTCTTTGAACATTATAGGGATTCCCTCTCGTGCGCTCCAAGCGATAAAAAAAAATATAAAAGTAGTTGGCATTTCGTAGCGAGGTAGAAAAACCCCAAAGGGAAAAACCCAGACACTTCGGTTTATATTCAATACAGGGTTAAGAAAATGTACATAGTATAAAATCTAATACGGTCCAGCCAATATATACAAATGCGTTATATAAATACATAGGTGGGAACATTCCCCACATAGTAAATGATAAAACAGGGTGTTTTATATAGCTCCTATCTGTAATGTTATTATGTTTTTTGATTGTCAATATGGATTGAAGTTTCACTGGATAAAAGAATCCAATACATTCAGACAAAATATCGACATAATTGATACTTCAGCTTCATCTTCAACTTGAAATATCTCGAAAAATAATGACTTCATCGCTATGCAGAAAAAGTACGATATTAAGGACAAAAAATGAAATGGTAACTTTGCTAGTGGCGTAGAATTCGGGAAGGATCACCCAGTCACTTGCCCCTATCGTACGCCTCTGATAGAAGCCAGAAACGTTGAATGTAGGTTGTATTCATAGCATCTAAACTGGGACTAGCGCAGTAGAAGAGCGATGAGAAAAAATAAACGACTTTAATACGACTCACGACCGCGAGGTCGTGTGTTCGAATCCCAGTTTGGACAAGGAACTTTTTTTATGTTCAATTTACGAATTGAATATTGTAAGATTACAGAGCATTGACTGAGGATAATCCTGCACGATTCACTGTTGCGTTCCAATTAACAGTGCTGCTCCTATGGCTAATATGGGGTTAGTACCAAAGCCTACACAGGAAGAAATAATGATGTGGTTGTGAGCATCAGAGAGAGTAGGACCGTGTATGTACGTTGGTGTGGAAAACTACCAGCTGAGCGTGAGAGCGGGCCAATGCTGCTTAGTGGGCCTTCTCTAACGTGGGTTAACGAGGTAGCTGGCATCAGGCCTGATACTGCAGCATATGGTAGTGAGTACATTACTAGCCCAGAAAACAGAACGGAAAAACTCTGCTGAAAGCTGATGGACAATATACCTGGAAAATGTATTACATTGGTTCTTGCAGAAAGGTTTCACTAGGGACTAGTTGCTGACGTGCAGAAGTTCCACACTTCTACCAGTACCAGTACCAGTAGTATCCAAACTTTCCGCAATATATTACAATGATACGTTAATTGGTTCCAAAGTAGGTACTAGGCACAAAAAAATTTGGAATTTTTAAAAGACAGGGTGTTGTCTGGATATATCTAGGTGATTTGGGTTGAGGCTTCATATTTTGAGCTTATGATTCTATAGTTGGAATATTCCCAATTAGTAATGATACACCCTGTATAATAAAAGAAGCTATTGTTATTTGATTATTATTTAGCAACACCCTATATGTTTCCACATGCATTACGATGATAGAGAGAATCCATAAGAGAACCGATGACGGAGTCATTCAGAGTTCCAAAGAATATAACCTTCAAAAACAGTTTTGAGAGCTGAGTTGTCAATTTTTCAAGATGTCAACATCGGATTTTTCGAATAATGACCATCAGGGTTTCCAAAATTTGCAAGTGCGAAAATTTTTTTGCTGATTTCGAGGATAAGGCACTGGTTCAGAGAAATGTTAGGGTGTATCTTGCAGAGCAGAAAATATCAACTGCAATAACTGAAGCAAAGTTCTTGAGACGGCAAGGAACTGGAGGAAAGTCAAGAAAAATTTGCAATTTCAGGAAACCGAACATTCTGGAAAAGGACGATGCCAGCGATCCAAATGCCTTCTTTTTTGGTGTGCCCCTGCCACAATTGAACATGAACACTGTGCATCTCAAAACTGGACAAACTTTGGCGGTGCCACAGATATTGCATGAACTTTGTAATTACGTATTGCATCATGCTGAGGAGAAAGGTATTTTCAGGAAACAGGGTTCTGGAAGTAAACAAGAAGGTATGATGGTTTTTGTCTCGAGCCGTTTACATCGGCTTTGTATGTTTGGATGTTTTTTTTGTGATATGTCCCATTATTGTTCGGATTTTTCATGGATTGTATATATACAATAGACTTCAGGTTTCATCTCTGGTTGTCCATTGAAGTATCATCAAAGTATTTGTCTTCTCTGATTCAAAAGTTGATAGTGGGATACGACGTGGAAGGCAGTTTATTTGCTTTCCTGTTACATTATCAAAATATTCATTCAATTAGGGAGATTCCTAATTTCTGTCTAGTGTTGATAGATTTTAGTTTGACAGGATGTCCCTGAAAGGTCTTCACAGAAACTTACCACATATTCTTCAGACAAAAACAATGACGGCTTGAATTTTTTATTGTCCACCTGATCGCGCCACTAAGACGTGAGGTCAGAGTTGGTATAGAACTGATAAATATACCTCTTCTTCTCGAGTCTTTTGGGATCTTCCTTCAATTTCCTCTTCCCCGTCAATGTAAGAATTGCTCGTGAAGTTCCACATTGAGAGTAAAAAAGCGTAAGTTTGCTCAAGTCTTTCCATAACTCCAGGTTTTCTATTTGTTCAAATATTCTACATCATTTATTCGGCCACAGCCTTTAGGGCAAAATTTTGGGATTTTTGATTTTGAAATTGACCTCACGTTTTGATGAGACTGAAAATCCTCATTCGATACGAGCAAACTTACATCAGAAAACAATAGTTGCTTAGTTTGGAAAGCTCTGAAGTTACGATGTTCATCGTTTTTGCTTCATAACTTTAAAACTCATGAGACTTCACTCGAATTTGGTACGTTGATGGCAAAGCTTCATTTGGTAATACGACCCAAACCATGATTATGATGAATATCATTCCATGGGCGTAGAACTCATTTCATTACTCTCACTTACATTACTCAGTACATTTCAATTTTTTCCGTCGAATAAATCTTCGTATATGTGAAAATCATAAGAATGTTGAACAATTTTTATTGAATATCTGTGAATCGTTTGTGTTGAATTACTGAAATTCTAATTTTGTCGAAACTTCCTTGTAGTTACGCAATAAAAAATTTCAATAACCAAACCTCTTTTTTTCCATTACCGTTGCAGTTTTAGATGTTGACTTACTAAAAAAATCAAGTTCTAGGCCCATCTGATGATAGTCACAGCCAACGTACCAAATTTGAGTAAAATCTCATGAGCCGTTTCAAAGTTATGAAGCAGAAACGATTTGAAAATTGTAAATTCAGTGCCGTCTAGCGCCCAAACCGAGCACTTTGTACTGAGATGAGTTGGGTTGAATGGTATTTTTTGAACTGAGGCATTTGTGATATAGTATCTTCTTGTAAAGACCATTTAGAGATACCCTGTATATTCGAAAGATCGAAAGTAGGTAATAGGCAGGTACTAGGTATCTCATAAAATAGTATCATATTGACAGTCTTACTCTAGGAATATCAATGATTTGACCTGTCTACAGTTTTACTACGTTCTTTTCCATAATTCCCATTCAATCCCAGGAAACTGTATACACTCTCAACGAGACAGGTCCACGCCATTGATGGAGATCTTTCTAAACCAATAAGAACCTGTAGGAATTCGAAGACATAAAAAAACGAACTTAGTATGTCCTGTAGAAAGTCCGAGTCCATCACAATATCTTTGTTGTTAATCACTATCTGTAATTATTATCTTTCATGGTTAAATCTTATTAGGTTAGATCTAACACAAAAACTTGAATAAATTAATCGATCTCGTGATATAGGGCGTGAATAGTAGCCACGACATAAAATTGTTTCATTATTCCTGATGCCCTTGGTATATTCCACAACTGCTGATGACAATTATGATAATGTACAAAACCTATTATTTTTCAAGAGATCAAAGCGAAAATTGAGATGTCCCATACACTGCCAGACGAAAACTTCGACGTCATCGACATTGCTGTCATCATCAAGTACTTCCTCAGAAGCCTTCCCACCCCTCCGATCCCCGCGCCCTACCACGACCTCTTCCTAGCCTGCTTCGACCACCCCGACAAGGAAGACCTGTTGCTACTATCCTGCCTACTCTTGCCGGTAGACCACCTCAATCTGCTGACCTTCGTCATGCAGTTCTTCGATGAGGTGGCTGCGAAATCAGCGCAGAATAAAATGACAGCCTACAATATCGCTATCTGCGTCGCTCCTAACGTCATGCCAGTGTACAAGCAAGAACTGGTGATGAAAGCGGTGGGAATAACGAACATACTGATTGAGAGATCGGAACTGATTGGTATGGTGCCAGAGATGATGACAAGGAAGTCACTGCATTCCAATGTGCCACGCAGAACGCTCTGTCAGAAATTGAAGATATGCTTGCACTTGAAGATATAATATATTTTTATAGAAAATAATATGATAAATCAAATTTCAAATTAGATTAGCTACTTTATTCAGACAAGTCGAAGAGTCTAATTGAATATATTCTATACTTAGTCGATCACGCCTAGAGAGAGAGAGAGAGAGGGATTGAAAAGTATAACTGGAAACCAGCACGTGACAACTAGACGTTCACCAATTAAACTTGTTAACATTTCGAATCATAATGGCGCGTCTTGGTTGATCCCAGCTCATCAACAGACAACTCACCAACTCCCATTTCACCTCCTAAACGGAATGATTTCATCATCACTCAATTCATCAACGACCCAATTTATTGAAGCATCCAAATTATCAACGACCCAATTTATTAAAGCATCCAAATCATCAACGACCCAACTCCTCAACACGCCTATTACCTCAATACCCAACTCATCAATGACCAAATTCATCAACGTATCCATTTTATCAACACTCAACTGATCAACGCACCAATCTATCAACGTACAATGTCATTTACACTGCTGATGTTAGATATTTTTGAAGTAGTGGCTCCATGAATATTAGTTCAATGGGTCATTTCATACTTTTTGTTAGCAAATAATTTTGTAATTCAACTCGATAATATACCTACTCATTAGTACTATTTATTTCTGAAATACGTTTTTGTGGTATTGTGTTTCCTTCATCACTATGAAAAAGATGACCTGTTGCTACTATCCTGATGTCTGCTCCTTCCGGTAGACTACCTCAATCTGCTGACCTTCGTCATGCCAAGGAGAAGAGGAGCTACTATTCTTTGGTCATGCAGTTCTTCGATGAGGTGGCTGCAAAATCTGTTTAGAATAAAATGAAAACCTACAATATTTCTTTCTGCGCCGCTCCTAACGTCATGACGTCATGCCCGTGGTTGTTTACATTGAGTTCATTGGACTACTTCAAACATTCCGACTCCAACTGCCAGGCCTTCGCCAGGTTCGGGTGTACAAGCAAGAGGCAGAGATTGTGAGTGTATAATATCTGCAAGAGGTGATGATGAAACCGGTGGGGATAACAAACATACTGATTGAGAGATCGGAACTGATCGGTATGGTGCCAGAAATGATGACAAGGAGGTCGCGGCATTCGGATTTGCCACGCAGGACTCATTTCATCATCACCCAACTCATGAACCACCAAATTTATTGAAGCGTCCAAATCATCAACGACACAACTCTTCAACGCGCCCATTACCTCAATACCCATCTCATCAATGATCAAATTCATCAACGTATCCATTTTATCATCACTCAACTGATCAACGAACCAACTAATTAAATATGCAAATCATCAGCGACTCAATCTATCAACGTACAATTCCATTTACATTGCTGGTGTTAGATATTTTTGAAGTAGTGGCTCCATTAATATTATTTAAATGGGTCATTTTATAGGTTTTGTAAGAAAATAATTTTGTAATTCAACTCGGTTATATACCTATTCATTAGGACAATTCAGTTCCTGGAAATAGTGAATACGTATTTTGCAATTCTGAAAGTTTTTGTGGTATTGTGTTTCCTTCATCACCTTGAAATGGAAGACCTGTTGCTACTATTGTGTCTGCTCCTGCCGGTAGGTTACCTCAATCTGCTGACCTTCGTCATGACAAAGAAGAGAGGGGCGACTATTCTTTTGTCTCTTGCAAAATCTGCGCAGAACAAAATGACAACCCACAATATCGCTGTCTGCGTCGCTCCTAACGTCATGATGTCATCCCGTGTACAAGCACGAGCTGGTGATGAAAGCGGTGGGGATAGCGAACATAGGATTTTCTTATGAAAAAAAAATGTTGTCAAAGTTGATGAATCAAATTTCAAACCTCAATCAGCTCTTTTGTCGAAGATAGCGCCTAGAGAGTGAGAAATGGAAACGTAATTGGTATCCAGCACGTGAGAACTAGACGTTCACTAATGGAACTTGTTGACATTTTGAATCGTAATGTCGCCCCTTGATCGATCCAGCTCATCAACACACATTTCACCAACTCTCATTTTAACAGTACCCAACTCCTCATTGGACCCATTTTACCTACACCCAATTCATCAACCCAATTCATTAACGCATCCTAATTCTCAATGACCCAACTCTTGTCTCTTCAACTCGCTCATTACATCAATACCCAACACATCAACAACCAAATTCATCAACGTTTCATCAACTACCCAACTAATCCACGATGCAAATCATCAGCGACTCAACTCATCATCGTACTATTTCATCTAACACCTAACTCCTGAATGGCCCAGCTCATCAGCAAACCATCTCATCAACGACTCAAATCACCAACGGACAACTCATCAACGACCCAACTCTTGAACTACTCAGCTCATCAACGAACCGCAACTCAACGACGTCCCAATTCATCAACGACCCAATTATTTTGAAAAGTAGCTCTGGCATATCTTCATGTCCTAAATAAGATATTTGATTATCTATATCGCACTTCACTACTGAACTTATCACGTAAAATCAGTTGATGAGTAAAGTGTGATTAGTATGATGATTGGTGTGAATACGAATTCATGGAATTGTGAAAATTATTTCGGTTCCTTCATCATTTGTTATTGAGATAGATGAAATACAAATATCATTTATTCTTACTAAATAGTCTATTTTGAACTCCGATTCCATCTTGCTGAGCCTCCTCAAGTCCCACGAAAGCTCGAAAGCTGTCAAGAGGGGGTCGTTCGATGATAAAGAAATTAGTGACGAAGATGATAACGCCCGGTATGCGTTGATTCTAGCTTGGGAGTGTCTCAGAGAATCTGTTTTGCTTGAGACAACGCAGTCGTCACATCCACACCTGAAAATATGGATATGCAAAAAAATCGACTGTTTACTGCAGACTGTAAGTTAGTAAAATAAATATGAATTCGATGGAAAATATATAAAAAAATATATGCGGACATTGATAAATAAGATGAAAGTCAATATGTTTATAACCATGCATAGGTATACTTAAATACCAGATCCAATGTACACCAGTATTCAGTGAACATGTCGCGGTTGGACGGTATGAGCGCTCTTATTGCAGCGGAGATAGAGAGCTGACACCACCTATGTGCGACATTGCAACTTTGGAAAGATTCACTTTAACTATAACATTAAAATCGTGGTTTTTGCATTCTGCATCAGATCTACATACAAGACTTGACAGGTTGCTCATGGAACAAAGAACTGATACTTGCTGAATTTTCATCCGTGACATCAATTCAATGTACAGGGTGGGCAAAATTTGGCGTTTTCATAGGCTATCTCAGTAAGTGGAGGAGTTATCAAAAAATCGATATACATGTTACGGGTTCGATTTTAGAGAAACCTTGAATGGTACAATTGGAATGTTGATATCTTCATTCGTTTCAGAGATACAGGGGGAAATTATAAAATTGCCGATTACGTTTTTATTTTCTGAGTACTTTATGAAGAGAGATATTGAAAAATTTCAGATTTTATCCAAATAGATTTATGCGTAGAATCCATTGGCTTCATCAGAAATTGTATACAGGGTGACATCAAGAAGATACGGCAGTCAATTATTCATTTTCTAATGGATTTCTGAATTTTCTATATTTTGGCACTTTTTCTTCGACAACTTTTGGAATATTCGCAAAAATATACTCAATGTGTCAAATTTCTCATGGTTGCACATCTGTATCTTCCGTAATAGTCAATGATACACTCGAGGATCAAGTGGGGTCATCTCCAGTGATAACACTGCTCGCCAGCAGCTATGGAATCACCGACTTCTCTGGAAAATGCAATAAAGAGGCAGAATATAGGTTGAAAATGATACTCTGTATATATTAACCAAAGTAGGAGAATAAATATCATTGAAAATGTGATTCAAATATTTTATGACACTAGTGCTGGATTGTTCAATAGGCATAATGAACACCACGGGGCTGATCATAATCCTCGAAGTCATCATGATAGTAGGCAACAGGGAAGGTTTGGCTTCAGCATAAGTGTAAGGATACAGGTTGGCCTACGTTATATTCGAGAAAAATTTGAGAGTGGAAAACTATATTAGGATAGATTACCGTATATTTATTTCAGACAGGATGGATATCCATCCCTAATGCCCGTAGAGTAACAGATATTCTGAATATGAAATTTTCACAAACATGGATTGGTACATATTATGGACCGATTCAATGGCCCCCTCGTTCACCCGACTTGTCTCCATTGGATTTTTTCTTGTGGGGATTTCTAAAAAATCATATATATCGTCGAGATCATCAAAATGCTGAAGAATTTCGTGGAAGACGACATTCCAGCATTCCAAGAAGTGTGACCCATTCATCTAACCAACGCAGTGAATTCTGTGTGGAAACGATGTGAAGTTTGCTCAGGCCAAAACGGACAATTTGAACATCTTTTATGAAGCTTCATTTTTTCATGTAAACTACTCATTTCCCAATTAATAAATTATTTGTCTCATTTCTGTATTTTGGATGTATTGATAAACAATGATATCAAATCAAATAATTTCGAATTTTATTTCATACCAAATATTCATTGTATAGAAATGAAATATTTGAATCACATTTTCAATATTTATTTCCCTACTTTGGTTAATACATACAGAGTATCATTTTCAACCTATATTCTGCCTCTGTATAGCATTTTCCAGAGATGTCAGTGATTCCATAGCTGCTGGCGAGCAGTGTTATCACTGGAGATGACCCCACTTGATCCTCGAGTGTATCATTGGCATCTCTCTCACAGCTGCGAATGTCGTAATCCTACCTCAATGATTATTACGGATGATACAGAGGTGCAACCATGCGAAATGTGACACACTGAGTATATTTTTGCGAATATTTCTAAAGTTGTCGAAGAAAAAGGTAGGATGATATATATTTGAATATGGAATGTCTAGGACCATCCAACTGTGCCAAAATATACGGGGTGTTCCATTAGAATAACGTACTCAGAAACTGAAAACGAAATCGGCAATTTTGCAATTTCCCCCTGTATCTCTGAAACGAATGAATATATCAACATTCCAATTGTACCATTCGAGGTTTCTCTAAAATCGAACCTGTAAAATGTATATCGATTTTTTGATGATAACTCCTTCAGTTACTGAAATAGCCTATGAAAACGCCCAATTTTGCCCACCCTGTACAGTACAAATGGAAATCACGTGTCGTGGTTGGCTGTTATTAGCGCTTTTATTGCAAAATTGACTAGAAGTGCTATTACTGCCTGTGTGCGGCATATTCATTGCATCTGACTGTACATGTTTCGAAATATTCAATCAACAAAGAAGATACAGGGAGGAATAGATTGGATCTCAGGCACTCAAAATAGGTACATAAAAGTAAAAACCTAATAAATTGATAAGATATTTCACCTAACATCATGTGGCATGGGTAAAGTTGCTCCTCTATCAAGCAGTAGTTTGATGATTTCATAATTATTTTTGTGTGCTGCTAGAATGAGTGGAGTTATATCAGCTGTGAATGTAGCTGATGCCCTATCAACTTTCTCCCAAGTCTGAAAGCAACAACAAAAAAATAAAAACGGTAAACGAGAAGGAAAATAATCAGTACGTATTGTTCTCCTGGCTTATGATGATCCTCTTCCCAATTGAGCAGAACTTCAACAGCCTCTACGTATTCTTCTTTTATTGCATGTAGTAAACCATCCTTGAGAAACATAACACTCAGTACTCGAAAGATTTTTTAGTTCATTAAATATCAAACTTTGGACCTCAATAATTTTCTATTTAGACTAATAAAATTAAATCGAAAAAAACCGTTTTGAGGAATTAATTTCCAGCAAACTTGAAATCGTTTCAATACCTCTATTTGGTCCTAAATGCGTGTAATCTGAGTTTGCACCATGTCAGGTGGTGAGCTTAACTTTTGATAGCCAAAAAACCGCCACATTTTTGCACTTTTTTTATTTTTTTGCTTATAGCTGCAAAACGGTGCGTCAGACGGAAAATGTTATTCCATTCAATAATACAGAGGACAAAATTCTGCGTCGAATGACATCTGAAAACATCAAATTCCGTTCAGAGGTATAGCCGAAATCGAATGTTAAAAAAAAGAAAATTTCGTAGTTCGGTGCAAACTTACATTTTGCGGCTTTCCAAGACGACATTTCTTGAAAACAGATACTCCTATTGAAAAAATTCATTGAATAAAAGTTGTAGAGAATAAAATTTCATAATCATAGTTCCTAATAGTTAAGGTACAATGAAGGAACGAAAACACTTCATTGATGAACAGTTTGTGGCATAAATCAATATATAATAGGCATGCAACACAAAATGTGGCAGCATTTATGTTCGCATTTTTTTTATGTCGATGGTCCTTCATCTGAGAAGTGACCCTTTTTTTCATTGTCCTACGTTACCATGACACCGTGCGCGAAGTAGCAAAGCATTGTGCGAAATAGGCACCTATTGCGAAATAGGTATTTTGCACACTGCATGTAAACTATGTGGGATTTTTATATTTCAACCTTTATGCTTTATATTATGGTACTCAATGCAAAAAATCCATGGAATCATTTGTTTCTGAATGTTTAGGTAACAATAATTAAGGCTTTTAAACTCTTTTCAAATTGTGACAAAATTTTACACTACCTAATTTTATTTATTATTTACAATGAATTTTGTTTGGCGTTTGTAAAAAAAAAATTGTTTGCAACTCGTGCGCGAAATACTTTGGTGATTTCGACTATTTTTTAACTTGGCTGCGCCTCGTTAAAAAAATCAGCTCTCGATCACCAAAGTAGCATTTCGCGCACTAGATGAAAAATAATTATAAATTGATGCAAAATTTGGGACCTAAGCTGAACCGGGCATTCAGATATCCGGATAATTGGACAAATCAAGAAAACTTAAACATTTGGACATCTATCTATATAACGTAAAATTGTATTCTCTACAACTTTTATTTTATGGGTTTTTTCAATAGGAGTATCTGTTTTCACGATATGTCGTCTTAGAAAGCCGCAAAATGTAAGCTTGCACCGAACTACGAAATTTTCTTCTTTTTTAACATTCGATTTCGGCTATACTACTAAACGGAATTTGATGTTTTCAGATGTCATTCGACGCAGAATTTTGCCTTCTATATTATTGAATAGAATGACATTTTTCGACCGATGAACCATTTTGCAGCTATAAGCAAAAAAATAAAAAAAGTGCAAAAATGTGGCGGTTTTTTGGCTATCAAAAGTTAAGCTCAACTCCTGGAATGGTGCAAACTTAGATTACACGCATTTGGGACCGAATGAAGGTAATTAAATGATTTCCAGCTTGCTGGAAATTAATTCCTCAAAATATAATTATTTGATTGGCCTAATTGCAGATTTATACATTATGTTTCTTGATATAGGAAATACTTTTTAGTTGGATCACCTTTACTTGTATGTTTTCCTGAAGGAGCAATTTGATCAGGTCAATATTCTCATTCTCAATGGCCGATATAAGTGCAGATCGGTTTAAGGGGTCTACACAGTTAATATCGAATTCTTGTGTGTTATCCCTGTATTCTTGAATTATCCTAGAAAAGCAATACATTCAACCATCAGATAAGTGGAACATTGTCTTTTGATGATTATATAATTATATTTTAGTCGTATATAATATATGTATAATAAAGATGATATAACTCCGTTGGAAATCATTTTCCTTGAATACCTTCCAAAATTATTGATATTAATGAATACAATTTTGATATGAAGGACACTTGAACTATAGTGTCTTCCTAGCTCATCAGGTTTTTTTTAATTCCAAACACCCTGTATGATGAAGACTGAGAAACATTTGGGGATAAAAACCTAAATCCCCTAATAGATTAACTCCAACAAAATTTCAAATCTGACTAGCAACAGAAGTAACAAAAATGAATAAATACTTTTTTCTGTGACGGGAAACAAGTTTGGCATTTCATCTTTGTTGGCTTGTTATAAAATGTCACTTTTCATGAATTACTTTTTTCCCGGATATACAGGGTGTCTGTAAAAGGTCTTTTCAAAAATATACCACATATTCCTCAGGCCAAAATAAGTCGATTTAAGTGAAATTACCTCAGTACAAAGTTGCATCGTTTGGGCTCCATAGGGCCTTGAAGTTACAATTTTTAGATCGTTTTTCCCATATAAATTTGAAACGGCATATGCGATTTTGCTGAAATTTGGTATATTGATAGAGTTTCATGTGGCAAAAAAAATGGTGTCAACATTTTGTCTGATAATAATACATAGGCGTAGAAATTGATTTTTTAAATAATTGCACCTTTAAAAATTCGACGCCAATGAAAGAAAAGGAGTCTGAGTATGAAATTTAGATTGCGCAACTCATTTACTTTAAAAAAGGTATATGATAAGACTCGATTGCTCTCATGATTTTGACGAAATTTGCATTTTAGTAATTTTAGAACATTAACAATAATTATTCAAATACAAACTTTGTCACAACCATATGAGAGTAAATCGAGTATTATCAAGGGTACTTCCTTGTAGTAAAAAGGACTTGCAGTTCTTTCTCGGAGAAGGTATTATTGACTCATTTTTCAGAACTATAGCTCAACAGAAGCCATCAACAGTGTATATAAATGTGATATATATCCGGGAAAAAAGTACTCACTTTTTTCCCACGGGAAAAAAGTAATTTATGAAAAGTGACATTTTATGCTGGAAGCTATTCCAGAAAAACCGATTTCCAGCGGAGGCCTTCAAGGTTCTACCTGAAACGGAGAGATTTCCACATGTTTCCGGACACCCTGTGTGTAGCATGAGTTAATTAACTCCCATGTGAGCCTTACTTTTCCGCCACGTGTTGGGCAAAATGAGTTTTCTGAAGGTGATAGTACGTAAAAAAATAAGTGTACTTTGATAAATGAACTTATGACTCAAAATGCATATCAAGGAAGATATTGTATCCTTCCTAAGTTGATAAAATTAAAATATTTCTCTCGCATAACTGCTAAACGGTAAAAGCCACCAGATTGAAATTATCTGCAGAAATGTATGTTGTTGAAATACATATTCTGATACCCTTCTACATTTATGATATGCTATTATAAAAAGTGTTTTCAGAGAATGGGTCATGAGTCATGATTCTTCGAAGACAACTTATTTCCTAGTATTCGTTCTGGTGAAAAAGCATTTGATAAAGCGATGAAGATTACATAAAAAAAGTACTTTTATCAAAATACGAATACCGTTTTCGATGTTTTTGACTTTTGTAGTTACACATTATATCAGCAGATTAATTCATCAGTAGTATAATATCTTAGAAGGCCATGAGCCATGACCAATTTTGTTCTTAATTTTGACGTTTATGACATCGACATTGTTATTGGTAATTTCATTTTGTGTGATTTTCCTGCTTAGTAATATCATTACTACGATTTTCAACTGGGTTTTTCAGAAATGGCTGGTTATTATGCAGAGATGTTTCTCGCTCGATACATTCCAAATTCTAGAACAATTTTGAGGATTGTGCAAAGATTGCGTGAAAAAGAATATTTCAAAACGAATAATAAAGATGATGGCCGGGCCAGAAGTTCGAGGCCTCCTAAAATATGTTTACTGATGAATTTATCTGCAGATGTATTGTCAGTACAAAATCTCAAATATGTCGAAATCGGTTACATTTTTGCTTCTGTTTATATCTATTTTCAATCTACTATCACCTCCTGAAAGTTCGGTACACTTTACACTGTATAAATATCTATCATTTGTGCTTGATGGTTTGAAAATGTACCTTGTAACTGTAGCGCAATCTCCTCTCTCAGCATGCAGAAGAAACGTTTTTTCCACGGATGATAGAGGCCTATCAATTGGGTCTCCTTGGAGATTTTCGGTATTCAACTCTTCTTTACTGTCGCCAATCAGTTGCTCAAGAGAATCTGTCAACTTCATCGCTATATTTTATATAATAATGAGATCGAGCCTATCCCATTTAGCGATGAACACACTAAAAACTATTATACCGGGTGACACAGGAGACATGTAGCAGCCTGCAGTTTTTTTATTTGAAGAGATAAAATTTTGAAATTCACAGGGAGTATATAATAAATTGTAGCGCACTTTACGAACCACCCGTTCGACCGGAAGTGACTCCAACTTTTTTTTTTAAATGTCACCCTGTACATTTCTCCAGTCTATCTTATTTGCCTTGAAATTCTCTATTCAACCATGTTTCACAAAGTGGCATTTAATTATTGATTCGCTGTTGAATTGCGTTTTATTCAAAAAGAATAAGTTGGCTGTGACATGAATTCGATGATATATCTACACTTGGTAGGCTATGAAATTCAAATATCATTAGTAAACCGATATTATTCAAAATGTTTTGATATTCTGATCAATGTCTGCAGGTTGTCAATAGCTTGTTTGAGTCAAGATGAAAACCTTCGAATATAACTCATGATATTGAGGAATCTAAGATAGGAACATATTTTTTCGAATTCAGCTACTCGTACAGAAACTATCTGTCTTTCATTTTCGCCATGTACCTATCACATGATCTTCCCATTTTGAATAATAAAACTCAAATTGTTCCTCTTATACGATGATCCACAGGGCTATCAGTCTATTTTTTCATAATTATTTCACTTAGTAGGCGGTGTACCTATACACAACAAATCGACTTTTTCGTTTCTTGAATACATTTTCCGTCTCTATTGATGATATGCAATTTTAATCAACACACAAATGAAGAAGAAAAATTATTGATGCAAACGATTAACTGTCAAACACTTAAAACATTTTGTGTAGGTACACCGCCTACTAAGTGAAATAATTATGAAAAAATAGACTGATAGCCCTGTGGATCATCGTATAAGAGGAACAATTTTGGTTTTATTATTCCAAATGGGAAGATCATGTGATAGGTACATGGCGAAAATGAAAGACAGATAGTTTCTGTACGAGTAACTGAATTCGAAAAAATATGTTCCTATCTTAGATTCCTCAATATCATAAGTTATTTTCGAAGGTTTTCATCTTGACTCAAACAAGCTATTGAAAACCTGCAGACATTGATCAGAATATCAAAACATTTTGAATAATATCGGTTTACTGATGATATTCAAATTTCAAAGCCTACCAAGTGTCGATATATCATCGAATTCATGTCACAGCCAACTTATTCTTTTTGAATAAAAAGCAATTCAACAGCGAATTAAGAAATAAATGCCACTTTGTGATACATGGTTGGATAGAGAATTTCAAGGCGAATAAGATAGACTGAAGAAATGTACAGAGTGACATTCAAAAAAAAAAGTTGGGGTCACTTCCGGTCAAACAAGTGGTTGAAAAAAAATGTCGTTAAATTCGTAAGATGCGCTACCATTTATTATATACCCCCTGTCGATTTCAAAATTTTATCTCTTCAAATAGAAGAACTACAGGTTGCTACATGTCTCCTGTGTCACCCGGTATATGTATAGGGTGATGGGTGACGTTTATACATTAATTTTGAAAGGTTATAAGGAACAGGCGAAATGAGGGTATACTTTTATGATAATTTGAATACAGGACGTTCATGTTCAATTTCAAAAACATCATTATTCCACATCTATAAGGAAATACAAAAGTGATCCGTCTCAAATACGGCATAGTTCCTTCTTATGTGAATTCGAGTCTACATCAGTTCCCGTTGGAGAGTGAATTCGAGTCTACAGTTCTAGTCAAAAATAGTCACAGACAAAAGTGATCCGCTAATTTACTCATTGAACGAGGAAGGAAGCATTTTCGGAAACAGGTATTTGAAGGTTTAAAGGAGATTCCCACTATAAAAAATGTTCATATTTTCTCGAAAAATCACAAAAAAGCCATCATAAGTCCAGCAATAGATACCCTACAGTCGCATTATTTCATCAGATAAATCAATCAAATACCTCTCCTCACATTTCAATATTCATTTTAAAGCGATTTTTATCATGATAATTGATAAAATTTGATTTTCAATGTAATCTTGATACCTCCGTTATCTTACATATTTATAAAAACAAGTTTTGGCCAAACAACTGACTTTGGCGAGATATATACGCTGTTAAGTGAAAAACCTCACTTTCAGATTCATCCTGTATTTGACAGTTGTATGTGCTCAAAAGAGTGGTCATGAAGAAGTGAAGAAAGTAGAAGATATCACGCGGTATATGGGTATATATATTTGTGATCACAAAAATCTACCTGATTCCGAAAAAAATATAAAAAACAGGGTGTTCCATTTAAAAAAATAATTAGTGGTTTGTCAAGCTTCTAGAGATCATCCTGTAAAACTTCTGATTATGTTCATGTACGGTGCCCATACCCATCGAAAATCCATATACCTATTTGACCCTGAACAAAAAATGTCATATCAGGCTGTTTTGTTTCTCGAAATTTGCCCACCCCCCGTGAAAAATGCATTGATAGGACACCTCGGTGAAGATTGACTGTATTTTTCAATACAAATTCTGATAGTATCTCACTACTTGAATAAAATCGACATTCTTGGCAACTATTCAATCAATATGTATGATTCAACATTGAATAAAAAATATCATTGCGTACTTCGTACTCACCCCATTTTTATTCTGGAGATTCTCCGAATCGCAATAAAATATCACCAACACACTACACACTTGATTCGGCACAGAACAGATAAAAAATGAGGATACGAAGACCTTCAAACCCTCCAGAAATCGATCAAAGAGCTTTGATAATTGAATTAAAAACCAAGAAGAAATCATGTCGATGTCAAAGTATCGATAATCCCCAGGATTAACATTGTTTCCCTTGGGTATTGCATAACGTCCAATGGGTATTTCATAAGATGCACTTGGTGACCTCATTTTGTGCTGAGATTTTGAGCTTGAATACATCGTTGTTGTTTTTCAAAAATATGAGTTTGTTCCTTCATTTCAGGAAACAACGCTGTTTATTTAGGTACTCCTGCGGGAGATAAAAAATTTACCTTCATTCTGACAGAGCACAAGATGATTCTATGAATGTTACTAGAATGTTCTTGTGGATCATTTGAATTTTCTCAGGGTGTTTCTCACAAAATGCGCTGAGTGTTCTGGAAATATTCAAAGAGCAAGAAAATGGGACGAAAACTCTTACGTTCCCAGGAGGTGCTCAGAATATTCACCAGCATATTCGAAAACTATCCTCAGAAAACTGGTCTGAGGAAGATCTCAGTACATTCTGGAGAATATCAGAATCATCATCAGAATATTCCGAAATGAGTTTCATGAACATCTCGTCACTCAGACGACACCAGTGCGGCAGTGCATACAATAATGGATGTCCAATGATTATCCATAACCCATAATATAAAACATAAATATCCAACGGATCTTTATGAAAGCTACGGAAGCGTAGAAAGGCCATTGTTGTGTGTATTTTATTTTATTTCTTTATTCAGACTTTCAAGTCTGAATTCAGATATTTCTTTCTGAATTCAGACTTCAAAGCCTGAATTCAGACTTTTTCTGCGATTTCAGATGGTGATAAATATCAAGAAATTTCACATTTTTGACAGGATTAAATTTTTTTAGCTTAACACTTAACAATATTTGGCACACCATACTCGATCATAATAGTTATGGCACACTCAAATGGAAAATCAAAAATGAAATTAGAATCAATATTGAAGTTTGAAATGTCACTTATATGATATCATTTGATTCAGAAAATGATGCAGAATTTGAAAATGCAATGATTTACAGGGTGTTTCGTTTGAAATTTGAAAGTTATCACCACTTCCGATGGGACACCCTGTATAATCGAAATTATTTTCCTGGTATGCGACCTATGATACAACTGGAGTCTGCAAAATATCGAAATCCTGCCTCAACTGATAACTGAGCTGGACACCCTGTATAATCGAAATAATTTCCCTGGTATGCGACCAATGATGCAATTGGAGTCAGCAAAAAAACAAAATTCTGCCTCAACTGATAAGTGAGCTATAGAAGACGGGAGGTGAGATGCATGACCCTGTATAAACTATACTCTCGCTTTTTAGATAGGGTATAAATATATTTGAATAAGCATCACATCAGTCATTATAGACGTTTTGACGTACTGGCCTGCAAATAAAAATAAACTCAATCATCAACCCCATGAAAAGTAATAAATGACATATACAAAGAAGGTACTTACTTAAATCAGTTACCCTCGGTATTACCAAAGTTAACAGTTATTTTATTCTGTAAACTTTGGTATTACCTAATGTGAATGTGTATTCAATGCATCCAATGCAAACAATCTGAATTAAAAAAAAAGTATTAATTCAGACTTCAAAGTCTGAATCCAAAAAAAATTTAATTCAGAGAAAAAAGTTGGAATTCAGAGAATATACTATGAATTCAGACACGATGTCCTTTGAACATTATAGGGATTCCCTTTCGTGCGCTCCAAGCGATAAAAAAAATACAGAGAAACTGTCTGGATTCAGACTTTATTCTCTGAGATCAGATTTTCTTCTCTGAATTCAGACTGTCTTCTCTAAATTCAGACTTTTTTCTCTAAATTCAGACTTGTGAAAAGAGTGTTTGTTGAGTCTTCCTGATGTTGAGAGTCGTTTTTGGTAGTTCTATATCAATTTAGACTCTGATCGGAACGAGCTAAGAACTCAGAGCCGCTAGGATATCCAAGAAATAATTGGGTTTTGTGAGAATCTACGAAAAATAGGCTTGATCAGAATTTGAAGAAGATGGACATAGTAAGTGAATTAATTATCGCGAGATTTGGGCATCGTTAAAATTTGGACACGTTGAGAATCTTATGGCTTCTGATTTTTTTTCATGACTAGCAACACTGCGCCTCAGTGACTTGTGAATACGGGAATGGCGAACCCGCGGTAGGACAAGGGTCTTTCAAACGAACCTCTGGTACTGTGAGCGGGAGTGCTTACAGTTACTGTGAAGCTATTTGAAGTGAACCATGGTTCGTATATGGTGAAATCAATAACGGCATAGTCGTGGTAAGATACAGAAGGAATATTCAAAGATGAATATTCCATGAATATGGTTCGTATATGGTAAAATCAATAACGGCATAGTCGTGGTAAGATACAGAAGGAATATTTAAAGATGAATATTCCATGAATATTCCAGTTGGATTGTTCATCCCTGGCACGTTCTTGAATATTCCCAATATCCAAAAATGATATTCTATGAATATTCATGGAATATCTGGTGCTGTCTGTCAACTAACAAAGATTCACATATTTCTGCAATATTCACCCTGAGTTCCACCGAATATTCTACGTTATGAACATAATATTTCCTGCTGAGAAATGGCTAGTAATCGTATTAAAATGTCGAGGCCACTGTACTAATCTATTAATTTAATAAATGGAGTGAAGGCAATAGCCTCTAATAGAATTAGCCACCAAACTCTGAGAATCAAATATTTTAACATAGGTCAGTGTGAAAGAGATCTCTACTTGCAGGCATAATATATGAAGCAGTTTGAAAACATGGGGAAAAGCGTGAGCAAATATTTAATTTACAACTTTAAAATGTTGTTCATATATGATTCTAGCTGGAAATTGAAGCTCCTGTCGCCAGGAAATCCATGGTCATGCCAAAGTTACCCAACGTATTGTCCTTGGATGAGAAAAAGTATCTTCTAGCAGTCGAAAGAGGTGATTTGGCAAATGTCAGACGGTAAGCCATTAAATGTATTCATTTCTCTCGATTCGAATATGGGTAGGTACTCAAAATAACAATACTTCCTCCATCACCATCGATAAGTCTGAATGGTTTTCAATGTGTTTACCTCCAATACTCGTAAGCTAGAGCATCAAACAAATTTTTTTGCGAAGGTTTTCAATCAACATCTCCAAAAGATTTTCCTGCACATAAAATTGACGCATGTGACGCTTTGCACCGTCTTGAGGTCTGAACATCTCACAATGCATAGTATAGAATTGACATCGACGATAATGGATAATTTTTGAGATCTAAGAGCAAAAAAATCGTCTTTTTCAGTAGCTTACCTGAGTGAATAACTGCCATCTGAAATGAAAATAACTCTCAACTTAGACTATAAATTAAATAATTTGAAGATAAACAGGGGAATATTTGCATTTATTTCCATAGAACGGTGTCACCCATTTTCTACTATGTATTCGATGTTTTCAGTATGTTACAAAAAGCCCAAAGAAACAGAACCACTCTTGACATAAATTGCATGGACAGCTTAGGACGAGGTTCTCTCACAATCGCTATCGATCAAGAGAATCTAGAAATGGTGGAACTGCTGGTTGTAATGGGAGTGAGCACGCGAGATGCCTTATTACATGCTATCAACGTGGAATTCGTAGAGGCCGTAGAACTACTACTTGAACACGAAGAACTCATACACCAAGAAGGACAGCCTTACGTAAGTAATGTTTCCTACGTCTACTAACTATGTAGACACTGTAAATGGAATATTTCCTATATACAACCGACACACCGAGGAAAAATCAGTCCTCCTGACTGAACAATTACGTTTCACTATGCTAGTAACAGTAGTAACCCAGCGAGCACAAACATCCCTAGGATGTTTTGAGATGTTTTGAAAATGTTGGCATGAAGATGTTATTTTGAGACGTAATATGCACTGACCAAAGAGGTCTTTGAAGGATATTGAAGTATTGTTTTTGTTCTTTCGTGCCCTTTCTTTGTTTGCCCCACCACAACGTCTCATGCTTACGTCACAATACGATGAATTCTGATTCGTTTTCGATTTTGTTCTTCTTGTTCGCAATTGGCATTCGCGTTTGCAGCGTGTCACGCTTACATCATCACGCTGCTAACGAACAGAAAGGAATTTGGTGAAGTTTATTGTGTTAGAAGACTTATTTAGTTTGTATTAGTTTGTAATTTTTTTAAATTTTAAATTTCAAAAATTGGGAAACCTATTTCCAATTATATGTCTGTGTGTAGTAAGCACTACTCAGAAACGGATTAAGAAGGTAATTTCATATCAAGAAAATATTTTTATGTTCAATCTATTTTTAATGCATTTTTTCATTCAAGGGAAATGGAATCCTAATGCATTTTGACAAAAGGCTTCAGAAAAGTACCTCGAAAATGTTTTTTTTACAGCGATTTAATGTGCGCAAGACGCGTTGAAAATGTTTTGTTGTGTCCATGAAAAGGCTTTAAAAAGAACTAGGGAGAAGGTAGTTTTGTGACATATCAAGGACATCTCGATAATTGCCGCCTGCGGCGGACATTGGCTGTTCTATAATAGTTCTATTCATGTGTGAACAGAATATCGCAGTGGAGGTTCAATGTCTCGAAATCTCGTACTTTTGACATCTCTGAGATGTTTTTGTGCTCGCTGGGAATCTATTCGCATAATGCAATAATGCTGTTTTTATATGTAACAAATGCATATCATGATTGAAGGTGTTACGTACTTAAAATACTGAGTTTATTCCCCATTGTAATCTAAGCAAGTGGTGTCCTTATATAGTGACCACATAGAAAGGAATAAATTTCTGAACTGATTCAAATAGTTTCTGTCTAGAAGTGATCAGTGAATATACCAAGCATATTTTCGAGCACTTGTTACAATTATTGTGACTTGACATTTCGTTGCAATTGGAAGTTATTTTGGTTCTTTATTTTTTTTTAAAACGCTTGTCAATTTTAAATGGCTTGGTCGAATTGCACAAACTAAGCAGTGTTGGATAGAGAATCGGTAGCCCTTCAAAACCATTACTATGTGACCCTCCTTCACATTTGGAAAAAAATGTCGATGTGCCCTCTTGACACTAGGCCCAACCATTTTCATGCCAACAAGTAGTATATAGTTTACCTGAATTTCATCAGACCTCGCTAGCTCGTTTCCTCCAAAAGTTGAAGGGTTGGTGAGGACTTTTTCGTCCTCACTGTATGCATTGATATGCGGAGGATTCTCATCCGCCCTAGTCAACTAGCTGGACACACTCATTCCTGCCGCAAATTTCGTCGAATCCTCTGGTAACCTGGATATCCATTGCTTCTGGATCGCTGGCGTAACGTCCTCTCTGAAGGACGGCATATCCTTTTCATATCTTGTGCTCATTGATATGGTTAACTGTGACCTATAACATGCTATATTTGCGACTTACCTGAGAAGCATGGTTATACGGTTATGCTCAATGTCCTGCTGATTGTCGACTCATTTTGTTGCATTAGCAACAATGCATTCATGCATTCACCGTACTTCCATTGTATCGACCGCACCACTCAGCCGCAACTTTGATTGTTCAGATTGTCTACATGGAGGTACCGAGGTACGATAAATATTGGTTGTAATGGGTGATCTCTTGGAGACACTGAACAATCGATAGGTAAACCCCATGCACAGGAGTAGGGCGTTACTCATATATAGGAGTTATACTCATCATGAAAAACAATGCCAACTTAGTATCAGAGCCAGATGAGTCAAAACGACACTAGTTTCTTCAATGAGAAGCTGCAAGCAGAGGAGGTTTACAAAATGAAAACTGGTACAAGGACATGCAATTAGAAAAACATTGCGACTCAAAGCACATATTATTATGATGAATCACTGGCTGATGGTGAAGCCTTTAAATATTTCCGGATGCCTTGGTCCCCTAAGATCGTGCAGAGACATACAACTCTAGAGTGTACAAAGGCTATAGCCCGTCTGTCAACTGCAGCCATAGAAATCCTTCTTAATATTATTTCACCTGTTGTTATTAAGGCAGAGACAATGATAGGTGGTTAATGACAACAATTGGAATGATAGGCCAATACTCCTCTGCTCAGAAATGTATCTTTTCATGCTTTGTGCTTTCTCATAATGTATGCACTGTGCTCTGCTGCCTCTATCTGCTCTGATTCTGCCATGTGAGGTTTATAAAATACTGAGCCTATGAAAGAAATATTTGTAGAACAAAACTTGAGTTGTGATGCAGTTGTAATTGTTCCGTAGGATGTGTAAATGAAATTAACCTCGAATCGAGTTCCGGAATCCATTTTCTACAATATAAATGAAAATAAGGAACCGATCAAAGTACTCATGGAGCAGTATAACATATGAGATTCAGGTTATGATATTCCATGTTTTATTTTTGCATTTCATGTGGCGAATTATGTTTATGTCTATTCTTAACCATGTATAATGCGTTGTCGTTAATACTTAACTTAGTACAATTTAGCTCATTCGACCTTCTGTTACGCCATTCAAATAGATGGCATTCTTCTCTTTCCCCAAAGAAATCTCCCTTATTTTTGATTTGCAGAGTTGGCAGAGAGTTGATATCAGCACTGCTATGTTCACTCCAGATGTCACTCCGCTCATTCTGGCCGCTCATCGGAATAACTACGAGATCCTGAAGATTTTGCTGGACAGAGGTGCCACGGTTCCGATGCCTCACGACATCAAATGCGGTTGTGACGAATGCATACGCGATTCAGAAGAAGATTCTTTGAGACACTCGCTGTCTAGGTTGAACGAATACAAAGCCCTGGCGAGTCCGTCTCTGATAGCTCTCTCGTCGAGCGATCCACTCTTGACAGCTTTCCAACTGTCTTGGGAACTAAGAGGATTGGCATTTGCAGAGCCTGTAAGTCTTCTAAAGCGATATACAGGGTGGACCTTTGAGTATTCACACTGGACCCAATTTATTTATGTGCCAAAATGTACCGTTTGTCCGTGAGAAAGGTTTAAAGTTCACATAAAAAAACATTTAAATCCATTTATTTGAACATCTAACTTTTACAGACATACACTCAATATAAATAAAATCCTTAATATTTAACATGTATAAAATATATGGAACGCACAAAACGATACAAATAAATATACATATTGAAAGCCCTCCGGGTAGACCTCTATCGGTCCCCAGAGGTTGGCCACGAGTGGCGCAGTGGGGGGCGGACTTATTCATCAAGTGTGTTGGGGAAGATGTCCGAGCTACGTCCTAGGACATGGTCCTTTCCAATCTTTCCATAGCTGATAGGGCGAGCTGCTCAGTGCGAGCGAAAATTCGAATGTTTGGATTGCGCTATCATGAACTCTATAATTTGTCGTTAATTTGTTTGTGGAAAATTAAAGAAAAACCAAAAACCACATTCTGACAATTCGATTTGTATTTATGTCGAGGGGACTAGGGAAGGGTGAGGGTTAGGATGGGTTTTGTGGGATGAAAAGGGATCAACAGACTGAGATTTAGCACATAGATTATGCAGATAGAATCTAGGTGTATATCTGTTGGTCGGTGCCAACAGGAGTGCGCTTACTATGCCCAGCTACGGGCAATATGTGTAGACACTCGGAGGTCGTACAGTCGGACCAAAGCGTTCAGTCCTGGGGCCGACCAAACCACCTTCGAGTCGTGAAACATAAAAAAACAGATGATTACTTTGCTTATGGTAATCGAAGAAAGCTAAAAGAAAGTGTAGAAGGGTTGAAACCACTCTCACCCCCTGACATTTTTTTCAGAATTTTTTTAGGGGTCATAGTACGGTAATTGGTAAGCCTGCAAGCTCTAAAAATTTCAGAAGTAATTTTTTCAAAAGCAGTTTTTTTCGTCAAATTGCCAGGAAACAAAATTGTTATTGATGCATGTCAAGTACTTCGACAAAAAAAGCTCTCGTGTAATTATAAGTGACAATAAATCGATAAATCGGAGCTTTGTCTGCATTTTCATGATAGTCTTGGGTGAATTTGTATTCAACCATTGTTTCTTCAAGACTATACAAAGAAAGCAGCAACGACATTAGCTAAATTAAATGATTACAGCAATATTCAACAAACGTCAAAATATCAACAGATGCCATGAGAAGAAAAAGGGAAAGAAAATGCCTGGAGCAATGAACTGATTTTTGAAATCGATTCCTCATTATAATAAGATATTTTTTTCGTAAAAAATGAAATTTTATTGTATATGCACCACGAGCGTTACTAATTAGTTACTAGTTACTATACAGTCTGTCCAAGATAAGGTTGAACAGCATGGGGATCTCGAAAACGGTAAGAGATAAGAAATCGGTTAAGTGGGGAAAAAGTTGCGCATTCGGAGGCTCACATCAAGAGCCTTCGAAATTTTTGAAAATTATTTTTAGTTTTAGAGTTATATCGAAAAAAGTGAATTTTTGGAATTTCTATTTTTTTTTCTCTGTTATTATTAGAGAAACAGCAAAACTGAGAATACTTTTTCATAGCAACTTTTGATGACGGTCAACGTGGTGATACCGATTTTTTCATGCGACGTTTCGTATTCGTGGAACCATCATCAACTTTTGTTTTTTAAATACGGTCCTGATAATTTTTTCACAGATTCTGAAAGGTTTTTTTATTCTGAATTCAACCATGTATTATACAAGGTGGTTTATTTATGTTTCGACCTATTTTTGGCCATCATCAATGTTTTTTCGAAACTCCAAAGGAAAAATGCCATCAGTTCCACTTATTTTGAAGGAAAATTAATCAACTCACTAATACTTCATCAGCTGGTTTCAATCAACAACCCATTTCATTTTGCGGAAACAAAAATTCCATCCATACAAATTCAGAATATGTCAAGCGCTAAAACCAGGCGATGACGAAAGGCGCAAGACATTCTGTGAGTGGTATACCAGGAAATGTTAAAATTTTGCAGATTTCTTTCGAACAATCATCTGGACTGATGGAAGCATGGTCACTAATCATGGTAGCTTCGATAGAAAAAATACACATTATTGTTCACGAGAAAATTAACATTTATACATTACAGCGAGACACCAACACCGTTTCGGCTTTGATATGTGGGTTGCAATATTTGGTACACGAATTATTGTTCCTTCTATTTACCATGAAACACAGACTTCCGAACGTTATAGAAATTCGCTTGAGAATCATCTTGAGGAAGCTCTGGATGATTTACCGATTGCGGAAGTTCAGAACTGTTGGTTTCAACAAGATGGCGCTCCGGTACATAATTCCAGAGAAGTCCGTGCGTTTTTATCCCTTGGCCAGCGCGGTAGCATTCAATAGAATAACCCCAGAAATGCTTAGCAATGTCTTAGAAGCAACTGTGAGAAGAGGATATCTTTGTTCAAAAAATAATGGTCATCATTTTGATCATTTGTTATTAATGTCTCTGTAGGTATTGTCAAAGTTAAGTTGTTAAAGTAACTCGTGTAAGAATTCATCAAGAATTTTGAACGCTGCATTGATCGAATGATGTAGTGAAATATTTTTTATTCACTTTTCAGTATTGAATAACTAATCCACCGAGTTTGACACTAAATGATCAGAAATAAGTGGAACTGATGGCTTTTTTCCTTTGGAAGTTCGAAAAAACATTGATGATGGATAGAAATAGGTCGAAACACATTCGAATCACCTTGTATAGTACATGGTTGAATTTAGAATAAAAAAACATCTCAGAATCTGTGAAAATATTATCAGAACCGTATTTAAAAAACAAAAGTTGATGATGGTTCCTCGAATACGAAACGTCGCAATAAAAAATCGGTATCACCACGTTAAACCTCATCAAAAGTTGCTATGAAAAAGTATTTTCAGTTTTTCTTTATCTCTGATAATAACGGAGAAAAAAAAAAATAGAAATTACAAAATTTCACTTCTTTCGATATAACTCAAAAACTAAAAATAATTTTCAAAATTTTCGAAGGCTCTTGATATGAGCCTCCGAATGCGCAACTTTTTCCCCATTTAAGCGACTTCGTATCTTCTACCGTTTCCGAGATCCCCATGCTGTTCAACCTTATCTTGGACAGACTGTATAAGTGGTATAATGCACTTGGTACATAAATAAGTATACCACTATATCATTTCATTATTTATACGACCAGTTCATATTTGACAGATTCATACATTGATGTTATAAATTATCCTCTTGCAAATGGGCCACATGGTATATGGTCGAATGGTCGATTAAAACTCATAATTATGTTGTATTCGGAAAGATATGAAAATGAAAATGATTTTCACTTCTTTCCTATTTTATTCAGGAATGTAAGTCTGAGTATATGGAGCTTAGGAAGCAATGCCAACAGTTTGCTGTGGATTTATTGCATCAGTCGAGGAGTTCACAAGAGCTGGCTATCATTTTGAACCACGATCCAGATAATCCCCCGTATGAGGAGGGAGAACCCATGAAATTGGCTAGACTGGAGTTAGCAATTCAATATAAACAGAAAAAAGTTAGTATAATACCACGTGATAAACCTCAGTAACGAACATTGTTGTCTTCAACATATAGGATTTAGGTACAAAGTCGGTTGAATTCGAAGAAGTTATTAATTTTTTTCTTTTTGCAAATCCAGAGTAAAGGTAGATACCTATTATAGATTTTGTTAAACTTTTCAACGGCGATTCTTATTCTATGAAGAAATTATTTTCAAATTTCTGGTGTTCTCTTGGAAAATGTGTACAAATCTGAAAAATAGCTGAAATACCCCCATACAGAATTTTAATGGCAAATTCTACTATTTTTGTTCTCTCAATTCACCATGTATCAAAATCTGAGTAAATAGTTGATATAATCGGTAGAGTAGTCATTCAAAATGGAGGTACACATCAAATAGGTACTGAGATCTGAAGTTTCTTCGTTGTAGGTCATCCAAAACTTAATGAAATTGAAGTTGAAAAACGTTTTATTATGATCCATATATTTTTTCCTGATAACATAATAGTTATTTATGTAATAAGGATCATAAAGACGATCATTATGGTACAAGTCGTGGATGTTATGATAACACGGCGTGTGCCATAATGATTGTTTATGATTCGTATTACATACAAAATTTTATCTGATGGCATTTATATCAATACATTTTCGAAAAAACTGCATTTTCGACATGTCACAATGACAACTATTTTTAAAGGAGTAAGTATTGTGTAGTTTCAAATATTAGTAGGTGAGTGACCTGTGCTTTGCCATTATATTAATATTACAAATTGTAGTAATTGTTCTTTTACCATTTATAATAAATAGTTTTGTACATAGTTATGCATTTTGAATAAACTTTTTCGATCAAACCATTACATGTTTTCCTTATAGAGCTTCCTTATGTCATCAAAATTGAGTGACATAACGTTGTCATTATGACATGCCATCAGATAAACTATATTGTAACTGATTAGAGGAAATATTCTCCATACTCTAACAGTGTCTATGAAGTAACTTCAAATTTTCATTCCATTTCGTCAAATCAATAAAAACTGATTGAAAAAATGTTTGGATATTCTCAAACGCAAACGGCATAGATATTAATAGCAATAGGTACCACAGTTTTTCTAGAACCCATTATGGAATAACAGTAGTCTTTGGAAATGTATCCTTTCACATTTTTCCACATTTCCGAGGAGAGCTCGTTGAGTAATTATATTATCGAATTTTTGTTTTTGAAAATCGGTAAACGGATTCCAAATTAGGAGGGTCAATTCGAAGTTGAAATCGCACACACTGTATATTTAATATAACAAAGTTCATGAAAACTTTTTCAGTTTGTTGCACATCCAAACATTCAACAGTTACTCGCAGCAATATGGTACGAAGGAGTGCCAGGCTTTAGAAGAAAATCCTCCTGTCAAAAACTGTGGATAATCATCAAGGTAGCGTTGCTGTTTCCCCTATATTGTCTGCTGTACATGTTCGCACCTGAATGCAGAATCGGGAAACTCATGCGAAAACCCTTCATGAAATTCCTGATCCACGCATCATCATACCTCTTTTTTCTATGTAAGGAACATATTCAACTTCTTAAAACCTACCATATAAAACAATAAAATGGTGTGTAATATTCAGGGTACCTCAAGGTACAATTTTGAGGCTACTACATTACGTGATTTATGAACTGGGAGGTTGAAGCTTTAATTTCTAGTGTTGCTGATTTTGGTCTCCCTCAGAGCTGACGATTTGATTTGGGAGTATTTCGGGACAGATTCCATGAGAGCATATTTGCTAGAGAAGTACGAAAAACAGCGTGGAAACGTGCCTACGATATTAGAGTGGGTGGTTCTGATATACGTGATTGGTAAGACCAACATTTTATTATTGTTGTGCGGTAAACGTGATATCTTTCAGGATTTATTTATGAGGAAACTAAAGAGATTTTTGTGGAAGGAATCGAATCGTATCTGAGGAATCTATGGAACTTCATCGATTTCACGAGGAACGTACTGTATACGGCAGTTTTTTTCCTCAGAGTGGCTTCTTATTTTCAACAAATTGCTGAAATTCGGAGAGATCCTTCAACAGCTTACATTCGAAGAGAAAAGTGGTACGCGTTTGATCCACAGTTGATAGCCGAAGGTCTTTTTGCTGCGGCAAATATTTTCAGGTGAACATATGTTTTTAGTGTTTTTGAATAGTTATTTCTAGCTACCTCCGATGTTTTCAGTGCTCTCAAACTAGTTCATCTCTTCTCCATAAATCCTCATTTGGGGCCACTACAAATTTCTTTAGGACGCATGGTCATTGACATTGTGAAATTTTTCTTCATTTATTCGTTAGTTCTGTTTGCTTTTGCATGCGGTGAGACGACAAGAATGCTGCAAAGACAGATTTCTTAAACTTGTTTTTGCAGGACTGAACCAGCTCCTGTGGTATTTTTCTGATTTGGAGAGGCAGAGATGTTATCATTTGGGCAATGGAGAACCAGACTTCACTGGTACCGGGGATTCTTGTATGAAATGGAGAAGATTTGCTGAGTAAATAAAACAGAACACTTAAATTATTTAAATTTAATATTCATTTAATTTCAACTCAATCCCCATAAGAAATAGACTGGATCAAATATAAGTTGAATGAAATTCTATGAACGCATATGAGAAGTGAAAGGAATGCTTGAGCTCTCAAGATAAGTTGAAAATAAATATTAAATATTTTTATGAACAGACCATCAACTGCTGAACGAATGATTCGTAGCAAGCAAATTTTTGCACCAAATTGAACTCTGGAGATTCTAATTATTGTAGAATCGATCAACAACACATCAATAAAACAAATCGCTGGTAATGGCACTGCAATGAAGGATGTTTCGGAGTGGAAATACAAAACCTCAAATATTTCAAAAAAAGCATTTTTCATAATAATTGAAGTGAAAAGAGAAAACTGTGGAACTTTTTCGATCTATAAGTTTGAGCATTATAATAATATGAATTAGAAAATACCCTCATTTTCTATCATGGTAAATTCACCATATTTCTCCATCAGCTATCTAGTACTCGTTTACCTGATAGACAGGAAAAAAATGCATTCTAATATGTTTAATTATCGCGAGAATATTCAATGTGGAAATTTCAGTGCAAAAATGGGCAAAAATTGACACCGTATTTCATAACATGGAAAAGAAGATTCAAACTTCCATATCTCCTCTACGCTTTTGTCTCCACAATTTTATTATGAAACACTTTTCGTTGAGCACATCAATATGATAATCATAGTCTACGAATACTACCGAAATATTATATGTTTACATAGTTTTTCAATTAATAAGAAATTTCATCCCAAAATTGGAACAAAAAATTATAAACAAATCGAGTTGGTACTAGACTTCTGATTATATATATAATGCCTTCCGCCAAAAATATATAGGAAGGTGATTCAGAGTTGCAACACTTTAGTAGAACTTGAGAGGAAAGATGATGGGTCTTGTCCCAAATATGTTAATTCAATTCCTTTATGTTTTCAATGGTGCCAATGAAAGTATACCTTGAGCCATTTCAGAGTTTGAATTACATGTGTTTATTTCAATGTAACCCTGTGTAAAGAGGTTGAAGAGAAAGAATTTTTATAATTGCAGCCTATCAATATTGTAGTTTTGTGATTCAGAGACTACACGTATGAGTGTGATATTTTTTGGCTTCACTGGGAATGTTTAATGAATTGGTATTTTCCAGTGTTTTCGAATCGTCCCAATCATTATTTTGGGCCAGTTTCGGTCTAGTAGATCTAGACAGTTTCGAGCTGACTGGTATAAAAACGTATACGAGATTTTGGGGACTGCTGATGTACGGTTCATACAGTGTGATCAACGTTATAGTACTGCTGAATCTACTTATTGCCATGATGTCGAATTCCTATGCTATGATCGATGTGAGGGACTCATGAGGTATAGAAAATAAGTGTTGCATTTACAGTTTCTTTTTAGGAACACTCAGATACCGAGTGGAAATTTGCCAGAACAAAATTATGGATGAGTTATTTTGAGGAAACTGGAACTCTCCCACCTCCGTTCAATATTTTTCCCAAACCCAAAATGCTTTTCAAACTCTTCGGGATCAGAAAAAAAGACAAATTGAGAAGAATGTCCACTAAGGTAAAACATAATATATACATATATGTCTCAGCTATACAGGGGTGGTCGATGGCAGCTTAGACGTTTACGGAGGACGGGACATAGGATCATTCTAGAAAATCGGTAACTCCAGTAATTGCTCTTGATTTATCGATCTAAAATATTTTCCACAATGCAGCGTTGCCGCTTATACCAGAAAGTAGCAGCACCTTTGTTATTTCAAATGAGACACCCTGTATTTTTGAACTTATCATCACTTTCTGATCATTTCTGTCACATACTTTCCTATACTTATCTCTAACGGTTTCTGAGATATTGAATATTTTGAATATTATTTATCCAAAACATAGCTCGAATTGAATGTTTATTTCTGCGGTATTTGGATTCTTAGGAAGTGGCAATTTTGTGTTCAGTTCATCAAGATCATTTATATTGAATCTGTAGAGAGAAGTTTGTTCTGCGTTATACAGGGTCGTTCATAATTCATGATGCTAGATACAAACAGGGTTGAAAGTGCGTTTTTTCAATGGAATACCCATATATTATAAAATATCCTGGAAGATGACTGAATTCCCTTCGAATTGACACCTGAATAGCAAGAATTCCGAGATAGGAGCAATTTCCTAAAAACATCGAATAATTTTTCTCATATTCATCTAAGGTGGCTATTAAATGTCATTATGAAAATCTGATAATTAATGCATCAGTAATAATACATTGGTGTATTCCTCAACGGAAGTGACTCAAAAAGAATTGAAATGAAGGAAAATAACTATTCAAACGAAATTCTGATGAAATTGTTTATTCTTCATGGAAAATTCCAAACTGTTCAAAAATGCCAAACATCGAAGAATACCTCGTATCTCATAAAAGGAAACAGTTATGCAAAATCTGATTAGGCCATTGTGAGTTCCACAAAAAGTAGGCCAGGAACGTCCGCAAGCTTTATCTTTAATATCAACCGACAAACCTGGCAGTCTCAACCGAAATGGGATGCAATGTACTGGGTGGACCAAATAGGTCACTTTTGAAGACGAAGTCCTATTCTCCAACTAGATAGAAGGAAACTGATGATGTCGGTGCCTGAGGGTCGATTCTTATGCAAAACTCAATGGAGAAAACTTCTTTCGGAGTTACAAGGTGTTCTTCGAAAATGGGCATTTTTGAAAAGTGGTTACAAATATTTTTTTGGGTGAAAATTGTATATGTTCTCATGAAAATAACTGCGAAGCATTGAGTTTTTGATAACAATCATTCCAGAGGCACTGAAACCGGCCTTCCTAAATCTTGCTCAAGAATTTAACTTGTTTTTCTTGAAGGAAAAGTTCTATTTTCGAACGATCGAGGTATATGATGACTGATTTCAGCGCCTGAGGATCAATTTTCATGACAAACACATTGCTTTGGAATTTTTTTTTATGGACACGAAGAATTTTTGACAAAAAAATTAGTTTCATCCACTTTTCAAAAATTCTCGAGAAACATCTTTTAACTCTGAAACGAAGATATAGATATCAATATGCAGCTTCCACCACTTTCCCTTCAAAAGTGTCCGATTTGGCCTACTCTGTACATACATGAATTCGCAATAAAATTTCAAATCGAAAGGAAATAATGTGTATCCAACAATCAGCTGATTCCGTTGCTCTTTGAGTCTCACTCTTATGTTGCCAATTTCTCTCTCACTTGTTGAGAATACGGCCTCTGCTGACTAATCCCTCCAGTGACTCTATAGGCCTCTGGACTGTTTTTCGTTTCAGAGAAGAAATAGGGAAGAAAAGGAACGAGACTACAAATACACAGCTGTAATGCGAGCTCTAGTATGGAGATACGTATCAGCCAAGCACAGAAAATGTGAAGAAGCTCCAGTTACCGAAGATGATGTCAACGAACTGAAAAGCGATATATCGTCCTTCAGATACGAAATACTAGAAGTCTTGGGTAAAAATGGAATGGATATTTCTTCTGCTGAGAAGAAAGAAAGAGGTAAGAACACGTACAGATTGAAAAGGAATATTCACAGATAAATTATGAACATGAGAAAATGGATCTATGTGATGAAAATATCAATTCTTTCTCGGTTTATTCAACAGAAAACAACATTTTCCTGGCTACACGCCACCACGAACATTGAATTATATCTATTGAACATACACGACATCAGAGATTTAAATCTTCAAAATATCATTCAGAATGATCAACAGAAAACAACTACTTTCATGGCTATTTGCCACGCCGAACATTGGATTATATCTGTTGGACATCCAAAAGGAGAGCATCAAAAATAAAAATCCTCTGAAATTGAGAATTGACAATCTCTCAAATCTGATAAATATTATGATGTATTATGATATAAAAATATAACTTACTAATATATTCAGTATTGAAATGAAAATTGAAATCTGTAGGAGAAATATACTTATATAAACTCTGAACTTGATGAGGTTGGCGAGCTTCAAAAAAAAATCATTCGTATCAGGTATATGTGAATTTTATCTCTCACATACAGGTTATATGACTTTATTCGAATCAATGCAGAATTTCTTTCCACGTCCTGTATGATGAATATCGATTTGTCAAATAGCCAAAAATTATTTCGAATAATGATCTCTTTATTTAGTACCTGACAACACCTTGTATACACATATTCATTCATATACATATAGTATTCTTGTAGCGGTGCTTGGTAGGAAGATGAAAATCTGGGAGAGAAGATTGATGAAAGACTTCAAAGTTGCACCAATAGCCTCGGAAGACAATGATGCTCTTTTTGCTCCAGCTCCAGAAAATGAAGAAGCCTTAGCTAGGTAATACACACCAAAATATGAAATAAGATCCACTCAAAATTCCATTGAAGAATATCGTCGGCTCACTAACAAAACCTCCTAAGTCCGAATTCTAGGGAATTTAGGTTTGAACATTTTCACCATCTACGAAATTCAGCGCACCCATCACCAAATCATCGTGAGTATATGTTTTTGATAGCAACATCTCTTAGATATAATGTAAACCTCCTAACTCTACTCTGAGAGATTTTGAACTCAAAACTCGTAAGTCTGCAAGAGAGGATAGAGTTAAGTTGTGCTTGTTGAGACAGTATAAATCTCTATTGTTTGATCCATTATTTGAACTGAAATCCATTTCAGACACCAAAGTAAGTTTATGATGAACTATTTGGTCAATCTTCTCTAATATTTCTGCAGTGATGCGAAGGACAATCTTGTTTTTATTCTTCATGTGAACAGACTTACGAGGTTCTGATCTGTATGTTATCTATCTAGTAGAGGACTTAAGAGCTTTTGAGAAGATGTTATGGATATTTTCATCATTTTATTCTGTACATTCCAAATGACGACATTGATTGAAATATTTCGGTTCATCATTGTTGAACCCATATTTCTCATTGTTATCAAAACTGCCGCTGAATTGCTACATGCACTGTGAAGCAAGGCCAAGTAATTGATCAAAACCAATTCAGTCTGAATAATGTTCAATTTATTTTTGTGAATACTTTGTATGTCGTTTATTTGAACATTGAGAATATAAATCGTCCCAGAAAGTTGATCTCATTCATCAAGCAGGTACCTTTACAAAGGAGGAATAGCCTCAAAAAATGAAATTGATTCGATCGGAGTACCTAGTGGAAAACGTTTTTCCCCTCCTGAACAATTAGCTCTGAAAGACTCACGAGGTTTTGACAGTAAGCCGACGATATGTAGTTTCAAAAAAAAGTTACGACAATATTAATTTCAGAAATTTGCGTTGTTTATGTTTTTGGAATAGATCAAAGAAAGGAATCGAGTACAGTTTACCAGTTCTCACCATTAGTTGAGCTATAAACCTGCATTTTAGAATAGTTATTTACCTAACAAGTGTGGAAAGTAGTACTATTCCGCACGCGATGGCAGTTGCACGAACGACGCGGAGCAGAGTTCTGGCAAGTCGTCAAGGGCGGAAAAAAAATTTCCGCAAGAGTTAGAAACACATTATTTTCCTGCGAGTGTTTTTGTCCATATTTATAAAAAAAAGGTTTCTAATAAACAATAATTTATAATGAAGCTACAAAATGACACATAAGACATATAATAGTTACATGGATTATTTAGTTTAGTTAGACTGAATATCCATATTTCCAACAATACAAAAATCGTGCGAAAAAGTACCTTTTCAGCACTAGTGCGGTAAACTATAATTTTTCTACACGATATTTTCATGAACTGAAAAAAAAACTGAAATAGATTTTTTTCATCGATATTATAGAGGATACCTATTTGAAGAACATTTAAATAACAATAACAAGAACATTAACGATGGTAAATATTAAAATTGAAAATGCAATTTGTGTTTGTTGCATGCTGTAATATAGCAGAAGTCCAAAACATCGTGAATATCATCGTTTCTTATTTGAATCTGATTGGTTAGTGTTTGCATCAGTTATTTCCATTTAGAATTGGAATTACGTACACGGAAAAATGATGCTTGAAATGCTTATTTCTTGACTGCCACTACCACAGTTAAAAGAATATACAATATATTCTTTTAACTGTGCCACTACTGTCAGTTTATAGCGACGACTGTTGCTATGGGTACGTTCTGGTGCCAACAGTTATCACCACATGTCTCCTGGTATTTCCTTCGCAATCGTGAGAAAAATAAAAATAATGCGGAAAAGTAGAATCGTATGGAAAACTAGAATCGTACGAAAAAGTACAACTTTCCAAACGAAAAATCATGCAGAAAAAAAGTTACTTTTCCGCACGCTCGTAGGAAAAGTGAATATTGTTTTAGTGAACATTTCACAAAAACAGCAAACAGCTTTATTAGATTGAGTCGTTCTCGACATGTATAAACTTGAAATACATATTATATGCCCTGGAAAGTGAACCATTATTTTGCAAATTTTGAAAACGATCGTCAAATGTGGATTTTACAAGGGTGAAAGTGAATCACACTCAACAGATGTACTGCCACGACTAGGTTCGAACATTTGAATGTTTTTTTACAGGTTCCGAAGGGTAGCCAAACTTGCAATACAAGACTCTGGAATAGCCAAATGGAAACAAGTTGTCAGAGGTGCACAGATAGCGTGAGTCCAAAAAAAGTGATCTACATTTCTCTTTTTCTACTAATTATGGCATTTCCTAACGTTCTCTGTGTTTTTACTTCATAGATCGCAAATTGGTCGGTGTCATACTCGAGATTCCGTCAAAAAACAGAAGAACCTACAGAGAGCCATGGATGAGGCTAAAAGGTTAGCATCTAGAAGTCCTGATGTTTCAACTGTGTCTTCTCCTATAATACTGCCTGATTTGACAGGTGCAGACATTGTCGACTTAGTCAGGGGAGACTTCGAAGGTAACCATGTGTTTCAAAATTAGCGCACAATACTTTGGCAGTAGAGTAGATGGCCCCAAAGGGATCTATACAGGGTGATTCACGGTGGATGACACACTAGACGTTTCTGGAGAACGCAACTCAGGATTATTCTGAGAAGTTGATGCCTTGGATAATTAATTGTGTTCTATCGACCGTTGCGACGTTGCCGCTTATATTGAAAAGTAGCAACAACTTCGATTTTTTCAATGGAACATCCTGTATATCATTCCATTGTCAGATTCTCCCTGAAGAGCTGATTCCATCGATCCATCACACTTGGGGTCTAGCGGGAATGATAACAAAGATATAGGGTGTGAAAAATCGATATTTTTCAACTAAGAATTTTTTGTGTCGAAACTATTCATAGTTGATCAAAACGGCTTTCATATTTCTATCTTAACTTTTCATGTACTATCAATTGATATTTAATTGAAATAGATACAGGGTGATCAAAAATCTTAATTCTGAACCACCCTGTATTTATTTCAATTAAATTTTAATTGATAGTACATGGAAAGTTGAGATAGGGACATGAGAATTGTTTTGATCAATCATGAATAGTTTCGACACAAACAATTCTTAAAGGTAAAAAAAATGGAGTTTTCACACCCTCTATATCTTTGTTATCATTCCCGCTAGACCCCAAGTGTGACACATCGATGGAATCAGCTCTTCACAAAGAATCTGAAAATGGAATGATATGAACAATATACAGGGTGTTCTATTGAAAAAATCAAAGTTGTTGATACTTTCCATTATAAGCGGCAACGTCGCAACGCTGAGAATATTTAAGGTCGATAGAACACAACTAATTATCCAAGGCATCAACTTTTCAGAATAATCCTGAGTTGCGTTCTCCAGAAACGTCTAATGAGTCATCCACCGTGAATCACCCTGTTTACAGTTTCTTGGAGAGGGTATACCCTCATGAAGATGATTTTTCAATTTTTCATCATAGTTTCTGAAACAATTTGAGAGAAAATATTGTAATTTTGTATGCGACATTCAAAATTCATCTTCAGGGGTGTATCAGACAGTTCCGGATCAGTAAACATTTTTGCTAGCAGTTAATTTTGCAATATGTCACCACATAAAAAATTGAAGATTGTGATATCATCGCATGCAAAAAGTAGTGGTGATATGTTATATTTTATGTTCGATTTGATTTTCTAGAACTGAACATTTTATCGAAGACATACAAGAATAAATAGGTAGGTAATTTTTTTTTCGCTTGGAGCGCACGAAAGGGAATCCTTTTTTGACGAAATTTCGCAATGTTCAATTCCAATAATATCGTTTGCATTCTTAAATTGAGCATAAAAAGCGAATTGGATGTAAAAACTTCCATTATTTTTTCTTAAATTGTTTTGAACATAATGAAATAACAAACATATTTAGGAAATCCTCTATGAGAGGCAGAAATTTCGTTAGGAACAATTTTTTTCAACAACATGCACGTTCTTCCGAACTGTTTTTCTTATTTTTGGTTGTTGAATCTTCAGTACTTTGAACGCTAACTATCAAGCATTAATTTGTATTTCTTAAAGTAAGTAAAGGTACCTATCAATATTGTCACAACAAAATAGATGGACGAAATAAATAGAGATGGTTAGCCCATCCATATCTATATACAGGGTGATTCAAAAGTAAGCGGCATCCTTTCAGAGGCGTATTCCTTGCATGAAAATAAGGCAAAAAGTTCCTATTGATAAGGATCCGAAAATGCTTCCTAAGGGAGCTACGGCCCTTTGAATAGGACACCTCAAAGACGGTTTTTTCTCTATAACTTTAAAATCCTTCACAACAAATTTTTTAAAATTGGTGTACGGCATAAACATTCGATGGTAAATAGGACTCCGTATTCGAAATAATTTCCAAACGAAATCACAGTAACCTGAATATCCGGAGAAGAAGGGATATTTTTACACTTACCCTCTCCCGCATGTGACGCCCCTGAATGAAATTCTGAAATTTTGAATACGGAGTCCTATTTACCATCGAATGTTTATGCCGTACACCAATTTTTAAAAATTTGTTGTGAAGGATTTTAAAGTTATAGAGAAAAAACCGTCTTTGAGGTGTCCTATTCAAAGGGCCGTAGCTCCCTTAGGAAGCATTTTCGGATCCTTATCAATAGGAACTTTTTGCCTTATTTTCAAGCAAGGAATACGCCTCTGAAAGGATGCCGCTTACTTTTGAATCACCCTGTATAAGGGGTAATGCTTGGCTTAATATTTTGCGAGAGGTATAATATTCAAATAGGCACTAATAGTTCAGGGGTATAACTGAAAGTATGAGATTATATTCAAACATAACAATATTTATTGAAGCATGCATGAAACATTATGGGTAGCAATGAAAAATATGAAACAACAATGAATATAAAGACAGAATAACAACTTACATTATAACGACCATAACGACGAGCTCTTGTCAAGTCAAGAGTAGCCCCAGACCAGACTAACTTCGGAACCCTCACATCCCATATTTATATACATCATTTTATTAGATATGCAAAAAAAATCAGTTTGATTTCAGAAGGTGTGGTCCAAAAAGGACGATTCAATTCCATGCAGAATGGTAGTTTACCTAACAAGTGCGGAAAATGATGCTTTCCCGCACGCGATTGCAGCTGGCCGTACGACGCTTAGCGAAGTATATATATACTCCCCAAAAACTTTACCAATCTACTTTACCGCACCAGTGCGGAAAAAACTAAAGTTACTCTTTCAACACAGAAATGAGTGCGAAAATGGACTTTTCCGCACTCTAGTAGAAAAAACATCAATAGTTTTTCAAAATAGTATGTCGTCATTTGTATTTCGTAAATCAGTTATTCTTTGAATTTGTGAGTAAATGGAGTATGTATAAGTAATAGGTGAATACATTTCATGACGCTCAGGCGTCTTGTGCTCACAAGATAATGACTAGTTGTGAGGTGAATCATTCTGTTATAGAATTGAGGCTTTCTGAATTCGGCCCATTTTTCTAAACTTTTCGGCATTTTAATGTTCGATGCGCACTTGTAAATCGAAAAAGGACCTGAATATGTTGATGAAATTAAACATTTCAGGTAATGTAGTTAACCTTGAAGAGGCACCATCAGAGCCTACCGATATCCAGGTTTCCAAGAAACGGGATACCTCTCTACCGAAACAAGAAACGCCAGATCTGATAACCCTAGGAAGTGCCAAAAACTCCCCAGAAAAATCGACCACTGGCCAAGTTTTGGATAGCATTAAGGAAGCAACTACTGCCGAAGAAATATCTTCTTCCTCAATGATCGCCAGTCACCTTCCAGCTGAGAAATTAGATAGTCCAAGCAGATCCTCTGGACATTCTGTGGACTCGTATATCCATCCCAGCAGAAGACTTACCGAGTTGGACTTCGATAACAGTTCTGAAGATGAAACAGATAAAAAGCTTGAGGAAAAAGTTCCTGGAATGACTCTCAAATCTCCACAGAGAGTACAATTCGCATCTCACGATAATCTAGAACGTGGTAAGGGAAATATTCCAGCAGTATCCGAGAGAGTGGGGATATTGAAGGGTCCTGGAACTGGTCATGAAAGTTTCCTACCTAAGATAAAGTCTGAACTGGTATGTGTGGAAAAGACTGAGGTAGTTCAAACGGAAGAGGATAAAAAGAAAAACGTGGTGATAGAAAAGATGCCTGACAAATTGAAGCCAGAAGTAGTTCCAAAAGCAGCTTCATCTTCTTCACAGGTATTTCCTGAAGATTCGATGTATACCATTATTTGATTTCTTTTATTTGCTAGCTTCAACCAATACCACCCACCACGACAGCAGCTACTACTCCCATGTCTCAAAGAAATATACAGCGCGTGCACGTCAGAAAGGTTCAGCCTAAATATGGGTGGCTATAATTCACTTATGTATATTATTGTTCTTAATTTTCGGGATTTACTCTCCTCCTTTCTTCCAAATGTCACAATGAAATTTTAATCTCAGCGATATTTTGAGGCGAATCATCTGTTCTTCTTCGTTTCTACAAGATTATTAAAATAATACTTATATTGTCATTTATAGAAATGGGGAGAAAATTCCAAAAATTCAGATAAATAAAAAATACTCCACCTCCCCGATTAACCTACAGACAGTATCTGTTTTGTTGAATTTGGAATTATATGGAGCATACTTATTACACTGTAATTTTGTATTAGGTTTTTATAGGAGTTTGTAATTTGTTATATCATAATTATACTCTCGCCAAGTCGCCAATTCATATATAATATGCAAAGCACCTTATTTTTGAAGCTGGAATTAAAAGAATGATATAATTCTTCGAATGTTATTATTATGTATAAGGACTATAACATATTTATAAATTTAGTTTATCCACGATTGTTGCATAAAATATTCATAATACATATATACCTCCTCAACCAAAACGGTAGCTATTTTTCACACCAGTGAATAACCATAATTCACTGGTCTAGAGTTCCTAGGGAACGAGATATGACATATAAGAAACTTTAGACCAGTGAATAATGGTTATTCACCGTTATTATTCACTGGTGTGAAAAATGGCTATCGTTTTGCTTGAGGAAGTACAACAGTTGTGGATAAATAATCAATATTACAGGTATCTTCCATTTTTATTTGTATTAATGTCAAATGACTTATGATAAAACAGTTGTTAATATTTATTTGACCGACTAGTGTATTATATAATGAGGGCGATTAATGATCGAGATATTTTAACGTGCGAGCGCAGCGAGCGCGTTAATGTTCGAGATCATTAATCGCCTTTTAATATACAAGTTGGTTACAGATTTTTTCCGTCGACTATATTTCTCATTTCTCCTGCAATGAAGAAAACTTGGTTCGCGAATTCATCATTCATCCGGAAACTGCTAAGAATCACCCAGTAGCGTTGTTACTGACATTAGTGACATTTGACATTTGTCGAAATGATCAACATAGAAAATAAATTCCTTGTGTTAGAAAACAGGGACAAAAATCGTGTCAGAAACTTGGAAAGGCGAACCTGTTAACGGAAAATCTTCGATGAAATCCATATTTTCGATTTAAATACAGATTCCGTAAGTTATAGCATTAAAATAAATGCACGTCGTGTATGTTTGGTTGCCTATAAAACAATCGTGCATTAATAGACAAAAAGTTCATTAATAGGGGTCATTAATGAACGATTTCATATACATTAAACTTTGTCGTTAATACGAGGTCGACGGAAAAAATTATTTTATATATCAACGACAATATAGTAGTCGTGGACAAAGTATAGTATCCTACTCGCATACAATGAGCCAATATTCACGAAGGAGTGGCATAATTAATCTGAGTTCATTATATATGCTTGTTGAATAATATACTATTTAGGATGTGATGGTAATTTTCGATGACTTAGAAACAAATATTTCTATTTCCACATGATGATTTTTTCATATTTTTCAAATGAAATTCTTTTCGTGAGTTTGGATTGCCTTTTATTCAATTATATGCTCATTGAAGGGTGAGAGATAGTGATGGCATAATCAAGGTCAATGGTTGACACCCTCGAAAACGACTAAAACGAGCTATCGGAGAACACGAAACAATCTGAAAAAAATATCAAAGAAGTGGCACATAGGGATGAGTATAGTAAATTTCATTAGAAACATTGTAATTAGTTAAAGAATCCAAGCAAATATGATTGACATCAGTGGCGTATTATTCTTGAAGGTATTTATGAAATTCGTCCATTGCCAAAATGAGCATCCTTCTGTATCATCAAGTGAAAAGTGATCGGAATGTTCCTATATTATTAACACACAGGTTTACTATTTACTATACCTCTACTATCGAAAACATATCAAATTTTTACTTAGCCTATTTGGACGTTTCGGAAACAAATGTGTTCCCGTTTTCAACATAAAAAATGAAAAATTTTCTTCTCGAATTCGATGAAAATGGTAAATTCAAATAAAAATAATGCAAACATTTCAGAAATGTCAATATTGAAATGAGATTAATGAGAAGAGACAATTCGAGGAAAATGATATTTTCATTTTTTCAATGTGTAGGGGGCGAAAATAGTATATTGTTTAACGAGCACGCGGAATGATAGTGATTTCCTACGAGAATGAAAGTTTGGAGCATGAGCCATAGGCGAATGCTGCAATCATTCGAGTTCGAAATTAGTATTCCGTGCAAGTTATACACTATAATTTTTCTACGGCTATAATAGATAACAGCGGTGATTTCTTCGTCTTGTAGCCATCTCTGACTTCCTGTCAAGTAATGCTCATCTATCAGACGGAGCTGTCATTGCTTGAAATTTGATATTCCATGAGCGATGAGTTTTTTTTTAAATAATAATAACACAATGGAGTCATTGCAATATCATCAGATATACGTAAATAAAATTGATGATATAAAAAGTACCTCATTAAATTCGTATATCGAACACATCAGTAAAACAAGAGCAAGCTTGTGTTATATAGCCGTAGAAAAAATATATTGTGCCCCAGGGTCGCCAAGTGGTCTTAATCCGGCCCAGCAGTGTATACATTCAACTGCCAGAAAAGACTATCCACAAAAGAAAGACTCAACAAATTGTCCCTGGTCTGAATTCATGGCCACTCCATTATGGAAGGTAATGATAAACGGCAGATTCCCTTGCAAGGGAGGGGCCGTCCGTGAAAGTGGTTTCATTGAACCAAAAAAAATTGTCATTGGCATCTCATCAAACTCATAATGGACACTTGGACTGCAAGAAACGTTTCAGACTCCTGGCAGAATCTACCAGAATTGGCTGGCTCCTATATCCTTCTACGAATTTCCCCAAACATAAACAATGGTTAGGCTACCAGCACTGATGCACTACACGCTCTCTAACAGTCCTTATTACTTACAGGTCACCGTCGTCAGATTTACATTAAATTACTTCACTGTCTTTAGAGACCTAAATTAATTTTTGCAACACTTCTAACACTTTTTTTATGTAAATAATGAGTGTATGCGTTATTCGAAATTGTTGAATTTCGGAGCTCATTTCAAACGTATACCTACCGTCTGGCCACCATTTGGCGATACGTTGAAGAAATGGTGACGTCAGCTCTAATGCTGTTTCGTTATTGGTCAGATAATCTATTCCATTCCCACTCACGAAGCAAGGTTGGCAAGTCACCAATTATAATAAAGTTATCAAAAAGATTTAAGAGTCCTGCCGTCGAATAAAACATAATTGAAGGAACCCATGATATTATAGTTCATTCTTGACTTTTTCGAGCAACCACCAAGTCCGAATATTCCTTATTCTCCATTTCAAAATATCATGTGAATGTTGGAGACTTGGCAACATTGTGCTGAATGCTGACAAGGGATGAGACGACGCCCACAAGTCGTGCGCGCCGTGTTGTCACGTTCGCCGCTTCAAATGTTCTCTAGTGTGAATTACTATAATTACTATTCACGCAAATTATATTATTATATACACAATAAGCCACAAATCATGAGGGAACATTTTGAGACAATTGATTTTGTTTTGCTAAATAGGAATATAACCAATACATAATTGAGAATTCAATAACTGATATTTCTGAAGTTCCCAATCGTATTTCAATACATGACAATTATTGTGCTATGCAATGCCCCTACCACCGAACATAAACGTTTATGTTCGGTGCCCTTACTTACGAAATCGTGACGTCAGTTTTTAATAGCGGTAAATTTCTATCCGTTTGAAAATTACCGTGGCATTATATTGATGATTTTAGCTCCTAAGAATCGACCGGAAAATTCTGAATAAATATGAAATTGAGAGGTATTCGAGTGATGATTATATTTAAGAAATAAAGAGAATAGTCCGCACTCGCCTATTATCATATAAAAAAAAAAACGAGAAGCTCAAAGTCGGTCGACCACACTTCATATATAATACAACATCAATTTTGGCCGACTTTGAGCTTCTCGTTTATAACTACGAAATAGCTCAAAGTGGAATGACATGTTATTAAAATTCAAAAATTTCAGTTATTTCCACATAATTTCGGGAGAAAAACAACTAATTCTTTCCTGGCTAATGGCACGTACGCAGAACATGAATTATATCCTCCCGAAATCTATGCATCGACTCGTATAAACGAATAGGTACTGATACAAGTGATTCTTTCCCGAATGCCTATTGATTTCTATTTAGCCAGGCCACGCTAGACACCTATACAGACCGGTTTCGAGGGCTATGACTCTCATCAGTGCAGGGCAGTCTCCAGCCAGCAATCCTAAGGCCGCCGACTGAGCTTAGCCTATAGCCGATCGATCTGTTCATTTTATGAACATTATGTGGAAATGGCTTTATGACTTTAAGCTTTTTGTATTCACTTCTCGTTTATCTTTTGAAATTACTTTGGACCACTTTGAGATATGGAGGATTTCCATGATGAATTATCATAATTATGCCAAGATTTGGACTGTTGAATGATACAGAGTGTGAGAGTGCCATGTCTGTCTTGAAGATAATGAAACAGCAGAACATATACTTTATGCCTGCCCCCGGCGACCCGAACAGGTTTCCGCTGTTTGGTCAGGTTTCATTCTTGGTCTCGGGCCTGAAAGATCATTCACCAAGTAAACAAATCGGCATCATTAAGAAGCTGAATCAACTTGGTGAGTGATCCACATCAGTATACCTTACGAGTTGCAATAGAGGACCTATTAGTCCAAGAGCCAGCTGCAAATTTCAACCGTCATGATGTGATAACGAAATATACCGGGTGTCCCAGTATACCTGTTCCAATAGATTATCTCAGTCATTTCGAAAGATGAAAATTTGAGAATTACATGATCTACTAGTTCTACTACAATTCTAATAATTTGAAATTATTATTGAAGTCAAAATCAAGATTACAAAAATTAGCCTACTGCAATTCGTTCAATATTTGTCGGTTTCTCCATCAAATCAAATTTGAAATACGAAGTGTGATACATCGTTGGAACGGTAATTTTTAGTAGAAATAAAAAATTGCGAAAAATATACAGGGTGCTATTTGTAATAAAAAGTTAGAGTCAATTTTTATTTTTCACAGTTGAAGCTTCCTTGAACGAATTGGAGATCATGAAATTTTCGAATTTTTATTTTTAGAAATGGCTGAGATAATTCATTGGAACAGGTATACTGGGGCACTCGGTATATGTTTCAAAAGCATGTAAAAACATTGTAGTTCATCGAACGGCACCTGTGTCATGCACTACCCTGAGCAAAATGATTGAAGAAGTGCACTTTCCTGTGCGAAAATATGCACTCGTTTTCGCAATTTGATAAGGAAATAATATAATTAATTATATAATTATGTCATCCGATATCAATCGAATTGTAGATTTCAAAAACCCACCTGTGCCACCCCTCAGTCTGAGCCAAATCCACGGCACAGCAATTCATTCGCTGCTATTATTCCGGACATACTTCCGTCATGCGATAACGAGTTGAAACAAGAAGCGAATAAAAGGGGATGATGTCGCGTTTGCGAATATCCAAACGTGCCGTGATACAAACTGATCCAAGTTAGTAAAGTTAGTGCCAGAGCGTCAATCCCAGACAGCACTGCATATTCATAGAATATTCTCTAAATATGCTAAAAAGGAGGAGTGTATATTCCGAATATTCATCGATTATTCCTAGAATATATGCATGCCTCTGGAACATCTAAAAGGAATATTCCAAAGTGAATAGTCGGACATGTTCAGGGAATATTCAGGTATGAATCTTCCAGGAATATTCCCAACTGAATATTCTCTGTTGTATATTCATGAAATATACCCAACTGAATATTCTGTGGGGTATATTCATGAAATATACCCAACTGAATATTCTGTGCGGTATATTCATGAAATATTCTCAACTGAATATTCTGTGGTGTATATTCATGAAATATTCCATGAATATTCCTATGTTTCTCAACACATAAATACCATTTATTATTTCAGAGATGTGAGCATCGAACATCAATTAGATGTAAGGAGATTTTGAAACAAAAAGTGTTTATGATCCGATTTCGAACAATGCTCTCACAAGAACTTGATGTGTATAAAATTATTCAATTCGATTACTGGCCTAGTGGTCAAGGCGTTGCTCTGATAGTCTTGGGGTCAGTTCGATCCCTACTTGAGTCACTTTTTTTCATTTTAGAATATGTTTATTGGAATATTCCAGGAACATTCAACATAGAATATTCTTTTGGGTATATTCTATGATTATCTGAGGAATTCCCATTCGCATATTTAGAGAATATTCCACAGATATTCCGGAATATTCCAGATTATTTCTAGAATATTCCAATATTCCGAAAGGAATATGATAGGGAGATTCATGGAATATCTGGTGCTGTCTGGGATATTTCCCAGAGTATTTAGCCTTCCTCTAAAGATAATATCCGATGGACCAGTGTAAAACTCAACATATGGATTAGAATACTTGTAGTGTGAACACCACATGAGTTTTACACTGGTCCATCGGATATTATCTTTCGACGAGGGCGAAATATTCACGGAAATATTGACGCTCTGCCGCTAACATAGATCAGTTTTAATCGCGGCACGTTTGGATATATATACGCAGAAAGGGCATGTTCTCCTTCCATTTGCTTTTTGTTTCAACTCGTTATCACATGACGGAAATATGTCCGGATTAATATTGGAGCAAATAAATCGCTGTGCAGTGGATTGGCTCAGAATTAGGGGTATTGAGATCTACCATTCAATTGGTATCAGATGGCATAATTCTTCTCTCGTTATCAAATCGCGAAATCGAGTGCCAGTTTTCGCACAGGAAAGTGCTATTTTCAATCACTTTGCTCAGGACAGTGATTGGCATAGGTGCCGTTCGATGAACTACAATGTTTTTACTCCATTGGGACATATATCATCACGTCAACAGTATATACCATATAATTCCATACGTTTCTAGCCGTCTATATTTTAGTTGATTTGTGAAACTCAACTCTGTAGCCAAATATGTATTTTTTGTAACGATATAATAAATGAAATCTATAAAGAAAATTTATTTTGAAAACACTAGCAATTCAGCAAGTACTCACCCATGTAAATTCCAAATGGTTGGTCCAATAAAGAAAACCTAGCCGTTTCCAGTTAATATTTCGCAAAATCACTCATCCGTAAACATTTGAACAAGAACGACGGCCGTTGAATGTTGTAGTTATACACATTTTTAAATTAGAAGCCTTTTTGAGAGAGGTGAATAACGTTTATTGATCAACATAAATTTCTAAAACATCATCACACAACAGTTTAACATATGGTACATTATAGTGGAACTTTCCAAAACTCTACTACCTACTTCACATCTACATTTCGTGTTAGATAAAAATGCCAACGCGACGTCAATTCGGTGTTTTCTTCCGATGCACACATTATCGAAAAAGCACAGCGAATAGCAGCCTACAAGGTTCCCCTCTCAGAAAACTTGGGAAAAACCATAGAATGCTGGGAATACATAACGGGTATGACTAGTATAGGACCCTATAGGTTTTCCGGTGGTTTCCATGGCTTTTCCTTGGTATTTTCTGGGAGGAAATCGAGTTGTTGGATTTAACCGGTTCAGAAAAATCTTCGAAACGGATTTCGCCGTGCACCCTTGGAACAAAAACCCGTACAACGAGTTTTCTAACCGGTTTGTCATGTGAAAAGGCTAAGTACTAAGTACATCTGAAGCTATATTCTCTTAAGCAGTTTAACACTTATAGGTTATTATTTTTAAAGCTATACACACAAAACACCTAGATTAGATTAAAGTAATAAGTATAAAGAACAACCATTTTTCAATATATTTTTGTTTTTTATAAAATATCTTCAATGGTAAAGCAAAAAACATGCATGAGCTCTTTATAAGATTTTTACAGTGAAGTATTTTGAAACTTAGGGCTAGAAGATGACTATTTTCCCAACTCGGCAGCCTGATTGTGAAAGAGGGTGATTGTGAAGCTAGATGATACATCAAATTGAAGTATGTAATATAGGGCAGACAGGCGTATAGTTCTCTAAGAGACTGAAGCGACACGGGCATTGGGTCCGTGCAGTAAAAAAGATCAGGCGCCGAGCTGGATTTTTTTGGTACTTTTTAGACGTCGACGACCATCTTTTTGTGGATGTCCGTGTTGCCTACGACATTGCAAAATTCCTCGAAGGAGATCTTGCCGTCTTCATCCTTGTCGGCAAACAGGATAGTTTTGTCAACAATCTGCTGGAGCTGTGTATCCTTCAAGTTGTTTCCGACCATCATTTTCAGGACCTAAATTTTCAAAATGAAATCACGATTATCGAAATAATTTCAGTGTTCTTTGAGTTTCTCATTTTCATGAAATTGTGAATGTCGATCAATTTTTTTATGAATGCCAATCACAATAATTTTCAGTCAAGAGTTTTAGTTCACGTAAATGTCTATAAGGGCGTGTCCAGATAAGTATTTTACATTTTACATAACAATGAGTGAATGAAGATGCTGCTCATTTTTCGCATCTCACATGTTCAATATTTTAATGTTATATTGTTTCGTAGTACGAAATTCACTGCAGAAATAAGGAACATAATGGAAATGTAGCAGATACAGGGTACATAGGATAGAACATTTTGTTTAAAATGATTTCAATCGTTTTTAAATTTATTACGAAATTTTGCAGTTTATCATTTTTTTCATTTGTGAAATAATTTTTCAACCATTTTTGAACTCCTGCTATTTCTCATTGTATGGATTTTCAAAACGATTGAAGGTACCACAAATTACTCATGAAAGACATACAAGTGAGTATAACCACGTCAAATCTAATAGCCTTTTCCTATGATCCCATTAAAACTTTCTGAAAGGCTTTTAGAATCACTTCCTGATGGATCATAAACAAACAATTTCTCAAGTGAAGACAATGTTATTGTGTAAAGACTTCCCCATGTATTATCTGGAAGTTCTGGGACAGTGTTTTCACACTCCAACTAAAAGCAGGAATCGAGATATGAAGTCGGTTAAGTTGGGCATCTCCCCCTAAATTCGGTCCGAACAAAAACATGCTCTGCAACATGAATGAAACAAATCTTCCATGCTCATAAACATATTTCTGGATATAAACAAGTGACAGCTACGTTTCATCAGTTTCTCATCGCTAGTGCATTACAATACATCTACGTATGTCTGAAATTAGTATGATTTGACCCCCTTTTCAATGCCCATGTTCTGGTCGGAAATTAGGGATGGAATGATAGGATCGCTCGCTCTAGTCGTGAGATATAAAGATTATGAGTTGTGGTCAAATGCTTCATACTTCTGGTCCTGATTAAGAGTGTTTGCATTACTATATGCCAATCAAAGTGATTGGTTGTCAATCCAATCTTTCAAGATTCGATTCGAATATGTTAATCTGATGTTATCAGTTAATGTTTTCATATCATCCACATGTGGATCTTGTCCTAAGGCATATATCGGTCAGACAGGTCGAACGTTCGATCACCGCATTCATGAACATAAGATGAAAACAACTTCAACATACGCGAACCATACGTAACATGAGTACGTTAAAATATTCAAGTGACATTTTTCTGAGAGAATTATAAGAAAAAAAGTATACATAAACTTGTGCCCGAAAATGTTTCATTTTGGCGATACAGGGTGTTGAAATACAGAGAACAAATCATTTTTTGATAAACATTTATAGGAAAAATGTAGTTCATTTTGACGAGACCTACCACATACTTAGTTTTGTAAAGTTCTCAGCAACTTCACTTAGCGCCCTAGGAGCTAAGTAACATGCATCGATATAGAAAATTGTAAATATTTTCAAAACGGTCATCTCCAGCGTTGTAGAGGAAGTGTACCTTTTTTACTTGGAAAAGGTGTGGTAACGTTTTTTCCATGAAAAGTACCAAAGATTTACTGTCAAAATTGTTAGGGCAATAAATAATAACAGCGTACGCAGCGCCCTCTAGATGTTACATGAATATAAATACTAAAATGTGATTTCTCACGCCAAAAAAAATTCCGGGTGCCAAATGTCGTGTTACACCCTGTATATTAGAAGAAAGCCATCGTTTTGATGATAATTTCGAAATTTTGCACGTAGAAAATAAAGGAATGAAACTCAATCATTTGGAATCATTGGAAATCAACAAACGCAAAAATGTTTACATTTTACTTTATTATCAACTAGGCGTCTATAATTCTCCGCTGAATGTAGATATTGTGCCTATATACTTGCCGAAAATGAAGGTTTATTGTACCATTACTTCACCTGAAGAAGCTACTATGTTAGCGAAACATGACGTGTGATTAAGAATTTTGTGGAAATCTAATAGTTTGTGAAGTTTTTACATGATGATTATTTGTAAAAAGTAACGTTAACTCAATCAGATAATGCGGTGAGGGCAAATGTTGGATTTATAGAAATTAATGTATGATTCTAGATTACAACTGGATCGACGAATCTACTTGAACGATAAGATTTCCACGTAATTCTCAAACACACGACAGGTTTCGTTAAAACAGTAGCTTCGTCAGGTGATATACTGGTACAAAATACGAAGCTACTGTGTTAGCGAAACATGTTGTGTGTTTGAGAATTTTGTGGAAATCTTATCGTTTGTGAAGTCTCAACATGCGCCATGGATTTTCATAAAATAACGGCAGAGTCAATTCAAAATACTTGAAGACAGTTATAGAACATAGATTTCTATAACAACGTAATGAAATTTTTGATGGAACAACATCATGAATGGCCATTGACCACTTCTCCTCACAACGTCTTCCGATCGAGACAACCTCATTTGCAAATTAACATAAGTTCTACCATTCTATTCTACGAAAATGTTTGGAACGTGATGAACGCTGACGTTCAGAATGAAAAAATTGAGAGTTAGATCCGAAATACTTACCCACCTTCATTAACGACAGGTTGATGTCACAATATAATGAATATCTCTGTACATTAGTCTCTTATAGAAATAATTTTCAGTGGAAACTATGTTCACAAATGAAAAAACGTACACGATTCAGAATAAACAGCACCGTATCTAATCGTAAACTTGAGATAATCAGAAATAATCATAGATAATCAATCGTCAAAATAACAACCGCCGCGGCATTTGATTATTGCCGAAGTAATCACTCAGCAAAGAATTGATTTTCCGATTTTCACACTTTTACTACTTTTCTTTATTTTCGTTGGCACCGTTTCGATGATTAATTGGTACTTAAAGAATGAAAACCGACTTTTAACGATTAGCTTTCTAGACACGCTTGTGACTAAGAAGTGCTCGACGTGTATTTTTAGGAAAACTTAATAGTCAAGGTAAACGGGAAATTAATGGAAAATTACGCTGTTCCGGCTTTACTGCAAGAATTAAACGTTCAAAAGCTGCAATAAAAACAATCTGCAAACGGAAAGATAAACCAGTCTCGACGCAGAAATTCAGAAAATTGTTCTTCTTGCATATACAGGCTGGACAACGGATTTTACGAGTGAAAAAATATTATGTATATTCTATCGACTATCGAATGAATCATGATAAAAATGAGTGACACCATGCTTAAGAGGGCGCATCAGTCAAAACTGCCATGCAGAGGTCAGTTTGGTACCAAATCATTAATAAACTATAAGTGTAAGCGCAAAAGTGGTTGGTACATATTAAAGACGAAGGTTGAGAATAGGATATGAAGGAATTTTCCAGCAAAATTCGATTTGTGTGAAAAAATATATGGTAATGAAAAACAATAACATTGACAACGTTTGTGTAACAGAATCGAATAAAAACCTGGCATACCCTAAGTTAGCAATTCAATGAATTTTTGATGAAATAATCAGCTTCTGGAACATTGTCGTTTGGGAATGTATTGTGCGTAAAATTAATTATGACGTTTCTGCATCTATTTTCAATATCGCCATATTGTTAGCGAGGTTTCGACAGTGGCAGAGTAGTTCAGCTATTGTCTTTCAGAGGGCTACACAGTGAAACTACCGTGCTGCGCTCCTTCAAGAACTAATTCAAACATTACAGTTCTCTTTTTATTCATTTCTTCTTTCTGGGTCTGGGGAACAGTGTTGCCAATAAGGCGCTTTTCAACTTCGTTTTGCGTCATTGCGATTTTTTGTAAATAATTGCGCTTTTTTTTCTTTTTATAGTCTATCGAGTGTATTGCATAACTGACTCTGTTGATTGATAATATCAATCTAATATATAAAATTCTCCTGTCCCTGTCACGGTGTTTGACGCCAAACTCCTCCGAACGGCTTGGCCGATTCTTATGAAGATTTTTGTGCATATTCGGTAGGTCTGAGAATCAGTCGTAAACGATTTTTCAAATTGAAAATTCACGATGGCGGATATCCAATATGGCGGACGAGTTTTGTAATCCGATTCTATTCAAAATTGGCATCTGAGGGTTTTCGGGGTCGGATATTATGATTTCTTCGTCAAAATGAGGAGATTCAGAATGGCGGATACAATATGGCAGACGAGTTGTTCAAATATGATCCGATTCTGTTCAAAATTGGTATCTAGGGGGTTTTCGGAGTCGGAGATAACAATTATTTCTTCAAAATTTGGAAATCCAAGATGGCGGATCCAATATGGCGGACAAGTTTCGAAATTATAGACCAATTGTATTCAAAATTGGTATCTGGGATTTTCGGGTCACAGATTCAGAATCTTTCGTCAAAATTGGGAAATTCAAGATGGCGGTTTCAATATGGCGGACGAGTTTTGTAATTATCTACCAATTCTATTCAAAATTGGTAGGTATTTGGGGGTTTTCGGGGTCGGAGATTATGATCATTTGGTCAAAATTGAGAAATTCTCATATCCCATATCCCAATCGTAACGTAACCACCACTTTTTTTCCAATTTATAGAAAATAGTTTTGATTATCTTGAATTCCCATTTAAAAAACTGGTATTGAAGTAAGTATACATAATCCACTCATGACAGGTAATATTCATAATTAAAAATTAGTGTAGGCATAAACAAAATATTGTCTTTTGTGATAGGCCCATATGAAACTCAAAATATAATTTTTTATGAAAGCAAGTAATCAATCCTTTCCTCCTTTTCTCATTTGCTAAGAATTAGAAATCTGGTGCTACTTAGTTTCAACCAGTGACCAGTGATGCCAGGTCTAAGGAAATGTCCCTAGTTCAAAGGACAAATTACTGAATTCATTTTTACTAGGGAAATAAGGGAAAATTCTTCGGATTTTTTCATCTCTTTCGTGACAATTATATTTAATACTTTCACACTTACCGAAATAGGATATTTCAAAAAACAAAAACAGTTTTGTTCTATAAAAATTGTATTTATAGACGGATTGACCGTTACCCACGTGAACATAAGGCCAGAAGTCTCTGACGTAACCAGCTCGTTCCCTCAGCTAACGTGACCGTAGGACCTGTGCCCGGGGCCCGGGTCGACGTCGAGTTAGTCCGTTACCTACATGAACGATTGACCCCTACTGAAACAAAAACATCAGTGTTATAATATAAAATAGCAGAACGCTGGCAGCACTGCAACTGGCGGAGCAAGCGGTGTCGCGGTATCAGCACAGGTATCAGGCAGTGTGTGTGATTCCCCGAACGATTCCAACTGGACTTCAAAGAAAAATCGATAAGTGACCAGTGTTGCCAGTATGGGCGATTTCTCGACAATTGGGCTATCTCTGAACCTATTTTGGCGACCAAAAATAGAACTTGGCGACAGGCGACTTATTGAGACGACTTGGGCTTCTTGGTATCATTCATAAAGTTGGCATCATATGGGAAAAATTTTTGATAATAATATATCATAAACATCTAATCTATTTTCATCAGGTAAATGTGTCTGAAATGTTTCAAACGCACAGAGAAAACATGTCAACAAAAACTTCAAAATCTCCGGGAAGTTCAAATGATTATAAGAACCAAAGGTACAATGATACGTATAACTTCTTCATTCTCTGGCCACAAAACTCTGAAATAAGAAGAGAAAATCCCTTTCAACGGGAACCTATATAGATCCGGATCCAATATGCAAATTGGATCCGCCATCTTCAATTTCCTAATTTTGTCAAAAGAATCATAAACTCCGATACCGAAAACCCCCAAATACCAATTTTGAATAGAATAGGGTTATAATTACGAAACTCTACCATATTGGATCCGTCATCTTCATTTTTCTGATTTTGACAAAAGAATCATATTCCCCGATACCGAAAACCCTCAGATACCCACCAATTTTGAAAATAATCGGATCATGAACAAAACTCGTCCGCCATATTGGATCCGATATCTTTATTTTTCAAATGTTGACAAAAGAATCATAAACTCCGATACCGAAAACCCCCAAATACCAATTTTGAATAGAATAGGATTATTTTTTTTATCTCTTGGAGCGCACGAGAGGAAATCCCTATAATGTTCAAAGAAATGTTCAAAGAACATCGTGCGTTCCTAGGGAGGATAGGGATAGGAGGTAGGTATTGGAATTTTTTTATAATTACAAAACTCTACCATATTGGATCCGTCATCTTTATTTTTCTGATTTTGACAAAAGAATCATATTCTCTGATACCGAAAACCCCCAGATACCAATTTTGAAAATATTCGGATCACAAGTACAAAACTCGTCCGCCATATTGGATCCACCATATTTGATTTCCTTATTCTGACGAAAGTATCATTATTTTTAATCCCGAAAACCACCCGATACAGAGATTTTGAATAGACGGATCATAATTAGAAAACTCGTCCGCCTTATTGGATCCGCCATCTTGAGTTTCCAATTTAAAAAATAGTTTACGATCGATTATCAGACCTACCAAAAATGCACAAAAATTTTCATAAGAATCGGTCAAGCCGTTTCGGAGGAGTTTGGCCACAAACACTGTGACAGAGAATCAATATATGTTAGATATAAACTATCGTATGACTTTCATTCTATGGTGAGGTCATCACAGGATGGGAATACTAGGTGGTAAATATAATAATGTGAAATATATCATTCCACTTATGAATTTCTACTACTACTAATTTGGCGACGTACTCTGATTAAATACTGGCAACACTGTAGGTGACTTTGTACCTGTTCCCTTAGTACAGCCACAAAAGAGTCACTGTAGCCACAAATATTATTCAGAGACATCTATTGATGAGGTTCCCTATTGATTGAATTAAATATATCTAAAGGATTCTGTAGAAATAATACATGAAACTATAATTATGGCGCCACTAGACGGCTGTGATATATTTATAGTTTCACTGGTGTCTGTGGGCGAACTATTTCACTGTGATGCGCGCCCTTAAAACGGGCCTGTTATTACATGTTTTATGGTGTAAAGGTATACTAATGAAAACATGAATTTACCTTTTATCAAACTTTCCCAAATCAAGGTAGGATACAGAAATTGCCTTGCCTTGCCACCAGATGGTTACAACATGACTATAACTTCACGATATACCCTGCGTCTTCGAAATGGGTGATATATCCGAAGCGTAGAGTTGTCCCAGTTGTCAGCAGACCGAGAGCGGGTGATGAGACCTGGTGGGTCGATACAGTACTGTCTCGCTCCTGCTGACAATTGGGGCAACTCTGTTCATCCTGGATCTTTTTGTTATGAGATCTAGCAGTTGAATAGGTGGTGGAAAAATTCCACTCAAATATGTCAGGTAGTGCCATCTGTCAGCAGTGGTTTACTTGTAGTACCACTCTGTAGCGTATAGACGTAGGGGTTTGTACGTGTGACTATAGATGGCAGCGCCATACAGTGTGTGTCACGATTTCTGTATCCTACCTTAGAGCTTTGCCACCAGACGGCTACAACATGACTATAATTTCATGTTATACCCTGCGTATCCGATATTAGATAAATAAACAACTAGATGCATTCTTGTCTTACCGTCCTGTAAAGAGCATTGAAATGATTGAAACCAACATAATAGACATAACCATTGTTTTCATTAGTAGTTGGTTTCCTACATCATCTGTAAGCGCGACGCTAAAATTTGAAATCTGAATACTTCTGATCGTCTATTTGTCACGTGACTTTGTGTCTTACTCTCAATTTGGGTTCAATTCCTCTCGATCTAGCCGCTATACTACAGTATTAGGAAGGAGGCTACCTACTCAAACAAACTAATCTATATTTTCAAAAATAAACAGTACTTTGACCTATGCCAAATAAGAAAGTAACAAAAAAAAAATTTTCCTGTGAAGGCAATTTGAATGGTATATTTTGTTGATTGAACAAGAGTGCTTGTATAAGGACATATTACCAAATTATGAAAATATGTCAAAGTATACCAAAGGCAACTAGGATACATCCATGCATATATCAGGTCTATGTAGGCCTTTCTTTGGTGGCACCTTATTGTTGAAATCATAAAAAAAATATCCTCATGGCTATATTGAGCTGTCATAACTTTGATATCAATGAATATTCATCCATGAAAGTTTGGTCGCACCTGTTTAGAGGTACTCTAATTTTGTCCCGAGGTAGACCTTTTAGTACTTGACATTTCAAAAAAATATATTAAAATCGGTTTACAACTTCAAATTTCAGGGGAGTATTTCTATTAAAAATGGGTCACACTGTATATCCATTTTTTTATGTTCATAATTATATCTGAGAATATTCCTTTTCAATTGAAATAGGGATCGCATCGCAGGACAGGCAGGAAGAATATTCATATTTTCATGGGGTTCTAACCATCGATATTCATTGGGATTTTTTCCATTTCCTATACTCATGTCTATTTTTTCATTATTAGAATTGTGTCCCAGATTGTTTCGGTTTTTCAGACAGCGCTGGTGAGGAGGGTCCAGGCCCCATGGACCCCCCTTAATTACGCCACTGGTATATGGCGACACCGGAAATACGGCATCAATTATATGTCAATTTTAATTCATGTCTAAATTGTCGAATATCCCTATACCAAATTTCAATTAAATCGGTTCATAAGCAAACATTTTTCAACGTATCTCTTTACATAAAAGAAATCTCACCTGGAACAGCTCGCCATTAGAGATAAATCCGTCATTGTCCATGTCATAGATGCGGAAGGCGAATCTCAGCTTTGACAGCTTGTCACCTTTGACACTGAACTGGGAGACGCCTTGAATGAATTCTGGGAAAAACAGACATAATGATATACTAATCTTAGGTATTATAATTTATTGAATGGGCGTGTACACCTTAGTAGAACTTTTAACTCAAACCATGTTCATAATTATCCTTTTATACATAAATGATGGACGACATAATTCGATCGAAAAATTAACTGGAATGTTTTATATTTGTACAAACGGACCCTCTTATGACGTAGAAACCTCATCTCCATAGTTAAAAGAAAATACCAAACGCCCGACGGAGACTGAGGCAACTGATATATTAATTCTTTCAACTGTGATCTCGCGCTAATTCACTCTGTCAGAAATCATATATCATTTCATCTCTGTCTGGAAAAGTCTTGTTTCAGTATTAGGGTTTCGACGTCACATCATCGCCTAGTTTTCAGAGGTCCGAATAATCGGGGATTTCAATAATTTTCAATAAAAATGTAGGGAGCTCACAGCAAGAAACGGTTTGCGGTGGTGAGCTAGTTTGGGTGAGCTCTATCGAATTATGCAATAAAATTTTTTTGTGATATAAGCCCATTGTCATAACTCGAACAAAAGGCCAATTTCTTGATAAAACATTACCGATGGTTATGGTGGATATAATATAGAATTCTTTGTTTAGATGTTTTCAGATGTGTTTGTAGTGGATATTTGAATGTGATAAGATTTTCTGAACTATTTCAGAAGTGCTTCAAACTGGCTACTAATACTTTTTTCAAATGGAATATCTTGACTCGCATCTTGAGATTTTCCACACGCCTATTGGATTCCAAGAATTTCGTCCTAATAATTACAAAACAGTTAGAATATTTGACTATTCAATCGAACAGCAACTTTTGAAATATCCCATTATGCACTATGCAAATAAACAAATAATTGAAGTTTAGGTCATAGCTGCAAGAGTCAAATATTCAAAAGTCAAGTTTCTATCGAGTACTTAAAAAAATTACTGAAACACTGAAAATGACCTTTATTAACGGAACATCCTGTGTAATCAATTCGGAATTCCGAAGAGTTTCACATCCAACAATGTAATTTTATTAAATTAGGTGACACGGAGTATCGAGAAGCTAGAACAGAATTTTCGAGGAAAAATATTTTACATTTTTATGTTGAGAACGGGAGCACATTCGTTCCCGAAACGTCCAAAGCTAAGTAAAAATTCGATATCTTTTCAATAAATCTATATTTCTTCTCTTCAAACTCTTTTCCAAACAAAGTGTCACTGACAAGCTATTGGATTTTTCTTTTGGGCTTCCTGATAGAAAAATTTGTTAAACGCAGTGATATTTATTACTCATATTTTTATTTTGTAGAAACGAGGAGAGAAAATCTCAGATAATCAAGTAAAATGAATGAGTTGAGAAGATAATAATAAGAATGATGAAATTAATAACCAACAAAACAAAAATTCGAAAGAACATAGGTTATGGTTATGTTTTGCTGTCAGTGTATCAGTACTGCCAAAATAGTTCCGAAATGAAATGAAAATTCAAAGCTACTGCTACTGTTTAGTGTTCCTTAATTCTAAATTGCTTACTGTAGCCATTAAGTGTGAATACTCAATGGTAATATCGGAACATGCCAATCACTCTCAACCAACTACCTCAAAAATTTCAAAATTACCCTCCCAACGGTTTTAGAAATAGTCTAATGTTAGAAACAACTAGCAGAAATTGTTCACTGTTTTGTTCATACTATTCCTAATTATCATTATGAAACAAATTAGCAGGTTGACAGTTTGAGAAAACCAAAAATAGTGATTATTGGAGGCATGTACTGAATAGGAGATATTGATAGGACTTATTTTCACTAATCAAAGATCAAAAGGAAAATGAAATTTTCGCCCTAAAAATTTAATAAAAATGTTTGTCAGTGACTTAGTGAATACGAGTAAATAAATTGGTTATGAAAACGGTAGTAAGTTTCAATATTGCACAACAAACGAAATAATAATATGATATGGACATGTTGAAGTCCCCATAAGCAATGCTTACCTTTGCTTATGATACAATTTGTTGCAACAACTGTCGTCATACAGAAAAAAAATGATGGAATTTCGGAGGAATTGACTACACTACACGCGTTGTGGAGTTTTTACACAATGAACGGTTATTTTGGGAACGCGAGATACAGACGCTAGATCTACAGGATGGACAGTAACAATTTTAGAGAAAGCTAAGCATTCTTGTGAATAGCTATGTTTTCAGATTCTTCATATACATACTGCTTCCTCATTGTTTACACTATACATATACTGTATAGGGTGTCCAAATTGGACACTTTTAAAGGGAAAGTCCGTTCCCGTACTAGATTGAACAAAACTGATGTTGGTACCTGTTGATCAATTCACATGAAAAACTCAATGGTGAAAACTGCATATCGATATCTATCTTCGTTTCAGAGTTACAAGGTGTCTTTCGAGAATATGAATTTTCGGAAAGTGGCTGAAACTCATTTTTTGTCCAAAATTCTTCGTTCCCATGAAAACATTTCCAAAGCATTGTGTTTGTCATGGAAATTGATCTACAGGAATTAATAATTTGACTAAAATCACGATCAAAATTGAAAAAAAATCAGTTGATTCAAATCATGTTTTGGAAAAATTGCAAAACATTGCAAAACATTGAAAAAAGCACTCAGAATGAAGGTAAACGTGGAGTTGTAACTAAAAATCAGGATGGCTGAGAAATGTTCATTAAATGGAAATTTTTGACCACCCTGTCAGATAAACATAAATAAAATATCACAGCCAAGGTGTGCCTGGCAAACGTTACCTATTCAACTTATATCTCAACTTCTCATAATATTTACATTTACATTATTCAGAATGTTTTACCATGATACTGAATGTAGTACATTTTTCAAACAGCATACCGCTCCCAAGAAAATAATAAGATATTGAATCACTAAAACACTATACAAGGTGTTTTTGAAATAAGTGCACACATTCAGCAAATTAATATGATACAGTCTAAGGAATATTCCCATGGTATCAGATTTTTTCTGATTCTTCTAATTAACGAGAAATTTCATTCCAAAAATTGAACGAAATACGAGAAAAAAATCAACTACGCCACTTTTAAACCAATTAAAATGATTGAACTCCGCGCGATTGTGCCTACCGCATGGAAATTTGACAGAGGTGACGTCAGATTTGCTACAGTGTAGAACTTTTGTGGGAAATGAGGTATAACCTCAAATTTTATTTTGATCATCGAGCTTTCTCAGTGTTTGAAATATTTGCACTTATTTCAATGCCACCCTGTATACCTAGGTATTGGTTTTAAAATAACAAACCATTTTACTCAGAATGTGGCTCAAGTTAGAACTAATTTGGGATATCGAATCCAACTTTATTTTATTGGCAACATGAACAAAGTTTCATGCACCAAATATAAATCAGAAATTGAAATTTCATTTCTATAATATGTAGGTCAAATTCAAAAAGCTAAATTGAATATTGTTTTCATCAAGGATAATTTTATAAATACCTTCAATTGAATTTGAAGTATGTCCGTGGACAAATTGAGGTCCTATATTACAATTATTATTTTTTCATCTCTTGGAGCGCACGAGAGGACACTCCTATAATGCTCGAAGAACATCGGGCGTACATAGGGAGGATAGGGAGAGGAGGCAGGTGAATTTTTTTTGAAACTTTTCAATGTTATGAGTTCTTCGGAATACTTCCATTGGCAAAGAATCCCAAAGCTTTGCCGTTCTAAAGACGAACGAGTGTTGTTCGACATATCTCCAGGTTAACAACGAAAGGATGTGCTGACTGGGCTTGTCGAGTTTTTTCTGACTGGTAATGCTAGTGATGGAATAATAGCAGATTTCTGAGGATCATTTCACGTGGAAGTATCTATAGAAAAATAAGAGGTCGCCGACTTTTCTACGGTGTTCTAATGAGGACAAAGAACCAGTGAGTGTGGTGTAGATATGTTTACAGAAAACCCATATTCGGAAATATTTGGAACGCCTGAAATAATCTTTTTCTACAAACGCTTAACAAAGTAGCGTTTGACGCTTTCAAATTCCAGCACAAAGTTGACGTTTTCCCAGAAATGTCATTCATTGACAGCATTTGCGCTCGTGAGCGGAAATATTGAAAAAACGCTCGCACATCTATGTAACCTATACTTATCTATATATTCTTGAAAACCCCCAATTCTTTCATGATGGAAAATAGTGACAGTGAATCATCAAACACACCTCCTGATGATATAGCAGGAAACGCAAGAGTTTCAATCGGAGAAATCAAGGAAGAAATATGAATTACAATATGATACATTCATAAATTGGTGCCACTCCGAGATGGTGAATATGTATTCAGAAAACGTTTTACTGGCTTATTTTGGTAAAAAATCAAAGACTTTGAAGTCATCAACTCATTGGTCTATATATTCGATGTTACGTATACATGCTTGAATGTTAAAGGTAATATCGATCGGAATCAATAAGTATCTGAAACTTATCGCTCAAGAAACAATCTATTGGATATAAAGCGAGAAAAATCCAAAACATTCACCGCTGAAGATATATTATACAAACAAATTTCTACAAGAAGCTCCCGATGAAGCATATCTGTTGAAAACGATGATATACTTTATATTTAAACTCTTTGTTATCATCAGAAAGACAGTGTTTCTTTATTTTATTGCACTAATGAGTAATGTTCAATTTGATTACACAGTTTATCGTACTATGGCTCAGAGGTCTGGAACTCAGGTTGCCACGCTGGGGGTCCAGTTTCAATTCTCGGTAGGCCCGACATTTTTTTCTGGCTTGTCAGTCATTTCAATTTTTTTTTTTTGTTTCCTTTGGACATATGGGATAATATGGATAAGAACTTTTTCAACTATTTCAATCGCTCATACTTTCAGGGTAGTTATTTCCAATAGCTGCGTTAGTAGAAAAAATCTTGTGTGTATTTCGAGCACAAAGTGTTATTGCCGCTCTCCAAAGATTACCGCGCTCCGCTCCGCATCGCGCGGTACCTTTCTTTGTCGAGCGGCAATCTATCACTTTGCGCTCTAAATACACAAATAGCTATTTTCAACGGCTATGACACAAAACTGTGTTTTCTCACCTGATAAAACAATTGCGTTTCAGTTATGATTATCATCATACACGAAATATCAATTAATATTATTCTGATGATAGTTATGTTTATTAATAACAACAAATTTGAATTTCCTGTTATATTTGTTATAAAATAATTTAAGTAGTTTCGCGATTAAATATACACTCACTGGCAAAAAAACCGGCCACCAAAAAGTTTTGCCAAATTGTTCGCCCTGTATCGTTTTTAATTCTTGTCCGATTTTGGTGAAATTTGAAAAATGCCATACTTTCATAAAACACCCGTATGTTCTCTTTAAAATAAGATATTGACGTGAATAAAGAACTATTTTGTTGAGAAGGAATCACACTTCAATCCAAAGCATACTGGATCCAGGGTTGGAATAAGTCATGAGTTTTATAAAAAAGTCAAAAAAGTCTGACTTCTTGAATTAATTCGGACTTTTTTGAATTATTTCATTTGAGAACAAATCAAATTCTATTTACTTGAACAAAATACAAGAACATCGAAAAAACTTTTCAATAATGACCAACGGTCATAGGACATGTTTCGAAGGATTAATACTTCATCATCAGCATCAGAAGAAACAACGCTTATGTTAGTTTTCAAGTATTGATTAAAATTCTAAATGTACCTACCATTATTGGTGGAAAAAGATTACTTGAATAACATACCAGTTACTCACCTGCACTATGCGGGAGGGGGGAGGGGGGTAAAAATAGTTTTCTCATGTTATTTAAGTAATCTTTTTCCACCAAGAATGGTAGGTACATTAAGATTTTTAATCAATACTTAAAAACTAACATAAACTTGTCCTCGGTCATTATTAAATTGTTTATCTGGTAGAGTTGTGACTGTAAGTTCTTTCATCCCTCCTGAGCTTAAGCCTTCTTAGAGATAAAATTCAATGTATTTATTTTATAAGACCCTGTATTTAGGTAACTGATGGCTAAAAACGTAGGAATTCCATCAGTTGTTGATTTTTAAGGAAATATGTTGGTTGATCACTCATCCTCACCATATTCAATCACCTATACCTGCATGAAGATTTAGTTTCCTTTGAAGTGTCCAGGCTTATCTCTCTTTCCTTCATTTATAAATTCTGGTTGAAAATGTCAATATCAGTAATTTGAAATTTGATCTGAAATACTGTATATTAACCTATTTTTCATTTAATAACTCTGAACCATTCTTTTTGTGAATGCTGCCAATGCAAAAATACTGAATAATGATAACCAAAACCAATAAAGTGTAACATTTTCCTACACTAATTGTAATTTACACTGTATTGGAAAAGTGTGTTCCACACCAGTGTAGTCCATCTTCACCAGGTTTTAGGCAGATATGAAATAGGTAAACTCTATCCCAAGAATCAATAAAATAATGATGGAAGATTCAAAATACATATGGGTTATGTTTGGCATGGATAAACCTATGAAAAATCAGTTATCATTATTATATCAAATATTGCAATATTATTTCAAATTGCAATTTCCCTGTTTTATTATTTTCATTTTTTGAATGCATGAATTTCAATATTTGTTTGAATTTCATTGGTTTTGCTACAAACCATCTAGCTAAAGAGCCTAATGTGTCATATTATTATAGTGTAGTCCTAAGTGAGGAATGATGATGACCTCAAATGATATATTTTACAGGATGTTAATGAATAAATGTGAAAAAAATTTAGGAGGTGGTTTCTTGTCATATTCTGAAAAAATAAAGTTCCTGTCAACATGTCATAACATGGTTTGTTTTTGAGATATAGGATATTTAAGTTGGAAGTTTTGATTGATTTCTTCATGGTGGCAATATTCAGTCTTCTTGGTGAATGACCAAGTCTCATGATTTCAGAATGGTACTCATCAAGGTTTAGTGACCTACATCAATGTCCATTGATACCCTCTTTCTCATAGATCAAGCAAGTGAGGACAAATATTTAAATGCAGTTTTTTCATAAAATATTACAAGAAAATACCCCCTCAATTTTTTGCATGTTCTCATTCACACCCTGTATACAGAGCACACTTGTGAAGAGTAAATATTAAATGAGTTGATAACAAGTAGAATATAAACTGATCAACATTCCAAAATGGAAATAATAACTGACATGCTAGATTTTCATTCAGATTTGCAAAAAATAGTTCAACAGCAACTTTATAACTTTTACAAAATGTTATTGAAAAGGATAGGATGTGGGCATACATATTTTTTTAGTTTCATGAAAGTATTATCACATGCATAATCTTACATCAAGTCAAAAATATTACTTTCAGTTGGCTACTAACCTTTGAAGTCTACTTCTCCATTTCCATCTGCATCAAAAATATCAATAACACGCTGAACCAGTGGGTTCTGCTGTAGTTCAGGGAGTGACATGAACTCATCAATACTCAGGGCTCCAGAATTGTCCAGATCCAGTTTACGGAATCTCTTTCCAAGACGTCGTATCTCATCAGCATCGACTAGGAAACAAATATGACCATTTTAAAATATGACAAAATTTAGTAGGAGCTGAGAGCTAGGTAAACTTACAATTTGAGCATAGCTCCATGGGCAAGGAACTTTCATTACCCTAAAAAACACGATAGATTGGTGAATATACCGGTAATATCTAGGCATTCAATGATAATAAGGTAGGTCTTGAAATGGGCTTGTCCCTAAAATTAGGCTAAGGCTGGCCAGAGCATCCTACCAATGTGCGAATGTGCAAATAACTTTAACTGATGGAAACAATTTAGAGGAATGGTTAATTGGATTATTTTACGCATAATTACCATGGTACTGCTCTTCTCTGCTGATTTTTAGCTTATAATTAATATTGATACAAATCGTTGTCTAATGTCTAATGATCGCAAACCGAATAAACCAACCAAACCAGAATAAACGGATGACAAGTTGACGTGACGAGTGACGACAAATGACAACTCGACACTCGACAGGTGATTTATTAGCATATATCTACTACTCATACATGAAGCATAGCTATCCTCGAAGCGGGACCAACTTCTGTCTCTATAGGCAGAGATGTTCAGGTTAGGGATCCGAACAACCCGAGTAAGTTTCCGAAAACACCTAGTGTGACCATTTTCGTCTGTCAAATTCATGAAACCACAGAAAAATATAATATAGGTCGCGTGCACGATGACCGACCCTGGAGGCAAAATATTGAAACACAACCTCATTCTTCTGTGAATTATTGAAACACAACCTCACTTTTTTACTTGGTTACAGAGGAATCAAAGGATTGAACTAGGGTCCCTTGATGTAAATTGACGTTGAAGTCATCTCAACAGGGTACGGACAGATCATAGCTGCATTCTTTTTTAATGATCTAGAGACTTTGGATTCGTCTACTGGCATCCCTGACATTGATGGCACGTCACATCCATAGGCGCTACAGAAAATCATTCAAAATTTCAATAATAGGTATGTACAGGGTATTAACTTGTTGAGGAAGATCATATGGCGAACGAGTTTTGTAATTATGATCCGATTCTATTCAAAATTGGAAGGTATCTGGGGTTTTCTGGGGTTGGAGATAATGATTGTTTCGTCAAACTTGGAAAATTCTCTAGTGGATGCAATATATGGCTAATGAGTTTTGTAATGAAGATCCGATTCCATCAAAATTGGTATCTGGGGGTTCTCGGGGTAGGAGATGATGATTGATTCGTCAAAATTTGAAAATTCAAGATGACGGATCCAATATGGCATATACCATAAATATAAAATATGTAGGATGCAAGAGTGAAAATAAGTTATACTGCGTATAACCTACTTTTTTGTTACTTTCATCAATGAGTTATTCGAAAATAACTTCATTTAAGGGAGACGGAAAAATCATATGTATAACATGGGGGTAAAGTATATTCTATTCTTTATATTTTCCTGCACATTTTACGTAGTACTTTTTATCAGCCTACTTTTCGTCCCAGACGAAGTTTTATACATAGTGTGATATTAGTCACTCCATAAATTCTTCTCCAAATTGGATTTCCGAAAATATATTTAGCACACATGACATGAGTACCTACAGTAGTTTAGATACCCCCACATCGAGGTTTCCACCATTTCTCAATCAGAACGCTCAGTTCATTCAGCTCATAAATAAACTTCTGCTCAGTTTGAAATCAGAATGCATTTACTCAATTCAGTCAACCCTGGTATACAGTCTGAGAACAGTCTCCTTTGGTGAAATGTATTGAGCTTTCAGTACTATTTATATGTTCCCTACCTCGCAAAGATTATGCTGGAGTAGTAAACTCTAGAATTAGAGGATTGTTCATCTATATCTTGGTATAGTTGAATCAGGAATTCCATATGGAAATTAAAATTACGTATGATACACCAGTGACCTCAAGATAACCTAAAAAACAACGAATGTCAAAAATCTAGTGTTTATCCCCAGAATTGAATAAGGATGGAACTATATAACTGTTACACAAACACTTTAGAGAGAGAGTTCAATCTAGGGTCCCTTGATGGAAATTGACGTTAAAGTCATCTTAACAGGGTACGGACAGATCATAGCTGCATTCTTTTTTAATGATGTAGAGACTTTAGTTTTGTCTACTGGCATCCCTGACATTGCTGTCACGTCACATCCATGGGCGCTACAGTATCATTCAAAATTTCAATAATAGGTATGTACAGGGTGTTTACTTGTTGAAGATCATATGTCGAACGAGTTTTGTAATTATGATCCGATTCTATTCAAAATTGGAAGATATCTGGGGTTTTCCGGGGTTGGAGATAATGATTGTTTCGTCAAACTTGGAAAATTCAAGATGACCAATCCAATATACAGGATGATTCACGGTGGATGGCACATTAGACGTTTCTGGAAAACGCAACTCAGGACTATTCTGAAAAGTTGGTGCCTTGAATAATTAGTTGTGTTCTATATCGACCTGAAATATTCTCAGCGCTGCCACCGTGAATCAGCCCGTATAGCGAAAGAAATTTATTTAAGATTGGTATCTGGGGGTTTTCGGGGTCGCACTTTATGATTTTTTGTCAATGGGGTCGGAGATTATAATTAATTCGTCAAAATTGGGATTTTCATGATGGTGGATCCATTATGGTGGACGAGTTTTGTAATGGATATTCGATTCTATTCAAAATTGATATCAGGGGGTTTCCGGGGTAGGAGATAATGATCGTTTCGTCAAAATTGGAAAATTCAAGATGGCGGATTCGATATGGCGAAAGACATTAGTTTATATGATTATTACTCTACCACAAATAGAAAATATGTAGGATGCAAGAGTGAAAATAACGTGACTATAAGTTATACTGCGTATACCTACATCTTTGTTACTTTTATCAATCAATTGTTCGAAAATGACTTTTAATTTGAGGGGGACGGAAAAATCATACGTATAACATGTGGGTAAAGTATATTCTATTCTTTATTTTCCTGTATATTTTACGTATCACTTTTTATCAGCCTACTTGTCGTCCTAGACAAAGTTTTATACATGATATACGTGATATTAGTCACTCCATAAATTCCTCACCGAGCTGGATTTCCAAAAATATATTGAGCACACATGAATAAGTACAGTAGTTTCGGTTTCCATCATTTCTCAATCATAAGGCTCAGCTCATTTAGCTGATAGATAAACTTGTGCTCAGCTTGAAATCAGAATTCATTCAGTCAATTCAGTCAACCCTAGTATACAGTCTAAGAACAGTCTCTCAGTGAAATATATTAAGCTTTCAGTACAATTTATAAAGCTTCCAGTACAATTAATATGTTCCCTACCTCGCAAAGATTATGCTGGACTAGTAAACTGTAAATCTAGAGGACTGTTCATCTATATCTTGGTATAGTTGAATCGGGAATTCTATATGGAAATTACGTATGATACGCCAGTGACCTCAATATAACCTAAAAAACAACGAATGTCAAAAATCTAGTGTTTTTCCCTAGAATTGAATAAGGATGGAACTATATAACTGTTTCACAAACACTTTATAGTGAGAGGAGACGAGGATCTGTCCGTACCCTGTTAGGATGACTTTAACGTCAATTTCCATCAAGGGACCCTAGATTGAACTAGTTTTTCACAATATTTTGGCATACGAATCGTGTGTTTTGCGCTATTCATTAATTCGAGCATGCCTTCGCAGTGTGCTGTTGTACAATGCACAAAAAATGCAGCAAGAGACTAAAGAATATGATTTTTCAGGTAAATAGTAATCTCACATAGTTATCATTATGAAATGTTGTCATTCCTTATTAAAATTCCTTCTGCCTTCTGTCACTTCTGCAATACAAGCTAATACTGGCTAATACTGCTGATAGATTGAAAATGTCTACAACACACACGATCGTCAGCATGTCAGACCAGTCCTCCCGATTGATTGCATGAATCCAATTTTCTGGCATTATTTTAGAAATTTCAGATGTATTTCTATTAGCTTCTATCGCAGAAAGAATTCCGATGAGAAATCAGAGAAATTACCAAATTTCAAAAATGAAAACTATATTATGTGAGTGACTATAGTAGGTACTTACTTTTAAATCATATTGTACCAACCGGATTACTTCGTCTTCCGCTGCAGTTTTTGTGCAATTCACAACAGCATAATGTGATGGCATGAGCGAATTGATGAATAGCGGAAAAATACGATTCGTATGCCAAAATAATTGTGAGAAACTATTCCAATCACTTGTAAACAAATAAGTAAAGTGACGTTTGTGTTTCAATATTTTGCCTCCAGTGTCGGTCATCTCACAGTTCTTGCACGCAACCCATTCAGTGTTCCTAACCTGACACGTTCGTAAAAGTTGAGCACGAGCAAGAACACGAGTAGATGATCCGAGTTTTTTGTCACGTGACCTATCTGGATCGAGTAATCAACCCAGAGTAAGTTTCCGAAAACGCCTATAGTCTGACTATGGCCTGAAGTTCAGGCCCTGAACGAATTGAGACAAATTGACCATGGTCCGACCTGCCGCGTAGCCCGGGACGATCGCGAGTCAGCCGTTTGCAGCGATAGTGGACAGTGACTAATGTTTACGTTGAGTTTCTTTATTATAATATTCTACAAATAATGGTTATTAGGATTCGAATAAAGGTTTATGGTGTTTATTAGTAAACAGTGTGTTTGATTACAGTGAAGTACCACAAGCTGAGTCCAGAGCTGAGTGAAGTGTAAACATGCACCAGTATACAGATTAATACAGCGCTTTTGGTAAGTTTTTGTGCTGAGATTGTCCATTGCCATTGCAAATATATCAGTCATTGTGATAATGTGATATGCTACAGAATGTCACAGGTTTGATGAAAGGCTTCTTTGTAGCTGTAATTCTATTCGTGAGACAGTATTATGTCAACCACACACACGATTTAATGATGATTCAACAACGATTTCTGATATTTTCTGTGATAACTTCGAGAATTAGCACAATTAAGACGATTGAATAGCAGGAATAAAATGTCTGACCAATGACGGCTAAATATCTAGACTGTCTGACGGGTTATACATAACAGTCATTGGTGTGTTGTAGAAGTAGTGTACGATATTTGTACGATATAAACTTCATGCTGGAGCTGGAACAGCGAACATACCCAAAGGCGAAGGGGAAAGGAAACTGGAAAGTGGAAAGGGCTGTAACTTTTTGATACTTATTGATAGTCTTGATAGCGAGAAGCGACCTAATAAATATTAAAAAAAGCAAAACGTTAATTAATGTAGTGGGTGTATAGATAGGTACTCCTGTTTTTATCAATTAAAGCATCACTTATTTCATTAGAAATTTAATTGTGCTACAAGCAGCTAATCGCCAAAGACGTACCACAACGACCACTTCCTGTTCTGGAAAACCATTGTTTGTAGTGTCTGTTTATAAACTGTTTTATAATTTATGTGAGTAATAAATTCTTTTGAAAAAGTCACAATGGCGTGGAGATTCAAAGCCAGCAAATATAAGAATGCAGCACCCATCATTCCAAAGCCTGAAAACTATGTCCGGGACATTTGTGTGGGGTCCTACCAGACTTATGGAAACAATATTACTGCTTCTGCGAAGTTTATGGCATTCAATTGGGATCACACTGGCTCTAGTCTTGCTGTTTTACCTCTGGATGATTCTGGAAGAAAAAGCAAACTCATGCCTCTGCTCCATGGACATTCAGATACAGTCACTGATATGGACTTTTCCCCATTTCATGATGGACTTCTGGCTACAGGTTCTCAAGACTGCTTAGTCAAAATCTGGAATATACCTAAAGAAGGATTACAGGTAAAAAATCAATATATTCATTACCATACTTATACAATGAGGACCAAAAGTCTGTGGCCCTCCACATAACATTCATATTACATATTACCAAATTGCTGAATGCTGAGGTTGTAGAGTTTTATTCAATCCCATTAATGGTTTGAGTTTCATTTATACAGTGTCACAAAAAGTACAAAAGTTCATTTTTGCAAATAGGACACCCTGTATATCAATACATTATTAGATTCAATGTTGAAGATTGCACAAGTTTGATGGGTGGTTTATTTCAGAAAATGTTATAGTCTTTTAATTATGAACACTTGTGAGATATTATTTCTACTATTTTAGTGCCAGTTCAGTGAGAAAATGGTAAAGAATGTTTCACAATGTATTTTACTTTCCTATCCTAATGTTTTGACAGCTTTTTATATTTTTTGTGATAATGTTAAACAAATCAATTACTGGGGGAGGGGGTGACAGACTTAAGGTCCTCACTGTATGTATCTTGAAAAGAAGTTAAACTAACATAAAATCAACATGGAACTTCTAATCTGTCCTAATCTAATACTAATTCTTCAGGAATTTTGAATAATTTGAAAATAGATGTACACTTGAGTGTACATTTCATTTCTTCTCTGGAATCTGGAATAAATGTTATTAGTACCTACTTAGAAAATACAATATATATTTGGAATGGATTATATTTATGAATAAAATACAAAAAATCAGGTTTGCATGTGATTCAAGTATCACTAAAGTCTTTCAGTGACTTTGATTATAAACCTTCAAAAATACTTTTTGAACTGCAAAATGTTGAGAATATTCTAGCTTTAGGGTATTTCACCTCATAGACTGTATTTAGCAGCTCTAGAATAATTCATTTCCATCAAAAAACTTTGAGCAACTGGAATTTCAACTGATTTATGATTTTTCTATTTAGGTGGTTTGTTGAGGGGTAGTTCTTGGTTCACAAATCATTCAACTTCATATAGCATATAACAGGTATTTCAACTGAATTTAGATCTTTCTACTCTGTAGGGCTGTTAAGGGGTAGTTTCTGGTTCACAAATCATTTAATTGTATGGAGGGTGTTTAATTCTCCATTCACATAATAAAATTGTAATCAAGAGTTTTTCCAACTTTTCTCATGATATTTCTGTTTTGTAGGGTAGTTGTAGGGTGGTTTAGGAATCACAAATTATTTTATTGTTAGGAGCCTACTTCAATTCCTTCAGATTAGTGGACTTGCATGAAAAATCTCTAGCAATAGAACATTTTCTTCCTTCGAATTCCATAATGGAGATTGGTGGTATTTAATTTGTATATTTTTTATGGAATCATGAATTGTGGAGACCAAAATCATTTTTTAACAACATTTTGATATTTAATCAAAAGACATTTCACATCCAATTCTTAATTATTATCAGATATGTATAAACACCCTCATGATTATTAATTGTTGAATTTTTAGTTTAATTGAATCTATAAACCCAACATGAGTGATGTTGAACAACCATTCCCAGAAAAGCCATTGCTTGACACCATAAAAGAGATTAAATAAATTCAGTAGTTTTTTTTATTGAAAACATTTTTTGCAGGAGTCCCTTAGCAATGCAGAATGTACTTTTTCTCATAAACAACGCAGAGTAGAAACTGTTGGTTTTCATCCAACTGCAGATTTTCTCTTACATTCCACTTCTTTCACCACTTTAACATTGTGGGACTTGATCTCAGAACAGGAATTTTTTTCAAACACAGACCATAGTGAAGTTATACAGTCTGTCAGTTGGAAACTAGATGGAACTTTGCTGGCTACTTCTGCAAAAGATAAACAGGTAAACATAATTTACAAAATCATTTTTGTACCTAGCATTCAGTTGTGACAATTTAGATTCTTATCAAATCAATGTAAATTCTAAAAATTTAGGTACGCATTCTGGATCCAAGAATAGAACAATCCTGTACAAAAACCACAAATTCTCATCCAGGAATCAAAGATTCTCGAGTAGTTTGGCTTGGAGAACAGAACAGAATCCTCACAACAGGATTTGATGCTCAAAGACTCAGACAGATCATCATAAGAGATCTGAGAAACTTTGGAGAACCTGAAAAAACACTGGAACTTGACTGTTCTACTGGTATTCTGATCCCCTTATATGATGCTGACACAGGCATGTTATTCTTAGCAGGAAAGGGAGATACAACAATTGGTTACATGGAAGTAACTGACAAAGAACCATACCTTATAGAAGGTATTAGACATTCAGGAGAGCAAACCAAAGGGGCCTGTTTGGTACCAAAAAGAGCCCTACATGTGATGCAGGGAGAAGTGAATCGAGTTTTACAATTAACTAGTTCTTCTGTAATTCCTATTATGTACCAAGTGCCAAGAAAAACTTATAGGTATTTAATTTTACACATTTCAATGAATATCTCATTCAACACAGAAGTAGAAAAACTCTTGAATCATCTCCACAAATTCATATTATATACAGAAAATTAAGTAGTTTTGTTTTTGAGAATTTCTCATTTAGTATATGTCTAAACTTCAATTTCAATTTGAACCACATTGTATTTTTTGTCTCCCTGATGCACTTCAATGATCTATAGGTATATCATCAAAAAATCCTTATTGAGGCTAAAGATTTCACTTTATTTTATTTGGTCAAGAAGACTACACTATATGTAGATTTTGCAACTGCAAATAAACTAAATAAGTCAGTACACATTTTCTTTCCTTGAAAAATATGGTTTCAAGGAGTTTAACCACGATAATTTTTTAGGGACTTCCATGCAGATCTTTATCCAGATAGTCCTGGATGTAAAACAGAACTGACAGCTTTTATGTGGTCTAATGGGAAAAATATGACCTTGCCAAAAATCAGTCTGGACCCCTCAAAGCGTGAAGATGGAGAAGAACCTATTGTGGTGAGTCTTTCATTGAAGACTCAAAGAAATATTTATTGTGTATTTTTTTTTTAAAGATACATCATGGATCTTTGAAAGAGTTTCAAGAAGAATTCCAGAATGAAAAGAAGGATGAGCCCAAATCGGATTTTGTGCCAAAGGTTACAGAAACCTTAGCTAAAAATACATATCATCCTGTTAGAGATATTGTCAAGGATATAGAAAAGGAAAAGTCTGAGGATGAAAAACATAATCCTGGTTTTAGAACTGTTGAAATTGAGGTTGAAAAGGTGAGAATGTGTGGATTTTGATTTAACAAATGTCAAAAGATATCAATCAAATATCGAGTGTTTGCTGATGATGAAAATTTCAATTCATAGGTATTTATAATGTGTAAAAACTATCAAGTAACAAAAATGAGATAAACTCAAAGTCTCAACCACAACAGTTCATAAAATGAACTAAAATGGTAGATAACCAGAGAAAAACAACTACTCTCCTGGCAATATGCCATGCAGAACATTGAATTACATCCTTCTGAAATCTATGCATTGATTTGTATAGACAAATATAGTCTTTATTTTTTGTTACCATTTCATTCCCCTTTGAGTATTTTGGCTATTTCCTAGTTGGAAATATCAAGTGTTTGCTGATGATGAAAATTGTCAATTCATTGGTATTTGTTTTCTGGAAGGTATCTCTATATTATGATGCAATATTGCCAAAAAGTTTTCAAGCCATTCAATGCATTATAATGATAATTATTATGCATGCATATTTCCATATTCCCTAATCTAAGATAAGATGTAGAAGATTTCTTTTATGACCCTTGCTATAGAGAAGCAGAATGTCTTCATGTGAATTAAGTTTGACTGCTTGATTGACAGTTCAACAATCCGTCGTGGATTTTTTTATTGAGAAGCATTTCATCATTAAGCACTTCACACTTATCATTGTTATGTAATATTTGCACAATTCAAGCTGCTGTCATTTGTGATATATAAATGGTAAACAAAAACACTTTATTTAACTGCCCCTTATCAATAAGCAGTAGATTATTTGCAATGTGTGTACATTGTAAAATAAAAGTAACTACATTTTTATTCCTATATTTTGAACTGGAATCATTCATAAAATAAAAATAATAATAAAAGATGTTTGAAAATACAAGAGACATCTGCTGTATATTGTGATAATGATAAAATAAAAGTGACTCCTGCTGTATATTGCTTGGATAATCATCTGTGCTACTGTTATTATATTATTTTAACAATAAAATTCATTTAGTGATGCTAGCCAACTGAGTGATTTTGTATCTGGAAAGTCTTCTCTTTGGTGAAAAAAACCTGCTAGAAAAATATGAATTTTCAGCTGCTGGATCAACCTAAATATGTTTCTTTGGTTGACATTTTTCCTATCTGTTGAAGGATATCTTTTTTCAAGAAAGAGTGAAGAACTCAAAAGTCAGTTCCATGAAACAGCAGAAAAATAACTATTCTTCTAGGCTATGCAATGGCAAGCAGAATATTGAATTCATATAAACAAACACTGATTGCAACTGTTGATTCACATCAGAATTTCTTCCAAACAAACATATTTCAGGCTGTGGAATGAAAGTCCAACACTCAATAGAACAAAAGAGGCAGGATTTATTAAGCGGGCGAGAGAGAGAGAGAAAGAGAGAAATATATTTTATTGTCAAAGAAAAATACTTTCTTATGACAAAGCTTGTACAAAATTTATATGTATAAAATGAAATCCAAAACACAAATACTCAAAAACACAAATTTGAAACAAGTTCACATGTCATGTATAAAAATATAGAGAAAATCAATCTAAAACAGGATTTAACATGTGAATTTGCAAAGTTTATTGAAAAAAAAATTTCATTATCATTTGAAAATGTAAAAACAAATACACAGAATCACACCATTTGAACATAAGTTCACAAGTCATTGAATTAAAATATATTCTACAAAAATGAGACAGCACATATAGGTGTAAATGAAAACAATAGTAAAACCATGTGAAACTCTTAATCACAACAAAGCTTCATTGTAATACTCCTCAATGTTGTAGTACACTTTTGTTGTAAGGGCTATGTTGGTATGTATACTAAACTCTTGATGCAAATTTTCAAACGTGTTGTAGATTATAGTTTATTTAATAGATTTTAGAAATACAAATCAAATTTATCAAATGAACAGTTGAAGTTTGAAAAAAATGGGGTTTTCAAATCTCAAAACACCAAGACGTCAAACGCTATGTTATCTTGACCATTTCCCAAAAGGAGAAAAAAATAACTCTAAGTCGGTCGACCACAAAATTTTATAAAAACCTTCAATGTGTAACTAGTTTCGGCCACACGGCCATCTTCAGACACAAAAATTATAATGAAGTACCTGAAAATCCGAACAGTTCTTAATCTAAATAATATGGCAGCTGGGAAAGAACATACCTCTATGGAGAAAACATCACAGAGGTAATTATGTTCTTTCCCAGCTGCCATATTATTTAGATTAAGAACTGTTCGAATTTTCAGGTACTTCATTATAATTTTTGTGTCTGAAGATGGCCGTGTGGCCGAAACTAGTTACACATTGAAGGTTTTTATTAAATTTTGTGGTCGACCGACTTAGAGTTATTGTTTTTCTCCTTTTGAAAAATACTGGACCACTTTGAGAATGGATTTTTTCCATGTCTTGACCATTTCATTCATTATCGCGAAAACACTACATGTCTTTAAATTTAAAAGCAAAGTCATAAAACATTGTGAACATGATATAGTCTAGCAAAATATCACTATGTTCTGAATATCTTCTCATAATTCGGTCTTGCATTGTTAACTCAATTGTGTTGCCGGAAAGCAAATCCGTTCCTCCTGAAGGACTCATGGTATTGCTTGACCACACATTCTCGTGAAAAATGAAGCGACAGATATTAGAAATTCCACACCAGTAATGTTTACCTAACCAAATTTGGTTTCTTTGACAAATCACCATAGCAACTCATGTATTTTAGTGGATTTTTTTTTCTCCTGGAACTCATCAGCGAAATAAATCGTTGTGACGTTTTAATGACAGAATAATATTTTGACGTCCTAAACTAGTGATTTTGTGCTACTACAATGAGTAGAAAACTTCAATTAATAGGCTAAGAATCGATTGGTTATCTATTCTATTATATATTGAATGTCATACCACTACCTGGGCCAGTGTAAGCCGTATGATGGAATGCTCAGATTAAAATTTTTTGCTGCTGATAGGCTTCAACAGGAAGATCTAATTAACCTAAGGTGGGCTTACGGACATACGGACCTTTATCAGAAGGTCATGGAGGTTCAAAAAGGAGAATTAGGAGAAGGAAGAGTACATATGTGTGCAGCAGGGGTCAGCAAAATAGGCCCACGGGGGCCTACTTGCTATGAGACCGCCTCCCCTTTTACTACTACTAGTAATTTTCTAACACTTCTAGTAACCAGAAGTTGATGTAAAATGCAAGAATATAGTATGTTACATTCTGAAATGGTATTTTCATGCAACTACAGTAGGTAGAAATTAGCAATTTGTGTGCTAGGAAGCTATTATTGGTGCCGAAACTGCGACCCAAACTGAATTTATTCATGAACCTTATATGAAAATCAAATAAGTTCAAAAATTCTAAAATTATTTAATTCCCAAACACAATCTGGTGTGAATTTTCTTATCGAATACCACACGAGTGAATATTCAGAACATTGTGATATTACTTATGATAACATGTTGGGTCTAACCATAGCAACAGCGGCAAGTATGCGGATAAGTGCACAAGTTGCATCTTATCGGGCGGCAGAAGTGTTAAAGTTATTAATTCTCACGATCAGAATCACGTTCGTTTCGAAACAATTTGACGTTGCGAAATGTTGCAAATTTAAAATAGGGTAGAGAAATATTATACGACGGCATTGTACATTTCGAAAGGTTCTGGTACCTCCCAAACCTTTACCGCGGACATCCAGGACTTCTTCCATTTGTGAAACGACATTGGAAGACCCGAGTGCTCCCAAGCCTGTAGCCAGGCCACGCACCAACAGTGTGGCCCCCATTGTGACGTCTGTTAACCCCAACTCCCCAGTCGTAGGGGGATACAAGGTTATTAGATTTCTGTGTGTTTTTTTTGTTGAAGCATGCTCTTCTTGCTTTTTGTTGTTTCAGTTGAATATACTCTGGTTGTCACTGAATAGATTGTCAGGGTTTCACTCATAAAAATCATGATATTGTGTCGGTAAGTACAGGGTGGCCGAGAAAGTGAGGTTAGTTCGTATATAATAGGTCGCGTGCACAATAAGCGTCCCTGGAGGTGAAACATTGAAACACAACCTCACTTTTCTGTGAAGCATTGAAACACGACCTCACTTTTCTTATTTATTTACAAAGGAAACAAAGTATTGAAATAGTTTTTCACAATATTTTGGCAAATGAATCGTGTTTGTTTGGGCTTATCTGTCCTTGTCTACAGTGTTCCAACTTAACATAATGAAAATTTTATGTTGGCAACACTGGAAATGAGATTTTTTTATACGATGATTTGATGGAAAAATATCTTGAAAAATTATTATAAGGTATTCCAGAGCCATAATATTTCAAGATATATTTTTTCTACAAATGACTGGAAAGGCCCAATTACTCAACTTGAGAAATCATTTCTTATAATGGGTTGAGGCCGAAATCATTTGAGGATATGTTTTTAAACCGGTGGAAAATCGGTACATTCACACCCAGCCCAGGTGAGGTCTGATGTACCCGATAATTAGAAAGCCGAGGAAAAAACAACAATAGGAATATTTTCAGATTTGTATGTGAAATGAGTTTTAAGATGTTTAAACAGAAACTTTTTATAAAGTTTAATTCATGAGATATCATCAAATACATATAAATGGCGAAATTCGCACGGGAAAAACACATGATAACTTTGAAAAGCTATTTACTGCACTGTCACTATATCCACCTTGGTCACTATCTTGGTAGATAGCTGAAGATTGAATTCGCACCCGAATATCACAGAATGAATTGTTTTATGAAGCTCTAGGCATAAAATATATGAGATTTAAAATTTTTCTGACCATCTGAGACCCCACCTGGGCGACGACGGTTTAATTGAGTTTGTGCAGTATAGCTCTCATTTTTTTTACATTCTGAAAAGTACATACAATAAATAAAATTGTTAGGTGGATTATTAGGAAAACAAATTTTGCAACTTTTTTTTGAATATCAATATTGGGCTTTCAATGAAGAATCGTGTTTTTTGTAGACAGAAAACTCGACAGAAAATCATATTAATGTTCAATTTTTAGGTATAGAACGTTAATGCTGGACTATTTTGAATTCAGGATCAACATTTTGAATTCTTGTGATGTGGTTTGTAGGTTACTAGGATATTTTCTTTCTGCATCTGTAAGGATTATTTTTTATGATGAATGTGCTTTGATGCAACTTTTTGTGTGATTTTTTTTGTTCCACGTGTAGACATTATTTTCACTATTTTTTCTACATTTTCATCGATATTCTGAATAATCCTCGATTCGTTCTGACTATTTGTTTCTAATTCATATCTGCATAATCGAAATGATATTCTATTTACATTCATATTTATTGTGAAAAATATAATGGGGAAATCTTCAAAACATGGTGCGATCTGGCGAGATACATAGTCGGTCAAATCATAAAAGAATTTCTGTAAAAAAGGGAAGAAAATCCATTTCATGATAATGATCATTCCATGGGCGTAAAACTCCTACGCCAAGGAAGGAAAGGGTTTTGAATATGAAATTTGGATTGCATTAACTCGTTTACTACAAAAAAATTTGATTTTAGTAATTCAAAACATCAGTAAACATGAAACGATATATGATATACATCCTTAACTTGGATACAGTGTATAGGGTGTTCTATTTAAAATTCAATCACTTTCTGCTGTATATTTTCCCAGATAGTGAAAACATATCTTGTATCCCGAGACAGATAAAAAATCCTCTGTGAGTCTGTTTTTTTTTATTTCTCTTCTACTGTCTAAAATAACAGTTACAGTTGGTGGTTCTTCATAACGTGTGACCTGGTATATCATTAAGAAAATTTCCATATTCTCAAATAATCAGAACGACTTGATGTTTGGAACAATACGAATCTTCAAGGTAGTTTGTCTTGAAATCATCAATATTTTCTAGCCGAGATTGGGCCCCAAGCCGTTCACAGCCCCCAACTTGACCGACACCGACAACGCGTTCCACAGGGTGTTCTCGGTGCCTGCGGTGCCAGGCCAAAACGGCTTTTCCGCGGACAAGCCGTCGACCCCCTCGGAAGAAGCCCCGACGGAAAACAAGGATAAGTCTCCCCTGATCGAAGCGGCAAGTAGCATCAAATATCTCGGCATTTATTTCAAAAAAACAAGTTACAAGAACTTGATAACATGAGATAAATATGCTTTTTCTGCAGTCGACTCAAAAGTCGTCGCATTTTTGTTCCAAAATTAGCTCTTGAAGTTGACGTTTCTCTTACTGACGGAATAAAATGCTCAGTACGTATGTTGCTAGGCAACACTTTGAGTTTCTAGGAGCTAAAGTTGAAGTTCATCTCATAGGAACTGAAAGTGTGTCGGATGACAGCTGATATGATAACTGCTTTGACACTGACATGCTCAACTGAGTCAAAATAGTGGTAACTTCGCTTATATTTTATATGTTATACCAAAATATGATTGTGGCAGAGATCATAAAAAAAGGAAAAAGGAACAAAACTTCGAAATCGAAATAATTTTTCCGGGCGTCCAGGGCCGGTCTAAAAAAATATATATAGCTGAACCTAATAGGTCGCGTGCACAATGACCGACCCTAGAGTGAAACAGTGAAACACAACCTCACTTTTCTGTAAAAAATTGAAACATAACCTTACTTTCTTTATTTGTTTACAGAGGAATTATCAAAGGATTGAAATAGTTTTTCACAATATGTTGGCATACGAATCGTGTTTTTTGCGCTATTCAATAATTCAAGCATGCCTTCTTATTGTGCTGTTGTACAAAGCACAAGAAATGCAGCGAGAGGCGAAGAAATATCATTTTTCAGGTAAATAGTATTCTCACATAGTTTTCATGCTAATAGATTGAACATGTCTACAACACATACGATCATATTTCGCCAGCATGTCAGACCAGTCCTCCCGTTTGATTGGATGAATCTAATCTTCTTGCATTCTTTTAGAAATTTCACGAGTATTTTTATTAGCTTCTATCGCAGAAGGAATTCCGATGAGAAATCAGAGAGAAATTACCAAATTTCAAAATGAAAAATATATGTGAGTGACTATAGTAGGTACTTACTTTTAAATCATAATGTACCAACCGAACTCCTTCGTCTCTCGCTGCATTTTTTGTGCATTATACAACATATGGCATGCGCGAATTAATGAATAGCCAAAAAACACTAATCGTATGCCAAAATGATTGTGAAAATCGATTTCAATCATTCGTAAACAAATAATAAAAGTGAGGATTTGTTTCAATGTTTGACCTCCAGAGTTGGTTATCTCGCAGCTCTTGCACGCAACCCATTGCCAACCCAACACGAACTCTATTACGAATCTTGTAAAGAGAAGTGACCAATTTGAACAACTACATAAGAAGAACTCGCTGAGAATTTATGGAATAGTGGAACGTGATAATGAGAATACCCCCGAAACCATTGTGGAATTTATCAATAAAGAACTAGGCGTTGAATGCTCGAGACGTGATTTGGATATGGCATTTCGCCTCGACCAGATGAGTTCTGAAAAACCAAGGGCTATATTGGTGAACTTCACCTCAAATATCTTGAAAAACGATATTATGAGTGCGAAGCGTAAGCTGAAAAATTCCCCGATATCAATTTACGAAGACCTGAGCAAATCACTGTATGAACTTCTTCGTAAAGCAAAACATAAATATGGTTCCAGAAACGCGTGGGCATCTGCCGGAAAAATTTTCGTTAAGCAAGGCGAATCCAAAAAGCAAATTTCAAGTAACGCTGACCTGTAAACGCTGCCAGTGTGGATTCATCGGTGGCCGTAGATTTCAGTTACTTACTGGTTTTTGTGCTCCTGTGATTTATCTATTTTGGAATGATTATTCTTTTATTTAGCGATAAAAACACATGTAATATATTTTTGCGTTATTTTTGTTATCATCAAGTTTTTCATGGGTTCTATGTGGTGAAACTATATTTATACTGGGTGGCCCCACTTAATAACAGAAGAATCTCATCATCATATATAGGTTTTTTTCTTTTTTCATTTTTCTTTTAATAATCTCTACTGGAGTTACTTAGAAATCATTTGAAGTATATTGCGAATGACTCGCGGTGATTATTCATTGAGCTTTGCGCATTTCAATATACGATCAATGTTTACGGGTTTTGACATGTTTAAGGATCTTGTTATTAGTCAGTCATACTCAATAATTGCTTTGTCCGAAACATGGCTGGATGCAGGCGTATCAACAAGTACTTTTCATATACCAAATTATAAATTAGTCAGAGTTGATCGGTCGTCCAGAGGTGGAGGCGTTGCCTTCTACGTGCATAACTCAATAAAATTCAAAGTTATAGAATGCTCATCAGCTGACAATACTTTATTAGAATACATCTGGATAAGTGCAGTGATATCGGCAAAAGAATGTGTTTGGGATGCATTTATAGGCCGCCAAACCTGAATTTTAATCAAACAATGGACACATTGGAAAATACAATTGCTGGTTTTATGGCTGAATATGATATAATACTGTTTGGTGGGGATCTGAATATCGACATGCTGAATAAGGACAATAATAATTGTCTTCAGTTCAACAGTTTACTTCATAAGTATGATTTGCATCAAGTTATAACTGAACCCACTCGCGTTACGCCCAATACTAAAACATTGTTAGATGTGATTATTTGCTCGGTGAAAAATTTAGTTACTAAGGCTGATACGATAAATATGGAGGGTATTTCTGACCATCGCTTAGTTGATTGTACGCTGAAAATAAAAATTAACAAAATACCACACACCTTCTGTCAACTGCGAGATTTTGATAATTTTGACTACGAGTTATTTGTGAATGATTTGATGTCCATCAATTGGTCAGGTATCTACGATTTTCAGGATATAAATGATAAGATAGAATTTTGGAATACGAACATTATTCGCCTATTCGATAATCATGCACCATATAGATCTATAAGAATATCTAAAACCCCTGCTCCTTGGCTAACACAAAATTTGAAGTTGATGATGAAATTGAGAGATCAATCATTTAGAAAATATAGAAAAAATAAATCTGACGCAAACTGGAACAACTACAAGGAAATGCGCAACTTCGTTAATATGTGTCTTAAATCAGAAAAAAGGGCTTATTTACTATTCAAGTCAAAGTCAAATCCAAAACAATTTTGGAAAAGTGTAGATTACCTGAATTTAAAAAATAAAGAAAATAATGTATGTCACTCATTCGAGGACGCTGACACTTTGAACAATTATTTCGTCAATACCACCACAGAAGATCAAGGAATAACTGATAACAATATCATCTCGAAATACTCGGTTGTAAATGAACCCAGCTTCAACTTTATTCCTGTGATATCTGATGATATTCTAAATATAGTTTCATCTATTAAAACAAATGCCAAAGGCGTGGACGATATAGATATCAAAATGTTAACATTGATCCTTCCTTATCTGTCAGATATTATCACTCATATCATAAACGTCTGTTTAGCCCAGGGTGTAGTTCCAGATGTATGGAAAATATCTCATGTTACACCGATACCAAAAATCAACAATCCCACTGATATCTCCCATTTTAGACCTATAAGCCTCTTACCTACAATCTCTAAAATACTCGAGAAAGTTGTTGCAAAACAGCTAAAAGTTTACCTAGAAAATGAACGTATATTACCGCCGATACAATCGGGCTTCCGGGCTGGCTATAGTACAACCACTGCTCTAGCTCAAGTCACTGATGATATTTTCAGAGCGAATGACTCGAAACTCAACACATGTCTCGTGCTTTTAGACTTTAGCAAAGCGTTCGACACGCTCAATCATTCATTGCTTTGTAGGAAATTGAGATATTTTGGATTAAGTGATTCTGCAACTTCATTTTTTGCAAACTATCTGAATGGAAGAAAACAAAGAACTATTATTAAAAACAATTGTTCACAATTTAAAAAAATAACCAGTGGTGTCCCACAAGGAAGTATATTAGGTCCTCTGCTATTCTCCTTGTACACTGCTGACTTTCACAGAGAAATGGAATTTTGTAAAATGCACCAGTATGCAGATGATACACAGATATATCTATCCTTCAACTCAGATGACTTGGCTATTGCTTGCGAAAGAATGAATTCAGATCTGCACTATATCGCAAATATATCGAAAGCTCATTCTTTGAAACTAAATGGAACGAAAACCGAAATCGTTGTTTTCGGCAAAGACAGAAACGAAATTGCCGAAAGCCCCGACTTCAAAATCAAAATCAACGACGTTACATTAAATCCTACTAAAGTCTGCAAGAATCTTGGTGTTTTCATAGACTCTGACCTCAAGTTTGATAAACATGTCAGTCATTTAATCAAGAAGTCATACTCCAAACTAAAATTGTTATACCTCCACAAGGACATCCTGAGCACCGACGTTAAACTCAAACTTTGTGATTCCTTAGTTTTATCAGGGTTGGCATATTGTGACATTGTTTATTGGCCAGCATTGTTACATAGAGATAAAGCTAGCCTTCAAAGAATACAGAATGCATGCATTAAACTCTCATATAATCTACGCAAGTATGATCATTTCAGCAAAGAATTCAAGCAATCTGGCTGGTTGAATTTAGATGAGCGATTCAAGATCCATATTTCATGCCTGGTCTATAAAATAAATAAACAAAGTACTCCTCCATATTTGTTTAATAAACTCTTGAAGGGATCAGATATACATGACAAACCGACTCGTTCACGTGACTGCTACACAGTCCCCAAGCACAATACTGCCCAATTCCAGAAATGTTTTTCCTATGTGTCCACACACGTTTTCAATACCTTACCTGCCCACGTCAGATCTGCCCAGACTATCAACATGTTCAAATCACATGCCAAAGCCTGTATACACAATATGAGAAACACCAACTCTTGATGAGTAGATCAAACTATCAATTCGATATTTCAATTTGTTGTTCTATTATATCAATTATTCATATAATTTATATCATTATTATCATTATAATTATTATATGCTTTTTATAATTTATATAGTATATTATATAGTTTGTTTCATGCCATTTTCAACAGATTACAGGTAATTAGTTATTATTTCGATCATTATGATCACTGTTAAATGTGCCTTTCAACTTGTTGGATATTCAGGGGGTTGTATGGAAGAGCAACTCTGTTGAATACCGCCTCCTTTATGTATCGTTTGTTTATGAATGTTATTAATGAAGAATAAAGACACATTATTATTATTATTATTATTGCCAAAGTAACTAGGCTAAGGAATTTGAGTGATGATTCTATTTAAGGAACAAAATAAAATGGTCTACTCACCTATTGTGGTATTACATATGACAACGAATTATCATTATTATCATTATTATTATTATCGAATAGCCGCCCAAGACCGATCCGGAAAACGGGAAATCGGGCTCTAGCGGCGAAGACGAGAACAGTGGCGATTCGGGCTATATTCCCAGAACGCCCAGTACGGCGGAGCGCAGGAAGTTGTTCGAGACGCGGTCGAATTCCAAAGAGAACGAGTCCGAGGAGAATTTGGATTCGGTCGATTTCGAAAGGGGATCCTTGCAGAGGGCCAGTATAGCGGAAAGAAGGAAAATGTACGAGAGCAGGTATGAATAATTGAAATTTAATCATCTTTAATAACTTGAGTATATAAATTGAACATTGAATTACATCCTCCCGAAATCTATGCATCGACTCCTATAAACGAATACTGATATAGTGATGAAGTGATTCTTTTCTGAATGCCTATTGATTTCGATGTAGCCAGGTCAAAAATGAAAATTCAAATTATTATCGACAATTGACAATGCCATGTCAAGGTTAGACAGAGTTAATCAAGTCAAGTCAGTTATGTTGATCATGATATTCAGTGAGGTACTACTGATGGAACTTTGTTCATATACCAAGTTGAAATTGACAATATAACTTATTTCTTAAATTATGGAAACTTATTTGTCTGGCCTATGAAAATGATTGCTTCCAGATCTGTTTCTGTGCAAGAACAAGGTGCAGAGAAAAAAGAAGGTTCTCCAGTCATGTTACGGCGAAAAGACTCGCTCAAGAATAGGAAGAACGCCGAGGACGTCCTCAGGGAAGACAATTACAGAAAGAGCGTGCCGATTTCCAAGCAACAATCCATGGAACCGATCGGAATGAGAAAAAGCGAAGTTTCCATGCCTACGCCGAAAAGGACTTCTACAGTTTTTGGCAAGTCTGTCAGTAGCTATCCAATAAGTGATAGTTGAACTTTATTTCCTTTCACAGGTCGAGTATCAAAGTTCCGACATTTGAAAGGGACTCCTCTGCACAAGTCCTTCCACATTGAAAATGTTCGGAATTTGAGCAGACAAATCTCTGGAGAGTGTGACGGCTTCCATGGTAAGACTCGAATAATTAAACTGACGGCACAGTTTTTTACAGACATCAATTTATTCATGTTCAAACAAAGATGGCATTAATGAGTTGCAGTGGATATAACTGGCCATAACTTCATGTGCTAACAATCGGGCGATTCTGTTCGGATCTTGTTATAATATTGCTGAGATATTGTTTTGACCATAACATATAACATTATTGCTATGCAATTCTGTATTCTATTTAGACAGTATCTGCAGGATTGGTTATAAGTTGAAGTGATGGCAATATTGTTGAAAAATTGAGAATTTTTGATCTGACATTCTTTTATGGAGAAGAAGAGTTTATGATTATCTATCTTCCCAAATTAGTTTATCCTGTCACTGAAATTTTGAAAATTCCAATGTTCAAATTGACAGATTCAGATTGTTTGTATTTGGTGAATTTGATCGTCGCTGTGCAAGTAGTGCGAGTAAACAATCATGCCTCGGGCATAAGAAAACAACCAAAAGCTGGATGACAATTATGATTTCTTGAGTTTGTCTTCTTCTATTTTTTTTTCAAACAGTAATCTACCAGTCAAACACAAATATTGATAGAAGAGAGTTATATATCTAACAATTGGTACCTGATAGTCCAGTTTTGACGAGTGGTGGTTCACTGTTGATCACCTTTTTTGTATGGGGAAGTTTCCTATTTGAGGTTTTCATCTCACTGTGAAGTTTGTGAAAAATTAATATATACGTATTTTTTCTTTTTTTCCTAAGATCGCATTTCACTTCAGAAAAAGTAAATAAAATAGGAACCTGGCTCCTCCACCATTCCCAAAAATTGACTCTTTCTGAAAATCCACATTCACACAGAGTTAAAATACGAGTTCCTGTGCCAGACGTTGCCGACATCATCAATATGTCTAGATTTCCGGAAATTGTTCTTTGAATGCATAATAACTAAATCATAACAGCAATGGGATAAAATAGGTTCTGCAATCCTACTTTATCAAGAATTATGAATAATTTTCATAAATCTCATTGGCTGAAAGAAATTGATTACTAATAAAGATAAATTATGATATTTTGCGATAGTATCCATAATTTTTCACTATCGTTATATTACAATAGGTTATTCATAACTTGTCAGTAGTTTTTTTCTGATGAATTCGTTCCTTAATAAAACGGATCCATCCATTTTCTAGGAAAGTTGCAGATTATAATATCATGCAACAGCGCCTAATACTTCGAGTGCGTTCACACCACTCAAAATACTGACAGGCACAACAAGAGGAAGGAGCCATGGGTGTCGGCTTCATTCTGTTCTGACCGATGGCAGTAAATTAGAACGGATAGTATTATTGAATGTAGCCGATAGTGATTCATTGATTCAATGATATTTTCGTTTAGGATCGAGCTCAATTCGAGATATTTCAATGCATAAATAACAAAACCATAACCTGTCAGAATGAAGCCAACTACCTTCTGCATTCCTGCTCCGAGTGCATTTGTGGTTATGTATGTTTTTGTTTACCAGTTTTCTATTTTTTTCATTCGTTTTTCATTCTTTTTTCATTCGTTAGCTTTTCGCTAGCTATATTCTTCACCATCAGTTATTTTCAGACCAGATTCAGAATGTACATTCTGTACAGCCTGGACGTGAAACTGGAGAGTTCCGAACTCATTTTATGAAAATTCATCTGAAGAAAACTTCCCCATTATCTTTATCCTAATCGTGATTGTATATTTCATTAATTATTTCTTCTAGTGTTTCATTTGCTCTATTACTCAGTTGTTTTGGTATTCGTTGTTGTTGTGGTTGTATGTAAGTAAGTAATCCTATCAAGTAAGTACATTTATTCGTTTTTACTTCTTTAGCTGTTGTATTTCTATCTAGTTTAATGCTTCTAGTAGATATTATTTTTTTGCCCATTTTCAATAACTTTTATATCTAGTGCGTCTTTTAGCTTACAGGCAAATGAATTTAAGATCGCAGCGCAAATTGGCCGGTTGTGGAACTATATGCAAGTACATTGTTTTGAAATGGTTCATTTATTTTGGTTGTGTGTGATGTGATTTGAGCAAAGGAAACTGTTTATTTGTGTACTCTTGTGATTCAAGCTTTTCAGCAGATATTCTTTCAATAAAGTATGTTTCACTACTTAAAATACATGAGATTCGCAAAATATAAATGCCCCAATTTGAGGTTACGTTAGTTTGCATTTCATTCCCCTTCAGTAGTAGAATAAATATTGCAAATTAAGTGGAGTGAATATAATGTTCACAAAGTAGGTAATTGAGATGTTTGTATTGTAGTCGATTCATCTACTTACATGTGTTAATGAAAGAGAAAAAGTCCTCAAAGCTGGATGTATCTGCGTCCTGCGAATAATTGATCTACCTAGTAGGAAACATTGAACATGTGTGCTTTGTTTTTGTGGGTGGATTAATTTTTTTTCAATTTCTACTGTACCTTTTCACTTCTGGGAATAAATTACAACTGAATTCAATCTCGAAGTTGAGAGAAAACTTTCAATTATTCACATGAAATGGGCCTATTTTAGTGAAAAATTTATTTCATTACTTTGAAGTACTAACCCTAAATGGTTCCCTGTAGCAAACCGTTTTTTCCTCAGAGCTATGATATTTCTTCAAATGGTTATTGAAATTCACGATATTTCATATCATGAAAAACGCGGGAAAACGCGATCTGAATCATCCGAGAACACCATATAAGATTCTACTTACGTATCAATTCTCTATTTCTGATTGACAAGTGCAAGAATATTTCTGATTGTCATTGCATTCAGAATAGGGAATGAATTTTCTGGATTGAATACTTTCTGCAGATAACAGATAACACAACACACAATCAAAGAATCAGATTATTATTATCTTTGAATATTCACATCGTGGCAAGATGAAACAAGGATTCGACATAAACATCTCAGATTCGACGATGAAGGTGACAGCCGATATTAACGTCAGGAAACTAGGTTGACAATGTAGTTTGTCTTCTTCTTTTGTTTGTATTTCTGGGAACTTGTGCATTACACTGTTGCACGTGCCACAAAATAATTTGGGATTAATTAAAATCTTGATCATTATTAGGCATACTAGGATATTTTTATTGGTACTGAAGCATCTTGAAAGTAAATAAGTATTCAATAAGTGATCATTAGGGACTAGGTCGAACTATTGTCTTTCTGTGAATGTGAATACCTGCGTTTTTCGAAGCCGCCGAATTTAATTATTGAAAAAAATATTTGCGATGATTTTAAATAACGAATGATTGCATCAAATACTGTTTATACACGGAATGATCAATATAAAATAGGTGTGTGGCGTAAATTCGACTTCTGTGTACAACCCCATTATTATTTTCTGTGAAATACAGTGAGAAAACTTTCATGAATAACATGTGAGATGGAGCAATAATGTTTTGAGATACTCAACTGAAGAATTCAAACTCCAAATACTTTGGATAAAATGCATGGAAACAAACATTCAATGTACTTTCCATTAGTTACTTGAACATCCGCAAGAGGGCGCATCGCTTATTTTGAATCGCCTATTGAGAGTTTGTGAGTTTGATCGTGCTCTGCATAATGTCGCGTATAAATATTGTCGTGTTCCATTTTGTTCTCCTAGAGATGATGTGAAAATAACTAGACACCCCCAATGATGTAAATTTAGGGCAACAATGGGTTCAGGCATATCAAGGTGAAATATTCTGCTTGGGTCGCATATTCGAAAAAAAAAAAATGCATTAATATTTCAGGAATGAAAACATTTGAAGTTTGTGAGCATGATGATGGACGGAATTTCATGACTTATATAGTAACATCAAAAATATGAAGGGAGATAAGCATCCCCTACCTTCCTGCTTGGCTTATCCTGGTGGCACTGGCCATTCGGTCTCAGAACATCGAATGCGTGGTGGAACGTTTGGAATGTTTGACATCATAACAATTTTGTTGTAATATAAAACTTCGTAGAATAGAAATGGTAGATACCGAATAGTGAATAGATATAGGTACCTACTGATGGAAAGGATGAGCCAACAAAAGAGGAAAAATGTGCATATAACTCATGGAAATATTTAGGAGTCGATCTGAAATTGCTCTGAAAGGTCTTTGTATTGAATCTTGGTATACCAATCTCATAAACATTTTTAATTTTTTTCATTACATATTCTGAAAAAGGTCAGTATGAAACATTCATCATCCTAGGTTTGATTTTGTTTGATGTTTGATCTTATGAACACATAATTTAATGAAGAATGTCGCTATGTAGGTAACAAATATAAATTTCAATGCACTTTCCATTTCCATAATATGGTACCCACTGCATGATTCACTACAATATTCCCCATTAATATATAGGTACTATCGAAATTCCCACGTACCTAACATAAAGCCCGAACGTATATGCCAAAACCATTATTCAATATATCATCAATCCATGGATCCAAAAATTGATCTTATCTAAACTTTGAGGTTTTTTATTGATGATTATTATGTCATTTCGATTGCATGTGGTTTTCACACGGTTGTCATCACATGAATGTCTTTCTTCATTCTTTGCCGTTTTATTCGTTTCTACACAATTCTTATACCAGAGTATCACAAACAAACGCGACTATTATAATACCTCTCGCCTACTAACTAGTTTTTCCCAATTAGATCGTCTTCTAAGTGCTTTAAAACATCCTCAGAATAACCAAAGGCGCATTATACGGCCTAGTGCGGATGTGGCGAGTGAACGCCGGCGCTTGTCAATCTTGATTGCTTCCCAATGTTTCTTTCAGGGTACTTGACAAGTACCTGGTGTCTTTCTCTATGTTTACAATATAAGTCACTTTCTTTTTGATGTTTCATGCGCCTGAGCAGCCCAGTGTATGTTGCTCTTTAGCTAGTCCCAAATATAACGCATTTTAGTGAACTTTTACAAAGAACGCCACTCTGCATGAGCTCTTATTGTTTACCTTTTGGAAATATCGAAATATAGCCAATCTAAGTTGATAATTTCTGATTCTGGAGACGAGCATGTTATAATAATTCTGAGTTGAATTATCTTGAATACATGGAAATATAAAATAATCATTGGACATAACCAGAAATAGCTTGTCATTTGTACGGTGTTACCCACACAGTCAAATATAAAGTGGCTATTGTCTAAGAATGTTGAAGTTGTGTTCTCGTTTTACGAATTTACATGTCACATCCGAGAGTTTGTTCTGAATTGGTTGAACGTTCGTAATTTCATACAGGAGATTGTTTGAAGTAGTAGTTATCGTACTTTCAGCTGCCCCTGAACTATTAGTGCCTATTCGAATATAAACTATTAAGCCAAGCAAACCCGTTTTAATTGATATGGTGGAGAAACCAGCCCTTTTATCGTGACAATATAACGTCAACGTCTGAACTAAGTGCTGGTGTTCTTTATCAATTATTGTAATTATTGTTTAGTTGACTTGAGACATCTATTATGAGAGATATAAGCTGTGTCATCTGTATACTGTAGAATGCATAGGTCTTTAATAATTTTATCATTGTTTTTATCTTAGGTGAAATCCATTTTCACGATATAAATGCAGATTCTGTAAGATATAATCGTAACAGTGATTATACGATAACCATCAATCTACAGGCAGTGCTTGTTGATGCGAAGGACTCAAAAAATATGAAATTACCATGAGGGTTAAAATGAAAGAGTTGCAGAACATGATTGAAAGAGTTGCAGAACATGATACTTCATAACTGTCCGACTAAAACCACCGATATTCCAGCGAATCCTGAGCGCGTGGCGGTCCCTTTGAGCGGCCCCGGCGGCAAGATAGCCGTCTTCGAGCTGTCCAACACCGGCAAACTGCCGGACGGCGTCATCCCAGCCCTGGTGCACGGCACCAACGTGTTGGACTTCGCTTGGGACCCGTTCGACGACCGCCGGCTGGCGGTGGCGTGCGACGACGGCCTGGTGCGGCTGTGGCGCGTGCCCGCCGGCGGTCTCGTCGAGCCGACGAACGAGCCAGAGCGGGAGTTCGTCGCGCACTCGGACAAGATCTACTTCTTGAAGTTCCATCCGACGGCTCGGGACGTTCTGGCGACAGGTGGGAGAATTTCACTTCTACACCTTTTCCCATTTTTGTTCAAAAATGGTCAATTGTATTTCCTAAATGATTATTTGGATATCAAAAAGCATCATTTGTATTTCAAATTAGTCAATTTAATTTCGAAAAGTATCAAATGTATTTCAAAATTATTAATTCAATTTCAAAATGCGTCAATTGTATTTGAAAACAGTCATTTTGATTTCAAAAAACTTTAATTGTATTTTTCTACTCACATAACTAAAATGGCATTTAGCATAGGGATATGTACCACGCTAAATGATCGATTATTCACGAATTGACGACCTGTGATTTATTCAAAATATTAAACACGTTACCATGGCAACACGATTTCTTAAACACATTACCATGGCAACACAGTTCATTAAACACAGCTTCAGTAATTTTAGACATGTCTGGTCTGTCAATTGTATTAACTGACAACTGTTATTTTCAAATTTTGTATCAGATTTATTCAAACAATATTCGTTTGTATCAGAATTCTTCATTTGAAATATATGCGAAAAGTAGACGAAAGTGAAATCGAAGAGAATGTTCTGGTTTGCATATCTCCAAGAAGTGTAAAAATGAAGCATCCATCTTTGAGAACAATTTATTTATTCAGCGCTAAGCATGAGAATAAACGTGAAACAAAGGTTAGTAAGCAATGGACTGGACACATCTACAAACAATATCACTTATACGTGTCTCGCTGGTTGCATGCAGTTGCATGTATTATGTTCTCAATTCCCATTCCTTTCGAATTATTTTGTAGGTCAGCAAGAATAGCAGGTAATGTAATTTTCGGAGTTCGTAGAAAAAGCATAGTATGTAACGCGTTTATAAACTCTTCTAGACACTCGTTTATTAAACACTCGCTCCGCTCTGCTCCGCTCGTGCTTAAAATACTCGTTACTAAAAGGACGTTTATAACACTTGTTACATAATATACTATTATAGGCTTCCTTTACTTAGTTCATTATTTATTTCAGTGGAATATACAGTGTGAGCGATTTCAACCTGCAACATGTTTATTTGAAACCCGTCGAACGATTATCAAAAACAACAATTCTAATATATAGTACTCAACGAGTTCTATTCAAACATGTGGACAAATCTGGAATATTCAGATTTTCAAGGCCTACTTTTATTTGTTGAAGGGGTCAAAATTTCAATAACGACTTTCAGGCAATATTCCATCGAAACAGTGACTTGCCCATTCCATTCAGGTATAGCTGAAATATCCCAATACGAAATTTCAACGCAAAATCTCATATACGGTGTTAGTTATTCTATGTCAAATTTTGATCATTTTGCTCTTTCGATTCACCCTGTATCGAAATCTAAGGAGTTTATATAACCGATCAAGTAGTCTTTTTTTGAATTGACTCAACCGTTACTTGATGGAAATCCATGGCAAATGTAAAAACTTCACAAACGATAAGTTTTCCACAATATTTTGTGGAAATATTATTCACACACTTCATCATATGGTAACTTTGAAAATCGTCTCAATTGATGAAGAACTGTCGAATATAACACAAATTGTATGGCAGACAGAAACTCTCCAGATGCTGCAAGGAGTTATTCTGATGCTTGATGTCAGCATAATCATATACAAATTTTGGCGAAATGGAATGACATTTTGAGAGGACATTGAAAATCGTTATGTATAGAAAATATTCACTCGAATTGGTTACCATTATTTTTATTACCAGGAAAATAATGGATCATAATAAGAACATATTTCTCAACTTCAATTTCATTCATTTTTTGTTGATCTATAGAGATCTTCCTGCAAAACTTACAGCGATGAAACTTCGTATCTATATATTCCACGTGTTTCTCCATTGGATTACTATTCCACCAATTATATCAACTCCCTAGATTTCGATAAATGGTGAATCGAAAAATCAAAAATATTAAAATTTGCCATTGAATAACTAGCAACTTATATAAGATTTTGTGTTAAAATTTTGTATGGGGCTATTTCAGATATACCTGAATCAAATAGGCTAGTCACTGTTTCGATAAAAATTGTCTGATGGTCGCTTTTAAAGTTTTCACCCCTCCAACATACAAAAAGGCAGTGAAACTCTGAATATTCCAGATTTACAATATTATGGAATTTTTTTTTAAACAATCAGTCGACGGGTTCTTAATTAGGAGGGTGTTGTAGGTTGAAATCGCATACACTTTATGTATTCCAAAAGCCCATCCATTTCGGTCTTTCAGCCATAACTTCTTTATTTCTGTGTGTTATCCTACTACTGACCTACTAAATCTACTTTATATACTTTTCATAATATTTTTAAATCACTCATAGTGGAAATTTGTCAAATGAAATCTAATTCAAAGTCAATGCAGAGCCTTCTATTTGAATAAACGCCTCCCCCCTGGATTTTTTTCGGGCGGCTCCCACGGTTAACCAACGAATTATTCCTTAGGTTCCTACGATATGACCGTCAAGTTGTGGGACCTTGTCGACCTCACCGCCAAAATCACGCTGTCGGGCCACACCGATCACATGCTGAGCGCGGCGTGGTCGCCGTGCGGCTTCTATCTGGCCACCGTCAGCAAGGACAGCAAGATACGGGTGTACAGGCCACGAGACAGCGACACGCCCCTGGTAGAAGGCAAGGGGCCGGAGGGGAACAGGGGGGCTCGCATCGTGTGGGCGCTAGACGGAAGGTAATATAGACGACTAGAGTCTGGCGACTCCCCTAATCAAGTTGCTACAAAACATCCTCGTGCGCGCGTACTGAACACGGAATGGTGGTTGGTTAATCTGTGGAATGGTCTGTTTGTTTGATAGTTTGATTTTGTATTTATGGCATATGATATGACATTGACAACTATTAGGTTCGATTTGTGCACCTGGATGGTTTGTAGCACCTCGAATGGGACAGCTTCTAGACTCTAGTATATAGTCGGGACATTTTGGGAAGGCGAAGTCTACCATAAAACGTTGGTGAGACGAAATGTATATGTTCATTTCATTTCAACTTTGACTGCTTGATGGTGATAAGAATGAGTGACAGTAGTTGTCCGACCAGCTCCAATTACACAAACCGGTCTATTCAGAAAAAAGTCGTTATTTTACGAGTCCATATTTGAATATATGTGGAGGAACTGCAGGGATATAAATAATTTCCATCAAATCAATATGAACCCACAAACCCCAATATCCTGGATGAAAGGAGTGATTTGGTTCTATGATTGAATAGTTCCAGAGGCCCAATGATGGATGAAAAGCAGCATGGAGAAAAGTACCCATCTTTAACATATTGTTTAACAATTGTCTACAAGTATGTCTGATATTTCATGGATACATCTGCTTGGGACATAGCCCATGATTTGTCTCTTTCTATAGATTTTTTGTAACAACAGATGGGTACATCAGTAAGTAGGTACTTTCTGATTATATTTTCAACAACTGATGGTATATACTAGTATTCCTACTGGCCTCCTTGGGATACTGCAACATATTATGAGATAATACCCCCAAACTATAGCTCTCTGGGTAACCGACAATCCTCCCGAAAAGTTTCCTTCATAGGACTTTCGAATGGTTTACTAGCGTCCCTCAAGCGTCTATTCAAATTGTTATTCACTTGTCTGAATCGAAATAAACGGTGACTAATAACAAATATTCATATTCAACTCCTCTGAAACCCTTCTGAGAATTTAAAAAGACTGACTGGATCCATCTCCAACAGAAAACCGATGGATGAGAGGATATTATGCGTTCATTGTTTTTGTGTTCATGTTATCCTACCGATACTCTGAATAGCCATTGTTCTTTAAACGATGTTCTGATGACAGCTTGTCGTTCGTTACCGACCGTCAAATCGGTAGTGAATTCCATTCAAAAAAAAAATATCGTTATTTAACGATATGCCATCCACTAACGACACGTAACGATAACGTTATGAGATACTGAATAGGCCTGTTAGACTAATGTCTTTGAGAATACAGGTGGAGTGGCAAGATTACTATAGTGCAGGTATGTCCGTACTCAATTCTGTCTAAATGTGAATAGCCATGATCGGATTTGGAATTATTAATTAATTACCATTATTCATTAGAAGTATCTTTTTTATTTTGGAAATACTCCAAAACATTTAACACGAACTTTCTACTGTGCTCGATCAAAACTTCACACCGAGTCATTTTCAAATTCCGTATCACAAGCTGATAACAATAGAAGAAGTAACACAACACACGTCAAAGATGAACACATCCAAAATGAGGCAATTGTTAGGCCAATTTCGAGTCCATCTCTGTTAATCTACCAGGTTTTGAAAAGAAGTACCTCTAATCGGCCATCTTTCTCTGGTATAATTAATTCTTCCATAACGTTAATCATAGCTTAAGTATGGGACGTACCTGGGAGGATCTTAGGTATATTTCAAACAAGTGAGAATCGTTTGGATGTATATGTTGTGTGTCACCAATGTTTTATGGCGGATTTCGCCTACTGAAAATGTCCTGACTTGACATACTATTCGCCAACAATGCTAAACGCCAAACACGGATAAACGAATGGAAACGCGAATGATCATTCCGTGTCAGATTTGTAATTAATATTTACCCTATGAGATTCAATATAACCAATGACAACAGTATTCTAAATTTTAAAAAAGTCCTTGTTCGTCATTCAGTTGTTCCCTCACGAGCAACCCTCAGAAGTCTTCAAGAGGCTTGTGCGACCAAGGAATGACGGGGCCTGGTTTTAATTTTCTCCTGAATATGCTACCATAGAGAACCACGTGGTTAGTGGTAAAACAGTGTACTGTCCTTTATATATCATGAAAGAGAACACGAATAAATATGGTTGGATAGTGGATTCCTGTTTTTTTTTTTTTTTTTTTTTTTTTTTTTTTTTTATTTGATTGTCTTTATTACCCCAAGAAACATTATTGTTTATAATAGGGATATATACAACAAAACATACATATTATAAAACATAATAAATCGAAACAATAATAATTGCACAATTATTGTTTTTCCTAAAAAAAAAAAGAATTATAATAAAATATAAAATGAAAATATCATAATCCATTACAAGAAATCAAATTGTGAATGATTAGTACCATTAAAGTTTACTGAGCAGATATTTCTTTAATTTCATTTTAAATTTTTCTGCTTCTTCTATATTTTTCAACTCATTAGGTAAGGAGTTATACAAAATTATTCCATTATGGAATATTGATTGTTTACCAAAATTTGACTTATAATTATTTGCTATCAATAAATTGAATTGCCTTGTTTCATGGGCGTGAATCGTATTAACTTCATTAAAATTCAAATTCGATATTCAGTAATTCCACAATACATATGAATGAATTGAGACGGCAACGCTGTTTATAGAACTATGTAGACGACCGCTCACAGTTTGGTATGCCTAGTTTTATATGCAGAGTTTAATGAAGGATTGTTTGGTGGAGCAAGATGAGGTAATCGCTGGCACGGAGTTGATGAGTATTTAATTTGTAGGTTTTTGGTCGTCACCGGTTTCGATAAAGTATCAGAGAGGCAGATCAGCGCTTACAGGTCAGAAGATTTGGGAATACTCAACACAGTGGGATTGGACGTTTCGCCTGCCATTTTGATGACCTTCTACGATGAGGGTAGTTCCACCCTATTTGCTACTGGAAAGGTAAGGTTAACCTATGGATTCAAACAATTTGATGAAACCTCTACGAATATTAAAACAGTATTTTTTGCAACGATCATGTATTAGTAGCCATTCATTGAACATTATAAATGTGAGTTTGTTTGTCGGGCTTTCACGTCCAAACAACTCAACCGATTATCATGAAATTTGGTATACATCTCAGATGTATTTGAAAAGACACAGGATAATTTTTATTGAAATAAAGACAAATTTTTACGACTAAACAAATATTTTGGCAGACCTTGTTCTCATCGTTTGATGAAGAAATTCTCTAGCTAGAATAACTGTTAACCGTATAAATAGAAATTCGGCGGCACAGCGGATAGTCATTGAGTTTGTTGGGTACATATAGTGCGATACTTGTAACACACTTCCGGTATAAACGGAAGTCCTAGGAGACTAACCAACGGATTTCATGATTAGGCCTGTATAAGGCCGTTAATAAATTGTTCATACTTGGCTTAATTTTGATTTGTGGTACTAAATATGACATTGTATCGACTTCAAGGACAGCCAACAGTAATGAGAAAAATAAACATATGAAGATCGAATCAACTAAGAGATATACACAGGCGTCATTGATGAATTGTTTCGTCCCACTTTAAAATATTTCTGTCCTCGTCGCGCTGGAATCAGCTGGAACGATATACCAGTGACGTAGGCGTTTTACACAAGGACCTAAGCATAATGCAATAATATAATATACTGATTCAATTGAAAAATATCAACAAAATATTTGAGTTTTCGACTTGAATCTATTAGAAGGGTCATAACTCCTTGGGAAATTATAGATTCTCTAATTTCCTCTACCTAAAATTAAATTAGAAATGCATAGCAACATGGCAACTTCAAATCTCCTGTAATCAATGGTACCTGATTCAAATATAGTGGGAAAATAATGAATGATATCGGTCAGAAATTGAATTATCTATGCATTACAGGAATTAATGAGCCTTAATAACCTCAGGCAATTGATGTCCCTTGGGCCAGAGGCCCTCGGGAGGCAAACTGCTATCGGTAATTGAGGCCCTTTTAATTTCCTCAATACATGAATAACTATTTTTCAAATGAAAACATGAATATGTAAGTTTAAAAATTGTCCATGTACAGGGTGGGCAAGATTGGGAGTTTTCATCTCAATAATTGAAGAAGTTATCAAAAAACCGATATACATGTTACGGGTTCGATTTTAAAGAATCCTAGAATGGCACAATTGGATTTTTTATATCTTCATCAGTTTCAGAGATACAGAGGTAAACAGAAATAGCCGATTTCTTTATCCTCCGAGTTCGTTATGGTGAGAGATATTGATAAATTTCTATTTGAAATATATATATATATATCCCTACCTTTTTCTTCTATAATTTCAGAAATATTCACAAAAATAGATTCAGTGTTAGATTTCTCATGGTTACACCTCCGTATCTCCCGTAATAATCATTGAGGTTCGATACATAAATTCGCATTCATACACTCAAGAATCAACTGGGATCATTCCCATTGATAAACACTGCTTGCTAGTAGCTATGGAATCACCGACATGTCTGGAAAATACTATCAAGAGGCAGAAGTCTGTATACAGTGTTTCCGAAATTAGAGTAATACATGAAATGGATGAAATATGACGAAAAAACAAAACACAAGTTTGCCTGAAACTTTCGTAAATCATTGATCAGAGGTTAATAGACCAACCCATGCGCCTAGGACTGACTATCCAACTGTGCCGAAATATACGGGGTGGGGTGTTCCAAAAGAACAAATATAATTAGCTGCCGTGTCTTTTCAATGTCACTCTGTATAGAATGTCTAATGATGCCAATAGATTCTACGCATCATGCTATATCAATGAACGATTGAAACTTTTCAATATCTCCCACCATGAAGAACATTAGATAAAAACGAAATCAACAATTTTTTCATTTCCACTTGTACCCCTGAAACAAATGAAGATTAAAAATGCCAATAGTGCCATCTTAGGTTTCTCTAAAATCGAACCCGTAACACGTATATCGGTTTTTTTATAACTCCTTTAGTTATTGAGATAGTCCATGAAAACGCACAATTTTGCAAACCCTGTACATGTAAACTAATTAAAATAATTATCTTCTCATCAAGATCAATTTCCATAATGAATATGCATAATGTCTATAACTATAAAAATATTGCTGACACCACACTACCTTTTGGTGGTCCGTAATTCCAACAGAAATGTGAGCTGAAAATATTCAGAGTGGATGTATGTCTGCCCCGAAATCTGTCACTTTCAGTGAATTACGTTCGTTTCGGAATAGAAAATCAGCAGATTTATTACTGACAGTTGAATTCGCAACATATCAGAAATATAGTTTTTCAATAACAACACAGGACAAATTCCGAAATTTCTACGAAAAAATCTATGTAAGCTGACTTTGGTGGCTCAGTCATCCACGTCTTTTATTTCAAGGGCGATTCGACGATCTACGCTTTCGAAATCACGGAAGAGGCCCCCTACATCTGCCCTCTGAGCCACCATCGGTGCTCCAGTCTGCACCAAGGTCTGTCCTTCCTGCCCAAAAACGCCTGCGACGTGTCCAACGTGGAATTCGCCAAGGCCTTCAGGCTCACCAACAACTCCATCGAACCACTGTCTTTCACGGTACCCAGGATTAAGGTGAGATAATAATATGTACTTTTAGAGTTCTTCGGAAGGGGTTTGTTTTTAATAAGCTTATATTCGCGGTTTTCGAGAGTTAGACATGTATGCCCCCAGTTTGAACGTCATCGCAACGTCAGGTTTGTTGGTTTTCATAATCCCATACTGTTATTTTGATTTAACGGTATTTAGATGACAATTGAAAAGTTAATGGTAACAGCCCCCGTCTGTTGAGATTGTTCAACGGCCGGCGGCCGTTAACAGTTCCATAACAGCACAATGTTGAGATTTTTCTGTAGGATTACGAGGTACTTAGTTTGTTCTTTTCTCGGAATCAAAATGTAATCTTTCAGCGGGATTACGACAAGTCTTGAACGACGCACAACCGATTCGGTTGTTATTTTACAATATTCAACCTCTTCCGATATATGCTACATATCGGCCTTGTAACGTTTATAACTATTTTGAAGAAATATTCGAAAGTGATTTTGACCCACTTCAAAAAGTCAGATTGATTTGGAATTTGGCAGTTGTACATAATTCTGGTGACAATGCATCATGAAATTTTTGTCAGACGAAAAAACAAAGTGGCAGGTCGTCCAAAATGGCGGACGAGTTTTGTAATTATGATCCAATTCTATTTAAAATTGGTATCTGGGGATTTTCGGGGTCGGAGATTATGATTAATTCGGATCCAATGTGTCGGACGAGTTTTTCAATTACGATCCGGTGTTATTCAAAATGGGTGTCTGGAAGTTTTCAGGGCAGGAAATTATGATTCATTCTGAATAGGAAAAGAAGAGAAAACGAATTTTTGAGGCGAATCAAATCGGTGCAAAGTTCTGTCACAATCAACTGATTTTTGTCCACAGTAAAAACAAGGGACTTTTTTGTATCGGATACATTTCTCTTGCTAACGAAAAACATTTGCCGAGCAGTAATTTTATGAATAGTTTGCAAGACCGTAGGTCGAGCAATTTTGTATGTCAGTTTTTCGAGAGAAATTACTGATATAAGTGAGAAAATGTATCCAATTGAAAAAAAAGTTCGAGTGTTTTTTGGCATAAACAACAATGATTACCTTCATTGATGATTTCGTGTTACTGGTAGTTGGCGGAATTCGCTTATATTTTTTGTGGTTTCTTCTGACGAAATTCTCCTAAAACGGCTCATCTTGCTAATTTAGCGTGAACAAAACCCAACATCAGGCGCATACCTACTAGATGAAAGGGGGACAGGCAGTTTGACAGCGATAAAAAAAGAGCCGATGTCAAAATGACTCACGTCATCGTCAAATAGCGTATTTTGTGGAGAAGATGATTTAAGTAAAGTAATCCAGCAAACATTTTTCTCAAGAATCTCCATAGTTCGTGAAATAACCGCATCGGAATACAAATATTTACGTTCCATCAGTATACTTCCGACACTCTCTAAAATATTAGAACGAGCAATGGAGTTTTAACTGAAAGAACACTTGAATACACTCTTTTTATTAACGTCGACACACCAGATTTGTGAAATCCATAACTCACTTCCCAATGATATAAGACATGTAAAATCACAGAAATTTGAAAGAAAACTCAGGGATTATTTGTTTGACAACCAGTAATGAGATGGCCGTGCCTCCACTTCATTTTAACACTTTTTCAACACTATTCGCATATTCAGAAGATGTATCGCCTACCTTCGCCATTATGTATGTACGGTTTCTTTCAATTTTCTTGTTTATATTTATTAAAAATGCACGGTAGAGATTTTGTGAGGTTAAGTGGAAGAGCAATTTGGTGACGCTTGCGGCATCCAAATTGAACTTCGCCTTTTGTTTTCTTATTTCTAGGTACTATGTTGATTTACTTACTATAATATTGTAACTGTTGAAAACAATAAAGTCATTTATTATTATTATTATTTATTTCAATAAAATAATATGAAATAGAGAATTTTGCTTGAAAATTCAAAACAAATTTTACAAGTTGACAGTTTTTGACAAAACAACATTGAAATCGAAATTGTCGCTTAAAAATTAAAATGAATTTGCGCTTGACGGGATTATTTGTATTACCTAATTGAAGGCACCTTTTGATCCTATCAGATTTGCTTTGTTCAGTTCAAAAAATTGGTTTTCTTCTCAGACCGAATTATTCCAAGACGACCTTTTCCCACCAACAAGGGTGACCTGGAAACCTACCATGACAAGTTCCGAATGGTTTGGCGGAAAAGAGGCGCTGCCTCAGAGGATAAGTTTGCAGCCAGAAGGAATGGATGCACGTGAGTAATTTTCTATCGCGAATAATATTCGAAATCTTAAAAATATTCCATATTTTCTATAACCAAATTCTGAATATGATTTGATTTTAACTAGGGTCCCTTGATGGAAATTGACGTTAAAGTCATCTTAACAGGGTACGGACAGATCATAGCTGCATTCTTTTTTAATGATCTAGAGATTTTAGTTTCGTCTACTGGCATCCCTGACATTGCTGTCACGTCACATCCATGGGCGCAACAGAAAATCAATCAAACTTTTAATGATAGGTATGTACAGGGCATGTACGTCCATGGTACAGGGTATTTACTTGTTGAGGAAGATCATATGGCGACCGATTTTCGTAATTATGATCCGATCCTTGGTATGTGGGGTTTTCCAGGGTTGGAGATGATTGTTTTGTCAAACTTGGAAAATTCAAGATGAAGGATACAATATATAGCAAAAGAAATATGTAATTATGATCCGATTCTATTCAAGATTGGTATCTGAGAGTTTTCGGGGTCGAACTTCATGATTTTTTGTCAAAATTGGAAAATTCAAGATAGCGGATCCAATATGGCGAACGAAACTTGTAATTATGATCCGATTCTATTCAAAATATCAGAATTGGTAACTGGAGATTTCCGGGGTCGGAGATTATAATTATTTCGTCAAAATTGGGATATTCAAGATGGCGGATCCAATATGGTGGACGAGTTTTGTAATGAAGATCCAATTCTATTCAAAATTGGTATATCTGGGGGTTTTCAGGGTAGGAGATAATGATTGTTTCGTCAAAATTGAAAAATTCAAGAGGACGGATCCAATATGGCGAAAGACATTGGTTTATATAATTATTACTCTACCACAAATAGAAAAAATGTAGGATGCAAGAGTGAAAATAACGTGCCTATCAATTATACTGCGTATACTTAGCGTATACCTACTTCTTTGTTACTTTCATCAATGAATTATTCGAAAATGACTTTTCATTTAAAAGAGACGGAAAAATCATATGTATAACATGGGGGTGAAGTATATTCTATTCTTTATTTCCGTGCACATTTTACGTATCAATTTTTATCAGCCTACTTTTCGTCCTAGACAAAGTTTTATACATAGTGTGATATTAGTTACTCCATAAATTCTTCTCCGAGTTGAATTTCTGAAAATATATTTAGCACACATGACATATGAGTACAGTAGTTCAGATACCCACATCGAGGTTTCCACCATTACTCAATCATAAGGCTCAGCTCATGCAGCGCATGGATAAACTACTGCTCAGCTTGAAATCAGAATTCATTCAGTCAATTCAGTCAACCCTGGTATACAGTCTAAGAACAGTCTCTTTTGGTGAAGTATATTAAGTTTTCAGTACAATTTATACGTTCCCTAAATCGCAAAGATTATGCTGGAGTAGTAAAGTCTAAAACTAGAGAATTGTTCATCCGAGTGTTCATCTATATCTTGATATATTTGAATCAGGAAATGGAAATTACGTATGATACGCCAGTGACCTCAATATAACCTAAAAAACAACAAATGTCAAAAATCTAGTGTTTATCCCCAGAATTGAATAAGGATGGAACTATATAACTGTTTCACAAACACTTTAGAGTGAGAGGAGACGAGGATCTGTCCGTACCCTGTTAAGATGACTTTAACGTCAATTTCCATCAAGGGACCCTAATTTTAACTAACCAAACGAAGCTACCCTACCATTCTAGTGGTTATCAGAGTCGGTCATTCTGTTGAACAAAAAAGAAATCTTAGGAGAAAGCCTTACATATGTTGAATGTTATGTTTGTTGCTGCTAAAATTCTGAGATTGTACAGTTGTATTAAAAACAAGCGTACAAGTATATTAGAGAGAGAAGGGCTATCGGGAATGTTTACCAAATGTTGACAGTAAAGTTGTCATAGGTTTTCAAAAACACAAAGCATTGGCTGAGCCACTAAGCCACTTTCACACAACTAGAACTAGGATGATGTAAACCCCTCTTTTTGATACTTGTACGCTTTTTTATTGAATAACACTGTACAGCATACGTGAGTTGCTGTATATAATATATCATTTTAGAGGCACGAAATAAAAATATATCTAACATGATGTGTCATTTTTGTCTACTCAAAGAATATTATGATTGTCGAATTGATCTCCTTGAACCCATCTTATAGATATATAGTGTACTAAGTGAAAAATGCTCCTATTATTCCTCAATCCATAACAGAAATAGGATTCGAATTGATCACCTTAGTGAAAATCGTTCTGATTGGCTGTTTAAATACTTGCTTGGAGTTCGGGGCCTCATACGAAAAATACCCTTCTATCTTATTCTGGTGGGATGCATTATTATCGAGAAAAATTCATTTGGAAATGGTATCCTCGAAAAATGTCAGATTTTTATGATCAATTGCACATTTCACTGATAGTGAACCAATTTTGTTGGCCCCCTTTTGGTAAATTATGAGTGGACATTACTGTACAAAGTTTTTTTTTTGTCGAGGTGGTTTAAATCCTTTATGAACACCATATGGGTCGAGTCCCCCATATGATAGTGTGGGACTCCCCTGACCCTAGCAAGGGTTTACCCACTAAAAACTCCACCCCGTTTGTAGGCTCGTCTGACCATGTTTCCGACGACACTTAGGCCTATGGTGGCCCATTGTATCTTACCTAGTAGTTCTTTATTGTGCCCACTCCATTATCTCTGTACCTTGAACAAGTCTGTACAAATCCTTCACTGGATGTGAGTTGAATACTTCTGGTTCGCCAACTGGTTGCCCAAAGATCTTCTGTCTTCTGCGGTCCAATGCCTCACATCGGCACAGTATATGTGCTACTGTTTCTGGTTCCTTGTCACATAGTCTGCAGCTTGGGTCGCCATTGTACAGTCCCATTCTGGCGAGATGCTCCTTTACTGGCGCATGGCCAGTCATGAGTCCCTTAACAGTTTTTATCTGTGCTCTGTTCAAGTTGAACAGGTCTACAGTTCGTTTATGACTTGGTTTCTTGATGTATTGTTTCCCATGTCTGTTTCTTGGGATGTTTTCCCAGTAGCTCTCATGTTTTGCCTGAATCCAGTCTTAAACTGACACTCGTGCTGTACGTTTTGGTACTCCAAGAGTCTGTCCTGGATCTGGCTCGTTGTCCGACCCTCTTCTTGCAAGTTCGTCAGCCTTCTCATTGCCAGCGATCCCCTGATGACCTGGCACCCAGATTAGGTTGACGCAGTTCCCGTCTGCCAGAGTTCTCAGTTCCCTCTTGCAATCCTATACCAGTCGAGATGTCACTTCCTGGCTTTCTATTGCCTTAAGTGCCGCTTGACTGTCTGACATATTACGGATCTATACTGAACAAAGTTAGGTATTATAGTATTATAGGCGATGAGACTATAAATCATTCAGGTTAGTAATGGGCCTTCCACTTCCATGCCAAAAATCAGCGCGATGACTTTAAACGCGGAAAACTCTCAATTATGATATTGATTTGAGATGGATCAGAATCTTTCTGTTGTAATAATTGTCATTGTCGATTTTAGTATAATATTTGTGGTTTTCTTTAGTGTCGGAGGCTCAGGGTCAACCAAACAGCACCAGTGAAAGAACAATTAACAAATCAGCCTCCACGCCTTTCATAGGTGGCGCCTCAAAGGTCGGTTGGGACGTGGAACTTTCTGAACAAACTAAAAACAAACAGGAAGAGGTATGTTGAAATGAATCGACTTGGGAAAAAGACAAAAAGGCACTTTCCGTTTTCTACCATAATTTGAAAATTCCAAACGTTTAATTGATATATAAATAGAAATGATGCACAATACCTTTCACAAGGGGCAATTTCTCTTTTATTCATTCTTCGATTTTTTTGAAAATTAAAACTGAATATTCATATCTGTCAATTTCAAAATTGAAATTTGCAAGTTGTTTCCATTAGATGATCAGAAGTAGCATGAAATGTGGGCTTGTAATTGAATTTTTCTTCCAAAAATTATTCTAAAAACAAAAAGAATATATGCAATTTTGGAATGACTTCAAAGTATTCAATCCTTTTTATTCATTATAATCTACATTCAGATGTTTTTGCCCATTGATATCATTTGCACAGAGTAACATCAATTAACAGAGGAATATCAAACCTCTGCTAACCTCACAAAGCCTTTCTCTCATAACTCTTGTGATAACATCTCATCAAACATTATCAGAATTTCACATTATGCTCATGGCCCTAGAATATATTTTATGCTTGTTATCTGATAACATATTCAATTCTCATTAAATGATTTATTCAATACATTATATAAACACAATTCCAACTAGAGGAAGCTGATCCTTGCTGATAAAAGAAGAACATATTATTATGCTTCCTCACTAACGGGAGATTTGGACGATATTGGAGACACACGAAAATCTTTGTATTCATGGGACTCATTTGAATAGTGTGGTTGTCAAGCATAGGCTGCCTAATAGTTTTGTGGTAGGCTATAATTTGAAATGACAAAGATTGAAACCACATGGTACGATGGCGTTCAATTTGTCTGGGAACCTTTCTTCCTGCAAGAAACGTTTCAGATGAAGAACTCGGATTTCAGGAAACTTGTGGATCGAGATTTATTCAAAACATGTTCTTCCTGCTCTTGGAGCAAGTCAGTTTATTTTCTCTATCCAGACTCCAAATTGATAAACGGGTCCATGAAATCTGATGAATTGAGTTTACTCGTTCTCTGCGGTATGTGCCATGACAACTCCCAAATGGGGTCGAACGTCACAAACACCTTTCATTTCACTTTGAATTTCTTTGTAGCAAATCTGTGGAAGTCCCAGAATGAATAACGCAAAACAGGTTTTGTTAACAAAGAGTTGTCCTGGATGAAGTAGTTGTAATTATTCACGAAAATTTCTAATACTGAACAATGATAAAATCTGTATGACAAAACTATATCCCATTTCATTATGGTGGTCTTCATCAAATAATCTGATAAAATCAACTCCGCCACACTATCCATGAAGAAAATATCTTAGATTCACATAAATTTTGTGTTTGAATTCTCTTCTGATTCATCGAATGAATTCATAGATTTTTGCTTATCTTGTCCTTGTTCTTGACGGATGATAACTGTTTTTGCGTCATTGTATATGTATCAAGCTCATTATCAACTGATTACCAAACTCCATTTTTCATTTATGAGTATTCCCCGTCCTTTCCTATCATAATTATTATTTCAGATCGGGTTATCCTACCGACTGCGCCATATTTGTAACAACTTACTGAATAAAGCTGCGTTCATAAATTCTTTGGTGGGCCCAGTTTGACGTAACCACGTGTTTGCAAATCATTCCACCGATAGTGAACGACGAAATGACAAATTAAGCTCGAAAAGTGGAACATATATTGAAGGTACTTGCTGAGAAGGAAATGATAGTGGATAAATCAGTGGATGTATTGGTCAAAATAAGTCTTGAATATGAAAACAAATTATTCAGAACTGTCAGATGAACTGCTGGCACTTCTTGAAGCAAGAACTCCAAACATATTGTTCAATACATTTTCATTAATTCCGTCAAATTCTATAAGCTCTAATGAAAAAAATGTAACACAAATCAAAAACAAAACAAATCGAACGTCAGTCGTTATTCTCATATCACAAATTCTCATATGATAATCTCTGGTTTAGATGTTTTTTTTTCTACATCACTTATATAATATAACATTAATTTACAGTGGAATATTATGTTCTTGATATTCCCAATTGTTTTAGCTGAAGAAATCTGTCAGCAACAAACTGGAGGTAAACATGTCATTGGAGCAAGACGACATGGAAGGCGTAGACGAAAATGAATGGAACGAATGAAAATACCGTAGGCCTTTGGGGGCACCAGATTCCCAACCCTCTATTATCGAGTGTACTTGGTAACCCTTAGCCCCTCCGCCTTACGTTAAATGTAATTAACTCTATCCGAACGAAAGGAACATGAATCAATCAATCTGTATTGAACAAGCATTTACGGGACGCTTTTTATACGATATTTTTTTATTAATTTTTATATGTTTATACATATACTTGATTATATCGATCAGCTTTATGGTGAGGTATAATGTTTAGGTTAAGGTGACAATATTGAAGCGGAGCTTTGCAGATTCAAAAGAGGATTATGGAATCAATTATCATGGACACTTTTTTATAGAGGTTCAGAATTGATAATTTTGCTTATTTTTTATTTTCCTGCAAAATGAAAGTATGAAGTTTGAACTCCTCCTTCTCCTTGTGTAAGGTGATTTTGAGTGTTCTCCGATGTAACATACTACTCTTATATGACAGACTCTTCGCTTTATTTCCTTTCTCTACAGGGTGGTTCTGAAGTGATGCCCGTCCGTTTGATTTGAGGTGCAAATAAGAAATCAAAATATATTGAAGGATGGAACCTTTGGCACGATAATCACACTACACTGTTTAACCACTAATCATACCTATTTCGTTAATCATGCTAGCATCTTCAGCAGCACAAGTTTCTTTTTATTCCAATTCAAAGTTATACATTCATTACAGCATTTATGATGAAATCCTTCGATTTCTCTTGAAATTGGTATACAAAGATAAAACAAACGAACTTGATGAATGAATGTGAATAATTTTTTGTCATTGTATCAGTAATGTGTTGCCTATTTCGTAGGTTGAGATTAGGCTCGCTGTTCTTTTTTCTTGAATGAAGAAGGCTGAGAAATTCAAAGGAAAATATTCAAGTAATCTGTATAGTTGACCATTGAGAAAGTGACAATAAATCTAGATGTTGGTAGGGATTCCCTTACTTCTTGCGATCCAAAAGATTGCATTGTAAGCATAAGGGGTGAATTCACTGTGACCGAAAATTCCTGTTGTGCTCCCTTCTTCTCTAGTCGTATGTCCCTCAGAAGTTTCAGGATATTGAGGTAGCTCCAGGCTCCTGGTTTCTCACCCTTGGGTTCTATAGGGTGACACATTTTTTTTAACTTATGATGAAAAATGGTGTATACAAACATTAAGGATACTCGGAAATGTGATTCGAAAAGCATTAAACTTCACAAAAAACTAAGAAAAATTGCATAATAAGAAGTAATTTGAAAATTAGGTTTAGCTGGAGGGGAAATTTCACTGTTTCATTGGGATAGTACTGAAATCTCACTTGATTTGATTCGAGTGTTGTCCGATGACAATTGAAGGATTTTAGAAGCAGTTTGCCCATGCCAAAATGTTTCCAAGATTATCCTTAGTCAGTATTCGCCAATATATGTTATTTTCAAGTGATGTATATTTTCCGAAATACGGTTAATCTGAATATTTTTCGAAATTCTCAAGGTCATATCTCTTCAATATGGGTGTCCATTTGCATTTTTTGATACATGATACAAATTTTAATTCTTGGATCAGGTTGGAACTACTATAAAAAATGCACATCTATTGTAGGAATTATTCCTGTGCCATATTAATTTCCACATATTTCTTGATTCATTTTTTGGTATCTGATTTATTAATGATAGGTATATCATGTTTTTTCTTTGTTATTGTAGCGGTGCCCTCTTTTTATGTGAAATAGAAAAATGTACTTGTTCTATATCCATATAATTTGATGTCAAATATGCTTCGTGTATTCTCTTAGAGAAAAAGCAATATTTTGAACTACTAGATATAGAATTTTTATATAATTTTACGTTCGATTTTATTTGCCATCCAATCCTGGTTTGAATCTGTAGAGCTTTCTATAATACAGGGTGTTTCTGATCACAGTTCTGATTAAATGTTTGTCCAATAGTTTTTTAGAAACACCCTGTACATATTTACGATATCCGAGATCTTCAATTGACGTCTAGTCTACACGCTTTAAATAACTGATATTTTGTGATCTCGTTTTGATACTCCTCTACAATTTTTTCAGCATGACATTCCAAATTTCCGACCACTGCAACGACCTTTCTATATATTTTCTGAACTTTTTCATTCCTAGCAGCTGGTCTGTGCCAAAAAAATAGGAAATTTCAACAACAAAGACCAAATTTCAAATTTGCTCACATCTCAAATTTGTGTGTATGCTCAAAAATATACATTTGAATGTTATTTTGATACAATTTTCAGTCTCTTAGTGCTATATTTCATTAAATTAAGGATAGAGCAACTCACAAAGGTTCGTCCAGGTTGCTCTTGAAGAATATTTAAAAAAAAAATTGTTTGGTCGCCCTGTATATGGCGGTGCTAAAAGTATGAGAATTTACTTTTGTGTCGCCTTGTAATTGATATTGTATTTATTTGTATGTGTATTATTTTACTTTATTAGTGTCGTGGATGTATGATGTAGTTAGTTGATGTATGTAATAATCAAACGCAAATTTATTAATGACATAAATTATTTCTACTGATTTGACTTTAATTTCTCAAAGTCTTCCAAAATAACTAACTTAGAGCCATTCTGGAATAAACTGTTTCACGAGAGTGAAGGATATTGAAAAAATACCAATAAATTTGATTTTTAAATAAATACTAAAATCAAGTTTATTGGGAATTTTCTGTCTTGTGGAGCTGTTTGGTATTTGTTGAAATTGTTGAACGAAGTAGATGATTTTTAGTGACTGGTGGACATCTTAGGGCCTATGATGGATTTGATTTTTTTATTAAAAGAAACACAAAATCAACAGGAATGGTCATTGTTTAGTGGGCACTTGTATATAGGATGTTTTGGATGTGCTGAACCAAAAGCTGTTGCCACTTCGTCTCTTCATCTGATAGTTTCTGTGACAGGTACTTTTGAATGACATAGTCTCCAAACAGGGACTGACACTGGGCATTTTGTTTTTCATTGAAGTTAGAGAGTTGTGGTTCCAATCTGCATCAAAGCACCTCTGTGTAGTACAAAAGAAGAGAGCCTAAATCTACGAAGCTTTCTTATGGCGCAGTGGACTGGTTATCGCTGCAACACAGGTCATGCCAAGATCTGGACAGAAGCTACCTTAGCCGTTCCTGTTCTAACCATGGTGCAAGACCGCATTACGCCGCATCATGAATTTATCTCCTCTGTCAAATTCACCTTTCATGATAGAGACGAGTGGCTAACAGAACCACAAACCCTGATTCCAGGCACCGGACTCAACTGGTTCACGGATGGGTCTCGTGCTGGGAATCTCACTGGTGCTGGCGTATACGGGCAGAACCAAGACTACGAAGAGTTTCAACACCTTGGACAATTTGCCACTGTATTCCAGGCTGAGGTTTTCGCCATCCTTGCCTGCACACAAGAAATCACACGACGCCACATAAGAGGCAAGCGCATCTCCATCTGCTCCGACAGTCAGGCCGCTCTCAAAGCTCTACGAGCACCAAGAGTGGTCTCTCGGTTGGTTTTAGATTGCAAACGAAATTTTGCTGGGATAGCAAGGGAAAACCGTATCGAACTACTTTGGGTTCCGGGACATAGTGGGATAGATGGCAACGAAAGAGCCGATGCTCTAGCAAGGCAAGGTTCTTCAGCCCGTCCTGTGGGCCCAGAGCCCATCGTGAGCATTTCTCTAGGCACAGGACTGCGAAAACTTGAAGAACTTCTGACAGAGAGGTTTTGTCGGGAATGGGCTGAATCCAGGGGTATGAGGCAGGCGAAGACCTTCATTGATAGGCCTTCGATACGCCTCACCCAATCCCTCCTGAATATGCGAAGAAGCCAATGCAGAGTTGTCACTGGTTTACTAACTGGATACTGCCGCCTTAACAGACATCTAAACATTCTGGGCATCTCCGATGACCCAACGAGCCGTTTATGTCTCGAAAACGACGAAACTCCCATCCACATCATATGATTATGTGAATGTCCTGCGCTAACACAGCTCAGATGGCGGAGTTTCGGGCAAACGACTCTTCCAGCGGAAGAAGCGCCAAAGATCCCTGCTACCGACATCCTAGCCTTCGGCAGAGCTGCGGGACTCTTGTGAAGGATGCCATACTCACGGGGCGACACAATGGACCCACACTAGCGGTCTAGCTGTCTGGACTTCGACAAGTCCCCCCGATGCCAACTCAACTCATGACGCAATATGTTGATATCCGTGTTATGTGATGACATTTTTGAAAAAAAAAAATGTGAAAGCAAAGTTTGGTCGGGGAGTTGTACTCTTCAGCCCACTGTGTTCATTGGCTGACTAATTTAGGCCTGCAAGGATGTTTTCCCTTATTTTCGGGATCCTGAGGGCCCCGTTAATAATTTCAAATTTGCCTTTTTCATTATAATAATAATAATAATTTCTTTATTTGTCGTCACAAAAAAAAACAATAATACCGAGGGCAAATGGGCAAAGTCTAGTCATGACTAGACGAATCCAGTCAATTCCTACTCCTTATCTCTTGAAACGCACAAAAGGAATGCTTCTAGACGTTGGGCTATCTTCATTTCAGTTAAGAATAAAGCGAATAGGGAGTGTTTGACCCAATGACGGCTTAATATCAAGTGAGCTTTCAACGACATTCAGGCAGCTCACTTAATATTTAGCCGTCATTGTTTTGACCTTGCTTGTCATTGGTCTATCAATATTGTTATTGATGATGAACAATTTAAGTGCTTAGGTGAACGGTCGGTAGCCTACCGAACAGAATAATGCAAAAGACGAGGTGGAAATGGGCGCCGCCACTTGAGGGCAAAGGGGGGCAGTCGCCTCCCCTGAAATTATTTTAAGAACAATATTTTTATATGTATTAATATTTTTGTTACGTGCGAATGCATATATTTATTAAATAGGTAAGTGCGTATATACCTAGCTATACAGGGTGAGTAAATAGTGTGTTCTTCTTCCATATTAGCCAAACCATCAGATATATAGAAAAAATTCGAATACATTAGT